GGATTCTGTTGAAAGGGAACAACGCACCCAACCTTGTCCAGATACTCCCAAAACTCCATCTTGCTGGGATCTGAGCAAAGCTTCATAAGGTAAGCGCGCAGAAACATCTTTCTGTGCAGAATTTGGGGGCTGTTCTCGTCGGGAATCTCATCGAGAGGGCCTTCGAAGGAGGTACTTCTGGTAGTGAAAGCACGAGCTGTGATATCGTATTGGAGGAGTTTCTTGTAGACGATGTTGACGACGGCGGGGATGAGAGCCTTGACGTATTTTGCGCCCGTGATGAGAGCTTCGATGTCACCTATAAACTCAGACTGTTAGTTTATTCTTAAGTAGGGATAAAATCTGCTCTCAATTGCGAGGCTGATGTCGAGTTATGGGATGTTTACGCTGGGTGGAACGTACGGCTTGAGAAGTCGAGGAATGAGTGAAGATACTGAACACGGGCTTCGAGGTTCGTGTAGAGATCCTCGCGATCAATGTGCTTCATAGGTCGTGAATTCATTTTGGTTGCGTATTTACTTTGGTTGTTGTATTCGAAATGGGTAGATCTTTTGCTCAATCGTTAAATGAAGCCCAGAATATCGACTCTTGTACAAGTGAGGGTATAAGTCGCTGGATGAAGGTGTCGCAGATCGTAGGCGCAAGTGGAAAAGGCTGATTGAAGAGTCGGTATTTGAAAGCAAAATGCTCAGCTGATACAAAAGCTCGTGTGACGCGTTAATTTGAAGGATTTAGTCTTCGCAAGTAAGAGATCGATTATACAGAATCACACGCCTCGAACAACAGCCAGACGTCGGTATTTATTGGATTGTCTATCCTTGGTAATTTACCCCTTAGTCCCTTGTCCATGACAACTTTTTTTTTCTCCAGCGATTATACGCGTGCTCATGACATGAAGGCTCTTCCCCCGAGTCTCGCCTTGCTCCGTTGGTTGTTTGTTAAGCTGAGCGCATCACGCCAGGTCGATATTATCAGACGATGGTGATGATGGGCTGATGAGTGGGTCTGTTCAAGGGTCTGTGATTATCGGTGCCAGCCGGACGCACCCGAGAGATGAGATGGATTCAGTGTATCAAGAGATTTATATCTTGTTTATATTATATGAATACAATACTGAAAGCTGGTATCCTGAGATATAACATGGTACTGACAGTATAGTTTGTGAGGTTGATATAGGGAGGGACCCTGAAGTTGATGCTTGACAGCTTGGGTGGGTATCGACGGCGACTTGCGGGGATAAGCAATGAATGTTAGTCTGATTCATAAAGGGAAATCAGCTTGATGTGATTGGTGTGAGCTCCAAGCTTCGAGTGTGTAACCGTTGAAGGCGGCGGATAGCGACAGCTACATAACAATGAAGGATGAGCGCTAGATCAGACAATCCCATTCCAGAAAGTCGTTCGAGATCTACACATTGACATTGTTTCAGAATCTAGAAGGTTGTCGAATATGATACAAGTGGCACAGCACAATTCCCGTTCATGTATCTTCAATTCGTGAATACCCTTCTCTTGCATTCTACTCTGGCTTGCGTGGACTCGACTTGCCAGCGCCACATATGGAACTCTCATTGTGCTACATGATCAATTGACAAGCAGATTCATTTCGAAAAGGCCCATGCTGAAATCTCGACTCACCCGTGCGGTTCAGCCGCAAGCAGGGACATCATGCCAGATTCCCGAATTTCCCGACATGATTTCGTCATAAGATGAACATCTATACCCCACGATGAGCCATTTACGAGCCCCTGGCTGTTGGGTAAGGATATCGATAATTGCACTACGTGAGGAATTATGATTTCTCTGTTGACTGGCGATTCGGCGACATGAATAGGTTGGAGTTGAGTTGCAAACATCATAAAACTACACCAAAAGTATGACAGCCATGCCGTACTAAGCATCTTGGACTAACATAAGAGAAACCCAAGCTATTGAATATCACAAAGAGACTGGGGTGAATTTTGCCGCTGCCATAGAATTACTTTGAAGAATGTTTTGAAGACAGAATTCACAGTTCAGGAGAGCTGTCTAGGGTAGCCAGATAAATACCTGTTAGTCTGACATAATCAGAAACACGTGATCCCATAGCCCACCAAATTCTTCCTTTCGGCTCATCGGCCTCACCTCGCTTCAACACCCTCCAACACCCGGGAATCCTCCGACAATCAGCCATCGCGACGGCCGCAACCATTCAAACCAGTCGAGTCCGGCGCCATTCTCAAGGGTCCCGCTTACGGAGTACCCCAGCTCCGCCAAACGAGCTCCGTGCTCCGCTGCAGGCCGGCACAGCCTGGGAGCTCGCCGCCATGTCCGGCTCACCACCTCCACCATCACCAAACTCCCATGCGACGGCTCACGCGTACGCGAGCAATGGGCTCGAGATGCTTCAGGCCGCCAGCGATGCGGCCCATGCTATCACTCAGCACATGAACAATCCCCAAGCTCTCCAACATGCCGCCGTAGCTGCCACCGAAGTCGTGGGCCACCAACAACCACATGCCCCTATGGATCCTCCAGACGGCATGCCTCATGCGACCGAGTTGCCTACTCAGCTTATACCTGGAAATGGAGCTGTTATGCGCGATCCGACCATTAACCCGAAGCTTACTCGACTGCGACGGGCCTGTGACATGTGCAGTATGCGCAAGGTCAAGTGCGACGATAGCAACATACCGTGCCGACCTTGTCGAGAGCTGGGTGTAGACTGCACCTACAACCGCGAAACGAAGCGTCGGGGACCACCCAACAAGCATGCCGAGGCCGCAAAAGCTGCCAAGCGCTCTCGGGTCGATGTGCCATCGGCGGCGACTGCAGCGGTGGCAGCTGCTGTAATAGGATCTTTGTCTCCGTCACCGCAGACTGCGGCAAAGACATTGATGAACATCTCGACCGATAATGTCGATGCCGAGTACATTGCGCCTATGCCGGTGTTGGAACTGCTGGTCGATGACTTCTTCACCTATATCCACCCGCTTGCGCCATTCCCACACGAGCCTACCTTCCGTCAGTCATTCGCCAACCGTGAAGACCGTACAAAGCCCGAGTTTCTTGGTTTGCTGGCGAGCATGATCTGTGCTCTTGTCGCATCCTTCCCACGAAGTGCGAGAGAACATCTCAAGGCACAACACAGCACCCACCTGTTTCCTCGAGCTATCGTCATGGTTGAAAGATGCCGTGAGATTGCCTTGATTACACGTGGGAACAAGTGGCAACTCAAACAGCCAAAAACTCTGGACGATGCTGCGACCAGCTACTTCTTGGGATTGGCATCGGGATACACGCATCAGTGGAACGCTTCTGGTCAATTTATGGCCGAGACCCTGACCCTCCTCCGCGAGCTGGGATTCAGCCGGCCCAAGCACCCTGGTGATTTGCCGACATTTGGCAACGACAACTGTTCTCCGGATCCTCTTCCGTTCAACCATGTCAAAGATCAGATTGGGAAGCGTATCTTTTACTGCCTTCTTCTCGGCGTACGGTAAGTATCGCTTCTCTCTCGTATGAGGCTCTACTGACATCTCTCAGATCTTTTTCTCAGCTTGGTGCGTCTTCTGCAGACATGGTGATTGCACCATCAACACCCAGTCTCCCATACCCCGCATACCCGGAAAATGTTGACGACATTTGTGTTCTGGCCAATGAAGTCATTCACCAACAGGATGGTAGTGTTACTCTGTTGACAGGCTTCCGTTTCGCTATAGACATTTACACTACGATGAATGGCATTGTCAGTCTTGAGCTGGCTTATGGTATGAGCACGCTCCCGTGGGCGGACCAGCGCATTTTGCTTCGAGATGGTCTCATTGCGGCCAAAAGCATCACCGACAACCTGCCACCAGAGTTGCAGCTTGGAGACCACGGTGTTGAAGCAAATACCATGGCCAGTCTTGATGATTCTGGTATGCAATACGTACCTCCTGCATGGCCCAACAGCCAGCCTGCCCACGATCTTCGAAACGTGATCAAGAACCAACCCGCTCGACGCAGACATCTTCAGTATGAGATTCAAAAAGCCAACATATTTGTCTCGCAACTTGCTACGCGTTCGTATTTCGTCGAAATGTACTTTGACCTACGGGATGTCCACATGGGAGAACAACGACGGGAAAACAACCCTATTGAGGGCCACTCAGAGGAGGAAAAGGCCGCACAGGATGCTGATGAGAAGGAGATCTACGAGTTCATGTCAGAAGAGCGGGAGCTGATTGTGCAAAATCTCCTCACAGTTTTGGGGTCGATTTCTCAACGGAACATGGAGCCGAATGGCGGATCACTCATCAACAAGATCCGACAGGTTGCATCGACACTTTTGAACGACGCTCCTGAGCGTAAGGGACCTTTTGCGGTGAAATCAGAGGAGGCGTTGTCGCAGTTGATCAACATTTTGGTCAAGCTTGAAAAGACGGGCGCTGGCACTGGAGGTGGTATCGATACGCATGCACAGGACCCATCACAGATGACATCGCAGGATGAGGAAATCGAATTGCGCCATTGGGCAGATCTTCGAGACTACCAACTGCGATTTGCAGCGAATGGCGGGTTTGCGGGAAATCTGTAGCCAATTGGGGCCACAAAGATGCGATGAAACAAGGTGTTGTATTATTACAGAAGGGTGGTGTTGGTTTGAGGCGGCATCTATGTATAATTATGAGGCAGTAAGAAGATGATCGGAAAGGGCTTGGCGGGTCTTTAACAGCCATAGCACATCTTGTACCTTGATGTTTTTGTCACAAAAGTACCTATACTCAAAAGGTATCGGTAGGAGAATTGCGCATGCTATAGAACTGCTGACTATACTCTCGTTCCATCGCTGTAGAATTATTATGACATGAAGGGGGTTATTCACGAGTATGAAGAAACCACTAAAAGCTAGGGTCGGCTTTGTCACAACCAGTCTAAGATGCGAAACTGCATGAGCAAGCAATATTAATCGCGTAAGGCAAAGTCTTCATACCATAGAGGTACAGCCATAAAGAATTAGAATATTTATCAAAGAGTCACTCAAATGGGTATGTGGCTGTTTGCGCTCTGCCTCTCCTGACGATAGAACCTCATCTCGTAAATCGACCACCCAAATAAAACCCAGTTAATGATTCTGCATTTATTAGCAAACATTGGCCAGATTGCCACACGACTTTACGTACGCTAGTATTACTAGAAGAGCGATCATGGATCCCTCCAAACTTCGATTCCATACAGGGTAGTTCTCCATGTGATAGATGAGAATAGCGAAGCATGCCGTTGCACCGAGCGCAAGGATGAGCTGCACGATGGTGTTGACAACTGCCGGGACGTGGGACATGGAGTGGTTCGCACGACGAGCAGAGATATTCATCACGACCGCCCAAAACAAAGACGCAATGGCCTATGATGAATCAGCGATCATAACTCACGTAGAATGGGGGCGATACGTACAACAGGCAAAGCCGTCCAGAGCATCCACGAACATTCATGACCGATGGGTACATCGCTCGGACAGATCTGCGATCTAAGAGACCACCAGATACTCAAGATGATGATGACAACAGGGATAGCGATATTCAGCTGCCGCGCAGTCACGACAGCGAAGTTCTGGCGTGGAGTTTGGCGGTAAGGAGCTGGGTGGGCTTGATGCGGTTGGTAGTATCCATACTGAGGCGGCGCATTGTATTGCGGAGGAGGATACTGTTGTTGATTAGGATACGGTTGCTGAGGAGGGTACTGTTGGTGCTGTTGATTTCCGTACGAGTATTCGTGAGGACCAGCCATTTTGGCGAGTCTTCAAGCGTTGATGTTGGAGGTGAAGAAGCAGATGGCTGCTTTGGATGGTTCGAGGCGTAGTGGAGAAGAGAAGAGCATGACGTTGGCACCTCCGGTCGGCACGGAAAGTGGAGGTGCAGGGCAGGCGCCAAATGTTTCAGATATTTCTGGGCATTAGCGAGCGCGGGGTCCCTAGGGAACTAAACTTTAATTAAATACGACGTGCGAATATCACAGAGACATCGGATCAACATGTATCCTACTCAACCGCGATATATACAACATAGAGCACTGAATGTCAGTCCCATTCGGTGAGTTATATTCACCGTGGTTAAACCATCACTGAAGAATGCCAAGGTTGCGTAAACACAGTGATGCCCAGCCAAATCCTTCCACCTCGCCTAACAACACCCAATCACCCTCGCTGTCCATCCTCCACTGCCCACTCATCATAAGCTAGTGGTCTCTCGGCATCCCTTTTCCAGAGCAGATACCTCTTGGACAGGAACGGAAGCCGCTTTGTCAGCTGATAATGCGCGAATCTACTCTTCGGATTGTTGAACACTGTGTCCAATTCTTCAAGGGTAAGTTGCTTTGTCTCTTCAACAAAGAAAAGGATGAGCACGAATGCCACGATGTTGAGACCTGCGAAGAAACCGAGTGTGCCGGCCATTTCGAATACGGCGTTGATTCGAGGCAGGAGAATCGTTAACAGGCCAGCGAAGAAGAGGTTGATGGAGATTGCCACAGATGCGCCCTGGAAGAGTCAGCTATCTCTGTTGGTGAACGCGGTGGACAGAAAATGGACTGACCGCCTCTCTGTTCTTCAGTGGGAAACTCTCTGATGCAAGAGTGAATGGGATTGGCCCAAGACCAGGACTGTACGCCGCGGCGAAAAGGTAGATGAAGATGATTCCAGCGATTGATCCCCCTGTATCTGCTTTCGGCTTCGGCTGGTCTCCGGAATCAACCTGAGGGGCCAATGCGTAAGATATCGTAGCAGCCATGAGAAACATGCTCATCAGCGGCAGTGTTGATAAGAGCCAGCTTCTTCGGCCGATAATATCAATGGACCTGTCTCTGTTAGCACTGCAGAGGCTTCTCGACTGCTGAACTGTACCTCATTGCAAGTATACCAAAGAAGAAGTTGACACCGCCTAGAGTTTGTAAGTCGCTTGTTGTTCAATGTTCGATTTATGAGGCATACCGAAGCCAAAGCTGTAGCCCATGCTAGTCTTGACACCGTAGTCGCTGAACATGCCATCTGCAGGATATCAGCAAGTACGAAGTGAGACGCACAAATTTCTTACTTGAGTAAAATGCAAACACATTGACTAGATATAAACGTTAGCTAGACTGGATCGATCATAGTGACGATACCTTACTTCCGCAAAGTTGCTGCGACAGAGCAACAACACAACTACTCCAGAGCGCATTTCGAAGCCGCCGTCTGGTGAACAACGGCTTGAACTGATCAACAGAGAGTCTTGAGACAAGTATTATCAGGGATGCGTATGTCAAACCAGAAGTAAGCGTTCGGCTTGTCCTGTCCTTGTTCTTGGTATTGACACCGTTCTGGTATTCGGCTTGGTGAGCAATTTCGTGACGATTCTTCTCAAGATGGCCCTGGTGAATCTCATCGTCTCGAGTAGACCACCAAATCAGAAACAAATCGCGAGTGGCTTGAAGCTAGAAAACCTTTAGCTATGCTTGAGACACACGTAGTCGGCTCATCTCACCCTGGTCGGTCGAACTTGAAGGAGGTTTCTGAAAGCACGATCGAGGTTATAATTAGGCGTACCCGGCCGCATATAGAATCTGGGACTCTCGTAGCAGAAACAGACTGTAATAAACAATAGAACAGATGGTACCACAGGCGCAGCAGCAATCCACTGTAAAGCGTGGTATCGACCTCCACGTCCATTGAGATCAGCGTTAGGTTGGCCATCTAGAGTATTAGTCGCGGCCGCAATGACAAAATTGATGACGAAACCGATCATGATCCCACAAGCGACCCTGAAGAATGTTAGCAATGGGAGTAGTGTGCTTGCAAGAGACTTACCAGAGCTGCCAAGCGAGGATAGTTGATCCTCGCCAATATCCAACTGCCGTCTCAGAAGCGAGAATAGGAGCACTGACCGCCTTGATTCCCATGGCTAGTCCTTCATATCAGTATTCCAATGCTTGAAGCTCTTAATAGCCTAATACTCACCTACTCCTCCAACAATCCTGGCCCCCAATATCTGCTGCCATGTCACTGCAAAAGCCGACCCGATTGAGCTCGCAATGATGAGTAGAGCCGAAAGCCCGAGGGCACCTCGCCTTCCAAGGCAGTAATTAACCGGTAGCGAAAGTGGTGCACCTGGAAAAGCAGCCGTGAGGAAGGGAATCGCGTTCATACCTCCAAGTTGCCATTGGGCCGCCGAATCGGCTCCATTGCTCTGTGTGTCGTCCTGTCTCTGTATGTCGATACCAACGGTTTCAACAAAGAGACTCATGGCGTTGATGGATGATTGAACGTGGCCTTGGAGGAAAGCTGCCAGTGACACTGTGCAGATGATGGTGGCCATTCCGCGCTGGCTGAAGAGGCGCTCGCGCTCTGCTACGAGGCTTTCTTTCTCGTCTTGGGTGAGCTCAACGACGGGTGAGAGATTGGTGATTAAGCCTTTGGAGAGACGGTAGTAGTAGTTTCCATTCTTAGCTACCTCTGCCGCTCGCTCGACCTCGTCGCGTTCGAGAGAAGGGAGGTCTCTACAGAGAGTGTCGATACCTTTTCGAAGAACAGGCTCAGATACGCCAGCTGGAGAAGTCAGCATAGCTATGCCAGGAGCAGAAAGCAATAGATACCAAGAGAGTTCCCGAACTCATCTCGGGTGTGGATTTGCCTCTCAATCCATGCTTCCAATCTCTTCTTGAGACTCGGTTTCTGCGGTTCTCGATTATCGCGTTCCGTCATGGTGGTGAATAGTCGTGTTGTTCATCTATGCAAGACATCGATTGCAAGCCATGAACTGATCAGAGAAACAAGATGATTAGGAAAGGCGAAACAGAACATTGGACCCCAAATTGACCTCCTCTTTCAACCCTGGTTCCAAGGTTCCCACCTCCCTTGCCAAGCTGAATTCCAAACTTTGGCCCCCAAATTTCATGTATGACAAGCAAGGCAGACCTTACAACACCCGCATACAGTACGAGGCCATCTACGCAATGTCCAGGTCCAACAGCAGATACTCGAGTGTCGATCAGCGGATCAAACCTCCACCTTTGGCGAATGTCCCGTGGGGAAGCCTATATCAGCCCTATCAGACATGTTTGTCACTCGTTTAAGTGGCGACTGTCTCGGGCGATTTTGATGCAAGGATATGCTTGAAAATACAATTGGGAAGGATCGTCGTCTGACAGGTTCAGCGAGTGTTGGTTGTACGTTGCAGGACCGTACAGTCTTGACAGTACAGAATGATACGGATCATTGTAGGCTGATTGCCGATGCGGGGGTCATACAGTACATCCCGTAGTCGTCATCGTAAGTCTTATCTTCACGGCCGTACCCCTAGAGTCCAAGAAAACATCGCCATGATATCGAATTCTCCAAGATGGCAGAGTTAGCCTCAGCCATTCAAAGCTTCATCGCTTCCAGTCTGACAGCGTGGCACCGTATCGACACAGTTGTAAGCTCTATAAGAGATGGTCCTCGAAATGTCGAGCATTGGAGAGTTTGCGGGAGTGTGTTGAAGGAGGCTTTGAGCCAAATGGAGGAGAGAATACGCCAGCGACAGAATTATATGACAGCGCCGGAACAGAACCTCTGTAGAGCTATTGATAGGTTCATCAGGGACTTTCTGAACGATCTCGAACAATTGGAGGGGACGATACCAGCGAAGAAGGGAGGGAGATATTGGGTGCAGCTGAAGTTGAGGTTGCAGGATGATAGGGAATTGCTCACGCGACTTTCTCGCAACGTCCAGATTTTCCAGGTATCTGCTTCCGCACTGTCATTGTAAGTACCCCCTTCCCTTCCATTGCTCCAAATACCCACCTACTAAGTACCTACCTATATCTAACACAAGGCACCTAGACTAGACCCGCCTACCGATTGCTCCCCAGCCAGAAATAGAGTCCATCAATTTCTCGAAGGCATCAGCGATGACAACCCTGAGCAGCTCGACCCCGATGAAACAACCGATTTACACAAATGGAGAGAGGCTCTCTACGAAGTCGCCGACGTCGCAGCCCAACGGGAGTTTCCCGACCCATCACCTCACGATAACACATCAGAGCCAGGCGAAACAACAAGAAGACCATCGGGTGTAAGCCCAATAGAACTGCAATATCGGTTCGAGGCCGCGATATCACGAGCGAAACGAATGTACGATGCAAAACTGCCAATCATGGCGAAAAAGGCACACGACGAAGCGATCAAATACGGTGGAGAGATGCAGGCAATTGACCCGAATGCTATCAGTATTACCGAACTGGTTGACATGGAGATCACTTATGTCCGTATCATAAAAGCATGTTCTCCGTTTGTGGACTCGTATGAAGCACTTGCATGGGAGAGGCTACAGAACCTCAAGTCTAATTTGCACAAACACACTGTCCACGGGAATGTCATCGACTTTTGTACCGAACAGGAGAAGGTAGGTATCTTGTGCACTGAACTGCGGGATAGAGAGGGGGCTGTTGAGTTCTTGAGAATGTCGCTGGACGCATATTTATCGAACCGCGAGGAGTATGAGGACAGAATACCACGAATATCGATGCTTGTCTGCGAACAATATGAGTGTATGGGGCAGTGGAATAACTTGGATGCCTTCAAGAAAGTCATATTCGACAAACTGGGCTACGATCCGGCGTCGGAGCCAAATGCACTCGCTGACACAATACTGTGGTGTCGCCAGCATGGGTACGAAGCTTCTGAGATGGAGGGAAGACTATATATACCGGAGGAGAGCTTTGTTGAGAGTACTCCGCTTCACGATGCCGCCGCCGATACTACCGTTGGGATGGAGATCATCCATCAGCTGATACCTATCGTCTACCATGCGAGACCCGATGTGAACGGTGACACGCCCTTGCTCGTGGCAGTACAACACTCCAACAATCTCGCGCTTCAGGCATTACTACGGATCTCCGGGTCTGTTCATGTTTTGAACTCTAAAGGCGGTACTCCATTACATCGATGCGATAACGATGAGACGCTGAGGCTACTCCTGGAAGAGATCAAGAAGCCCGTTCACCGCTCTTGCCCGAGTGAACAAGGATTTCAGTTGGTCAGCATAGATTCTACAGATGGTTATGGAGAAACAGCTCTGCACAAAGCTTGCGAAAAAGGCAACGAGCGTATGGTCGGCTTGTTGGTGGCCGAAGGCGCAGACGTCAATATGGTGTCCGGGTCGAATGAGACCCCATTGATGATTACCTGCGAACGATCCGAACTAAAAGGAAAGGGAAGATTGAGCAAAGAACGAAGACGAATTGTGGAAACATTGGTAAATCGCCATGCGGATACAAAACACAAAGATGACTGGGGCAAACCCGCTGTTCCAAAAAGTCTCAAAGCGAGGGGATACAGCGAGGTCGAGATCGACAAGATGCTCTCTCCAGACTTGACACGAAGATTCACAAGACGATGGGGACACGAGAGATTTTCCGTTTCATCAGGCAGCAGCTCCGAAAGACCATCCTTCGCAACACTGAGTGCCATATCATCATCGTCACCGGTCGAACTTGTTGGCGACATGCCCTCACGACCAGCAGAGTTGCCCTTGACTCCAGTGTCGAGTGGTGTACCGCCTTCAGGATACGAGTTACGATCAGGGGAGACATGGTCAGAATTACAGTTAGCTGAGCTACCAGGGTCAACGCCCGTTGTGTCGGTCGAGCTGGATAGCAGGCCAGTGGAGGTGGTTGAGCCGCCGAATCAGAAGTTCTCAAGAGATGGGAAGTTGAAAAGTATTAGGAGGAAGTTGAAGATATTGGGTGATCGATGATGAAGTGGGAATGGGTGACGTGTGCTTGGTGTTGAGACTGGTAGGTCACAATGCCTGACGAGGTTACGATGAAGAATGACTGGATATATGAGAGTTACAATACCCTGAAGGCTGGAAGAGTTTATTGAAACTGATTGTATGTCGAATTTGGTGATGTGACGCTGAGAGAAAGCAGGCCGAGTTTTGGTATAGATTGAACATGACGCAACGTACCCAGCCATTTTGAGATGAAGACGTGATACCGGAATCAGGGCTAGGTATAGTGAGTAATGAGAGACATAGATCAGATAAGACGCACCATTTCATGGATTTGCCAGTACTCCAGGCATGGCGTCGATGGGAAGATTGGTCGCATTGATCGGCACCACACTCCACGGCCCATTGACGACATTCTTGGCTCGCCCGATCGTCCTTAGTTTTCGTCGGCCAATTCTGCAATGAGATTATTGGTTTTATCTCGAAGACCAGGCCACCTACCAAGGCACCTTCAGGTGCCTTTGCAATGGTCGCTTCTCGAGAGTCTAAATGGAGTTGCGCGCCGCCACCCAAAAGGGGAGCCACGAAAGGTAAAATGATCATATAACACACAAGAGTCTTATGTTACCATTGTGTTAAACCCGAAGTGTATTTTCTAACCTTGTGACTGACTCATAAACTCAACTCCGCTACCAGATAAAAGACCTGTCTTGTTGGAGCCGCCGTCTTGAAAATCTGGGGTATTTGTGGTGTTGAGCTAACCTTTCTTGGCCGACGGATTGGAGCATCTTATATGCCCCCAAGGCCGGCTAAAGAGTTATAATCTAGGTTTTCCTCTTCCTAGCCTTTAGCTATAGTAATTAATTAGTTATTTGATATAATATATAAGTTATAAGCTAGATGTGTTATTTGCAGTTAAGACTTGTGGCTGAGAGCTTAAATCAGCGGACAGAACTTAGAGTCTTATGTTAGGTAATTAAACATAAAGTTTATAGAAACCCGTTGGTTTATACGCCACGACTGCCTAAACTCTCGTCCCTGACTCTCAAATCACACTTCAGACAGTATCTTGAAAGTATACTGAAGAAATATCCTCTCACAACAGCCCTAAGCCATCCATTTGTCCAATCACGACTTTACAATAGATACACGCAGAACCCCAAAGACTTGAAGAATAGTTTTGTAACTACCCCGAGAGATGAACCTGTCCTTGAATCTTAACTCAAATTTGAAGGCCACTGAACATAAATACCCCCTTGATTTCCCATTCGAAAGATCTCATCATGGTTACTGCTTTCTTCTTACAAGCACATCAGGTTGTTCTGCTGTCGGCTCGTTATTGCTGCATCACTCTCTCGCAGACAATTGTAACCACTATCAAAAGGTCGCGGTGTACTTGCTGATTCTTGTGAGCTACTTTTCCATAGCTTGCGGGTATTGGACATGTTGTTAACAGCGTTTTAGTTCTTTGTTGCTTGACAACCCGGCATTCCTCAATGTGCTGGTGAGAGATTCTCTATACAACTCTCCCGTCAAGTCAACATCAGCATTCTGTACATCAGTCATTCTCTTCTTTCCATATCAACACAAGTCCTCCTGTTATCATTAAGGACAGTATCCGCACCTAAGTGTTGGTAGAGGCATATTTCTCCTGGTCTAGTCAGAGCCTTGGTTTCTTCAATACCATGTGTCTCCTCAAAATGCTCCGCACCAGCGGCTCTCGTCAAATGTCAAAGCCAAAGTCAGAATCCTTGTTCTATAAACAACCAAAGGGCAACCCAGGAACTGACTACTCCCCTCAGCAAGTCTCAAGTGCTACGGCAGGAGAGACCTCTGCTGGGCAAACAAGCCTCCCCTCATACTGTGACTTTTATACAGAGTGTCCAGTTGAGGAGGAAGAACCATCTTGGAGCTTGTTCGAGGGAGAATGGCATCAAGACACAAGAGAGTGCACGCTGCGTATGAAGCAAGAGCATCTAGACCAGTTTGAGAACCCATTTGACCCATGGGATAAATACAGCAACTATACTACTGAATCAGAATCCACTTTGAAGTCTTGGTCAAGCCCCAAAAGCACTCACAGCACCTCACCACCAGCCAGCAACTCAAAACAATCCCCTGGCTGGACTGGTCAATACTCTTCTATGATAGAGTATAGTGCAAGTCCTGAAGTTTCACAATGGACTGGGCAGTACTCTGATCCTTATGAGTACAGTGTCTCGCCAAAAATGACAAGACTTGGTATCTGGACAGAGTCAAATGTCCCAGGCAAACCAGACTTCAAGTGGATCCAGGAATATACACCAGAATAAAAACATGATTGCAACTCTTTTCTCTTTCTTTCTTATCAATCTCAGCAAAGTTCTTTACAGCATGGGTGTCTTTGGTGTTGAGTTTACAGCGTGGTGTTTGTGTTTGGGGGTGCAAGAAGGATTCTGATCTCAATAAATGAGTCAGTTAGAACAGCGGGTGGTTTGATGGTTGAAGTGGTCTCAATAAATGAGCCTGCAATCTGTTGGGTTTTGGTATGGAGAGCGTTGTCATTGGTGTTTCTGGTGATTGAAGTGGTTTTTCACAATAAAGCGTTATTTTTCTTCTTCTCAAAACATTAATGACTTGCTTAGGTGTATATCATAATAAGTCCAAGAATTCAATAGTGATGACTACCTTGGTACTTTTCTCTAAAGCTATCTAATATACTTACCATGATATGGTCTAAATTATAACGAAATATTGCTTAAACTCCTCTAAAGTTTGCCAATGAGATGCAATGCATCACGTGTCAACTGCCCAAAGTGAGGGGGTGTTTAGTACCTTAGGCTACCTAGGTACCTACCTTGAGGTAGGTTTAACAGTGTAACGTACCTTATATTACTACAGATTCTCTGTAGAGCCATTCCTCGATCTTACAGGTTCCTGAACCAGCTTCTACAATGAGTGACCCAGCAGCCCGTGAAGACCTCACCAAGCGGCAGCTTCCGTCCATGACACTGGCGAGCGGCATCGAATCTCTACCTTCTGCAGCTCAAGCACGCACAGCTTCGACTTCAGACGATTCTTCAACAAGATTTCGAGTCCCTGGCGTTGCAGTTGTTACCGGAGGGCTGGGAACCATTGCATTGACTGTTGTTCGAGCAATGTTGCAGCACGGCCTGACTGGGCTGATGCTGCTTGACCTTGACGTGACTTCGGAGTCCGCGATGAGAAACGTTGATGATATTCGGAAAGACTTTCCGGAAAGGAAAATTGAGGCAGCGTCTGTGGATGTAACTGATGAAGACGCTGTAGGACGGATCATGGCTTCAACAGCTGAGAAACTGGGCGGCCTTGATTTTCTCGTCTGCTTCGCAGGTATAGTCAACTGTACTCATGCCCTCGATCTCTCACCCAAAGTCTTCAGGAAGCTCCTCGATGTCAACACAACCGGGAGCTTCATCTGTGCCCAAGCTGCAGCAAGGGAAATGGTCAAAGCCAACACCGGCGGCCGCATTATTTTTATCGCCAGCATATCAGCCCATAGGGTCAACTATCCGCAGCCGCAAGTAGCGTACAACACGTCCAAGGGAGCTCTTTTAATGCTGAAAAGGAGTCTCGCGGCAGAGTAGGCGCGGTATGGAATCACTGTGAATAGTATCAGCCCGGGATACATGGATACTATTCTTAACGAGGGAGAAGGACTGGCGGATGCAAGAAGGTCGTGGGCCGAGAGAAATCCAAGCGGAAGAATGGGAATGCCTGAAGAATTGAGTGGAATGGTTGTACTTTTATGTTCCAGGGCTGGAAGTTTTATAAACGGGTCTGATATGGTTGTTGACGGCGGCGGAATAGTCTTTTGAGTGCCCGCCATAATCCACCAGTCGCTGATACGAAAGGATATTCTGTATCTAGCCAGTCACCAAAACCAATACTCATGATAAGAATATCAACGGCTATTCCGAGGCGGAGCCATCACTCCACGTATGCTTACACGCCAAGTCCGACTCCACAGAGATCAGCCATGCAAGTAAGCGGCCAACAAAAAAACAAGTCGATCCAACAAAATAGCGTAGACACTTGATTGTCCTCGAATAAAGAACCCGCATGTGAAACATTCGGAATTGGGATAATCCCAGAACCGACCCAGGTTGCATCGGAAGCCATGGAAGCTTGGGGTCAAAGCGACGGAGGTTCCACCAAAACCCAATCCTTCTCAAACTCCGACTTCCCCTCTCTTCATCACTCAAACTCCGAAAGCTATGTCTTCAAGATCGCTCTTCGTGAGTGCAAAGATACTCATGATTAATGGCAATGGCTAAGTGAATATAGGGGATCCTACTCATTGGACTGGTTGCTTCTTTCGTGTACGAGAGGATCAATCTGATTCAGACCTTCTATCAAAATACTCCCTCGCGTATCACCAAGGTGAACAACATCGGGAAATATGAAGTCAAATTTGAAGATCAGATAAGGAGTTGCGAGGATGTTTTACTCATAGAGGAGTATCATCTTGCAGTTCTAGCCTGTGATTCAGGAAGAGAGCGACACAACACCGTCATGGTTCGTTTCAGCCCCCCATCCTCAGCCGTTGCCACTAACAAGTGCAGGGAGTCTTTGCAGGAAATGTCACCAACAATGCTGAGCTTTGGGCGTATGACTACACAATCACCGATGGCCCCGACGCTGAATCCCTCAAGAGGATCAAACTACCTGGATTTCCTCATGCATCTGACTTTCACACCCTGGGTATGGCGTTTGATCTTGAGACCTCAAATCTCTTCGTCGTGAGCCATGCCGTCGCAGGATCACGTATTGAGCTCTTCAATCTCGACATTGGATCATTGACTGCTAGTTACACCCAGACCATTCAGCATCCTCTTATCAATGCGCCAAATTCAATCGCTTCTATCAACGGACATGAGTTCTACGTGACCAATGATCACTACATCACTAAGAAGCAATCGTTCCTACTCAGCAACCTGGAGACATACTTGGGCCCACCAACAGGAACAGTGGTTCATTTCAGCCTCAAAGATTCAGACTTAGATGCCAAGATTGTTGCTTGGGTTCCTTTCGCCAACGGTATCGAGATCCTCAACAGTTCAACCGTTGCGGTGGCGTCATCCTCACGAGCAGCCATTTATATGTTTAACACTTCAGACGCCACAACTTTCAAAGAGACCTCCAGGATCAAACTTCCTTTCCTACCAGACAACCTCTCCAGATCTGGTGCAAAGCTCATGATTGCGGGACACGGCAACATGCCTGCCCTGGCGAAGTTCACCCAGTCACGTCGCTTTTGCAACGACCCTTTTGAATATGAACGTGCAGACCCTACTATAAAGGAGTCCTGTGGTAATCTGCAGGCTATTTCTTGGGTTTCTGAATGGAGCGAGAGTGAAGGACTGAAGCACCTGTACGTTGACACTGAATACCCGTCGAGCTCGACTGCTGTCAAGGACGCTGAAAAGGGCGTTGGAATTATCAGTGGACTTTACGCCAAAGGAATATTGATCTGGAGAGATGGGAAATAAAACCATACTAGCTTTGCGTTCACTGTGGAGTATTGGAAAGAAAAGCGAGATCTAGAACTAGAGGAGAGTATTCGGAGGCGAGGAATTCTATCAGAGCGAGTGGATGCAAATGCCTTTCGACAGGTGAATTCTTCAAGCTGGCTTTGGTCAATCACTGTGCATACGATTGAGGACACAGGGAATGACAGCCCGCATTCACAGTTGGAAACGAGACTGAACAACGGAGTCTGTGTAACATCTTGCGCCTTTCACTATCTCTGCACCTCAAGCCCTGTCAAATAACATTACCGGATAAAGGATTCACAAGGGGACGAAGCAACTATTCAACAATACATATGAGGTCTTATGATATCCTTTCGTGAATAAGCACAGAGACTCAGGTATGAATTTGCCCATTTCGTAGACTTTGGACGGAATACGCTCCGTTTCATCGTATCTAGATCGATCTGGGCGGATTTCCCTAGCCATAGTGACATCAAGCATTGTAAAACATTTCTTCCTCGATGTTGTCCGTGGTGATGATCACGTCATGCAACCTCGCTGCTTGAAGCTGCGGGCAGGTCGAGATGACAATGCCTCTAATATCCCTGTGATGCATAGTCAATGTCTCGAGATTGGGAAAGTTGGAGGCGTCAAAGTCGCCCAGCCCAGGCTGAGACATCATGCCGAGTTTGATTGATTCGATCGAGTCTCGGTGAGGTTTTAGGATATCTCCAACCAAGGCTATAGTCCACTGGGGGTCTCTTCTGCCTCCAAATCTAGACGTGAAGTCCCATCGCAGAGTAAAGTGCTTGAGGCCTTTCAGCCATGTCACAAAGTTTCTCACCGAGTCGGGATGATCGGACGAGTTAACGAGAGTGAGAGTGGAAAGAGAGAATCCAGAACGTAGATTGGAATTGCGAAGCTAATTGCAGTCAGTCAGTATCCAGCTGCCTCGGTACATATGGGTGTATGGTAAAAGGATACTTACCCTCCCGAGAGCATTACTTCCATGTGGGTGCGAGGAGTGACGCACACGCTGCCGAATCATCAAATGCTTGAGGTCCGAGCAGCCGCCACTCAAGGCCAGTTGAATATCGTATAGAGTCAGAACATCGCGATGGTATGATATGTCGTTCAAGATATCGATGCATTCCAATCGTGGCATGCTCATTCTTGCACAGGACAGTACACGGTAAGTGATTTCGCCAAGCTCCGGGATAAATGTGCCATGTGCATCATACCCAGATATGACTAAGACTCTAGTGTTGTAAAGCCAATTTGTACAATCCAGGATGATCGAAGCAACCGTTCTTGGCCAGGGAGTAGAGGGTTGATGCGGCTCCGAGGAGTCCACGGGAACGCTGAAGGATTCCACAGGGCCGCCCTGTAGCAGGTTTCGTCTTTGGACCAATATGAAACGAGTGCAAAAGCGGCGAAGTCCTACATTCTCTCGCAAAGTGCGATGCAGACGCACGAGCCGTGTGGAGGTTGAAAGCCGGGCGTTGAGGCCATCATCATGATATTCATCTGCGTAAATGCATATACAAGAATAAAGGACCTCGGTTGCGGCCGCGCTGAGCCTGGGACAGACCAGCGCCAAAGAAAGAAGATCGTCGTAATAAGGGAGGGCCACTTCATTCGGCCCTCGCTCAGAAGACTTCTCCATGATCATGCGTAGCACTTCATTAGGGAGTTTCAGGAGGGGGAAATGATCGCGTTCCGGGGAGAGATCCATCGTCGTGAGGATCTAGGTTCGTTCTGCTGATTTAAGCTCTCAGCCACGAGCCTTAAAATGCAAAGAACACTGAGGATCTGAAATCAGTGAAATGAATGTTGGATGAACGAAGGAGGAGAGGAGAGGAGAGGAGAGAAGAGAAGAAGCTGAGTCCTCAGATGAAGGTAGACCAGGAAACAGAGAATGAGCCCCGGCAGTCGACTGATATCGGCTCCATTGGCGGCACTGGCAGGCAGGTGCTGAGAGAACAGTGACATACGGCCTAGTTATTTCAATGTAGACCATTGAATCATCAGTTTGGAATTAGGGTGCAAAACGTTGGGAACTCCATTTGAATCGTGCCGTACCTAGTTAAGAATGATATCTATAACTTTTGACAATGACCGTTGACCTAGGCAAAGTCGACCTTATTTAGCAAGGACTATCGTTTCTTTTAATAAAAGCATAGGAGCGCCTTTGCGTTTCTATGCTTTGATACTAGATACCGAAGGCCGTAGGAATGTTGAGGCAAACTTAGATATCTTAGGATAGGTAGGTATAGGTAGTTGAGGATAGGTAATCGTTCCCACGACAAATATACGATAAGATAGGTCTGTAGGTAATTGAACAACACATGCGGGTCCCGATACTGCCAAATCGATCGCTCTAGACCACTATTGTCACCTGGCTAAGGGATTTAGTGGAGTGATTTTCTTTGTGGCCGCCCATCTCCACAAATTCATGGAGAGTTTTTTCCCATTTTCTTTCTTTTCTCGATATTCTTTCTCCACTCGAGGACCCTGAACTTTCACTCTACATTCACCGTTCAATTCACCACTAAGACTCCCAATCACCGTCACCATGCCTATCTCAAAGAAGGATCGCGTATGTCCTTCACTGATATAAACTGCGACTTGGAAACTCATCTGACATTTCGCAGAGAAACAAGGAGCACAAGAGGGCCGACGCTGCCGGTACCCGCGCTCCTGTCAAGCCCAATGGTCTCCCCGTCAAGGCTCCCAAGCCGACCTCAATCGTATGCAACTCTTCTCATCAAGTAGATGTTAGCTAATGTATGTAGTGTCAAAACTGCCGCAAGGAGATTGTCAACACCAACAAGCTCCAGCTCGAGGTCCACGCGTCAACACACGACGCTAAGCTTTGGCCCAAGGAGAAGTGCTGGCCCAACGATTTCCAATAGATGACAAATTGGTCTTGGTTTTTTGAGGGAGAAAACGAATGGTTTTGCTACAGAATGGCGCATGGGCTGAATTGAGGGGTTGCGCGGTTTTGAGTCGTGGTAATGATTCATGAAAGGAAGATAGACTGGCAAAAAAGATGAATGGACAATCCAGGTGTTTCTTTGATATCTAAACACTGCCTGATTTCGTGCTACTCCAAGTTGCTATCTCAGACAAGCTCAGTTTATCCATCTCGAGATCCACTTCAAAAACACCAGGTGCACCTTCAGCAGCTTCATTCGGCCCCTTGCCAGGAAACCTCTCCCGTTTCAGATATAGACCGCCATCCTTTTTCGTCATGTAAAAGGTCAACTCTCTCCCCACTGGACCATCGGATCCTGATTCAGCTGGTCCGATGACAAAGTGTCTGACTCTCATTTCATCAGGCGGTAATACACCATACTGGGTCACAAAGCTATCGACGTCTTGTCCTGATATGCCGTGCTCTAGATCGACTATTCGCTGAGCAACGACCAGGAGTGTATGACTATTCCAGAGACTCTCTTGCGCAGCACAAAGAACGCCCATCAGCCGAAGTGCCTCTATACGAATTTCCAAAACGCGACATTTGATAGCAGCGAAGAAGAGATATGGCGCGAAACCCATCTCGAAATGAAATTCAGATGGTGTTGACCTCGCCCTTATTCCAGCTAGCTCTCGAGCGCCCTCGATCATACGTGTGAAATTAGGGATGAAAGCGTCATAATCCGTCTCGTCGGTGACGAACTGCACGCGCGATAATATCATGCAGACCTCGTACACATGGAAGAGCCATATCCGCGACGTCAACGATGTATGTGTCAGGCCCTGGGGCGTTTCATCTTCGAACCTTTCGAATGAGGATTTCCACTGTTCCAACAAGTCATGAATTTCATATTGTTCGAGAAGCACATCTGGTGTAGCTGGCTCGTTTCTCATATCGCCGAGACGGTAGTCGGCTGTCCGCCGGAAATGTTGTATAGTCATGTTGTAGATAGCATCGATCGAATTTTGAGCCTGAAAATGTGAAGAAAAGGATTCGGGTATCGCTGGAGATTCAGAGTAGCCCATGGGCTGTGAATCGCCAAAGTAAAATGGCAAGATACTCATCCGCCGAAATATCGGTAATAGATACTGGAGCACCCATTTCGGTGGATTCGAGGTATTGATCAGATTCATTCCATGGTGGCAATGTCTGATCGCCACGTCTCCATTAGACTGCAAAACCTCAATGCAGACAAACATGAGGCAAGTCAGTAATGCCAATATTATATCTGGCTTATGTGGAGTCTGGAGTTCTCGAATAGCTGCATTGTAATGCTTCAATGCAAAGACGCTTCTCTGGGTCGCGACAGCAGAAGAATTGTCCTTTGACTGCAGATTCTCAAAGAGAGAACTGATTGTCATGATGGAATGTCTGACAGCTGGTTCATGGTCGCAGAATTGCAAGACAACATTGGTCCAGAAGTATGGGTCGATAGGCCCTGATAACGAAGGAGCCGCAACCCTGCAGAAGAACTCGATAGCTCGTGAGTCGGCCCTCACATTATTGCCCAGGACGTGGTTCTGGGGACGGTACAGGGCAAGATGAGGGGATGAGGCCTGGCCATATCCCAGGCCTTGACATTTGCGACCCGCACTAATGCATCGCTGACACGTCGGTTTGCCTTCGTCGCATTTAATCTTACGCGCCCTGAGGAGAGGAGAAAGCGTTAGATTGCGAATTCAGTACTTCGATTCAATTGTGTTACCCACTTGCAAATTAAGCAGCCACTTCTCGTCTTGTGATTCCTCTTCCGGAGCATTTGATGTTGGCGGTGAAATGAAGTTGAGAACTGTTGGTTCGACGGGAACTGCCGACATGATTCAAGTCGCATTAGATAAGATAAGCGATAAGCGAGCCAATATGGGGCTCGACGAGCCAATTGACGGTCGCCAAGCCGTAGGGCTATGAGAATGCTACCTAACAAAGCATCAAACCAACAACAACAGCGACGATCCGAGTAATCATGGATGGTACTACGGCTGCCAAAAAGTGACGAGAAAAGAAGCAAAAAGACATACAACAGTGAGGATTCCCCGGTCGTCACCGACCCGAGTACTAATTCACCGCTCCTCGGCTTGACGATGGGAGAGCAGACGGGATCCCGTATTCTCCGAAGGCTGTGGTCGTATGTGAAAGTTTAGGGACGGCAGAAGCACTATCAAGGATGACTCTGATATTGGCCGTATTGTAGATCGATTAGATAGGAGAATGTCAAGTCTGTGGTGGCTTGAAGTCCGTTGCGCGGAAATCTCCGTGATCTTGAGCTAAGCCTTAAGGCTAATGCTTCGCGTGGATGAGGCTCTTGTGGCGCTTCGAACCGTTGAAAGTCAATCATCGCATCGTGAGAAATACTCGGTACCGTAGAGTTGATTTGAGCCTCTCGTTGTGATATCGTCTTTGCACTTCTTCAAACAGGCTTGAAGTCAGCCATTCACGGAGAGCGTCAATATTTTTACCTGGATCAACTCAGCCCCAAGAATCAAGCCATGCGCATCGGTCCCCATTTGGAATCCTCTCGGAAGAGATAAAATCAAAAGAATCTCTTCTCTCATCACCCGTCAACATATTATCGTCGTACCACAGTAGTCTGACTCACCCTCGCCCGAGGTTATTCTTAGAGACGCCACTAGCAAGCTGATAGCAGGGATCTCATCCATGATCCATCCATCCATCCATCCCATCCATTTGCCTGCCCTCTTCCCCGCCCCAAGCTTATCAAAGTCACTTGACGTCCCCTCCCCTCGCACCACCAATTTCTGCTACGTTGCAGATCATGTTTCCTTTGTTGCTGCGATGCTACCCAATCACTTCGGCATCGTATTATGCTTGTAAGACCTCAGCACCTTCCTTCGCGCCAAGATCGACGAGATGCTCATTGCTCCTCCCCTCGTATTTTGGGGTCCGAGTCTGTGTAGACCATTAGTTAAATAAGTAGGTAGTAATACTGAAACCTTGAAGTGCATACATAATATTGATTACAATCTTCTTCATCTCGTATCTTACGTCTACAGCCTCAAAATGCATTCCTTTGTCTTCCTAGCTATCGGGAGCCTTGCTGCAGCTCACGTTCCTCCTGTCAGCGTTCCATCATGTCCTAGATCAAACAGAATCGCATTTTCAAAGTCCGTACCCGATCAGGATCCCTTTCCCCGTACGCAAATCGACCTCTGCTACACCTCGACTGCTCTCTCTCTGACCTTCACGGCCCTTGACGAAAAGAGCTTCTATTTCAACTCTTCGCAAGGTACAAACGATGACATATGGGCGTACGAAGTCGTCGAGGCTTTCATCTACAAAGGGACTAAGGATCCGCAAACATATCTCGAGTATGAAATCAATCCCAACAACGTGACGTACCAAGCTTTCGTCTACAACCCAACCAAAGACCGTGAGGAGGGAGCTCCATTCGATCACTTCTTCATCGCGGATCCGGAGGCCGATGGTTTTGAGGCGGAGACAAAATTGAACAGACGTGCAGGAACGTGGGTTAGTAAGGTCAAGATTCCACTGGGTTTGTTTAACGTCGATCCGGGATGTGCAAAGGGAACAAAGTGGAGGATGAATTTCTTCAGGACTGTGACAAATCCGAAGATCTTTCCGGATCAGGAGCTTGGGGGCTGGAGTTCGCCCGACAAAGCGAGCTTTCATATCACCAAGTTTTTTGGGCATGTTGATTTTGTTTGAACCTGGACTCCCGGGACTATGGACTAGCAACAAGATTGAACACACAATGAAATTCAATTCCTACTTGATCTCGAACTGGTCCAACATTTTAGAATGTCTATGAAGTCTACACAACAACAAAGATTCCATAATCCAACTAACGCTCAATCTATCCGATAATTTGACTTTGGTACATCTCGCCAAGCCTTTATTGCACCAGGCCAGACACGTAGTAAGCACAGTATGACAGGTATCGTTATCAGTTGATTCGTCATTATGATAGTACGTCAGTTCATTCATTACTGAGATATCCCTAGCTAGGTAGTCTACCCTGGAATCATGGCTCCATAGCAATAGTATTTCACAATTTCTCCATATCCCCCTTCATGCCCATTAAATCATTCTCCTAAAATTTAAACACTACCTCGCTCAGGTTGCTTTTCGAGATGACCAGCAGGCAAAACATCGGCCAATGTCTCATCAGTGCCCTTGAGATCGTCCTCAGTGCTCACGTGGTCACGAATCTTGAGGAGGATGACGGGAGCAGCAACGACGAGAGAAATGGAGAGAAGAGTCCAGTTGCTGATGAACTCAGATCGGTAGGAGATCTTGCGTGCATCAAGGTTGTTGACGACTGCGGCGCCGACGGACTGAATACCCTTATAGAAGCCGACGTAGTTGGCAGATCGTCGACCAGAGTTGGACAAAGCGCCCATAAACCTAGAAAGGTTAGCAAGGTAAAGTTAAAGCTACAACTGAGGAGACTTACCAGTAGACAGTAGCCTGCCAAGCAGCATCGTAGAAACCGTAGAAAATGTACAGAAACATGGGTCCAGCGTATCCAGAGTCTGTCCAGTCGCCTGGCACGAATCCTGAATCAGGAGAAACAGTCTCACGAGTGTAGGTCTTCTCGAAGGCATAGCCACCGCCCCAGATAGCAAATGTCAAGACAAATAGAGCAGCCCAAGCAGCCTTGGCACGGGTGGTACGGCGGAACTGCTCCAAATCGAGAAGCCAGCCCCAGAGGGCAGCAGCGAGAATTTGAGCCAACCAGTAAAGCAGACCATTGAGAGCCTTGGTTCTGGTGTTGAAATAGGCACCGTTGACAGAGTTCTGTTGGTAGACGTAGAACCAATTGGATGAGAAGAACATGGGGAAAAGAAGAAGGACGAAAGGCTCGAAACGAAGTGTCTCCCAGAGACCCCAAAGCTCGCTCTGCCATGTTGGGTTCTTCATGAGGATGACGCGAGTGCCATCTTTGCGGATGATGTCGTTAGCGTTGCAAAGGGTGAGAGCAAGGATAGCACCGAAGAACATGAGAACAATGAAGCCAATGTAAGTTCCATCACTGACGGTCTTGTTCTCCTTGATGTTGATGTTTTCGCCGAGGGGAATCTGCGAGTCGAATGAGCACTTGTATTGAGTATGTGGACAAGAAACTTACCAGGCTGCCAATAACAGCACCCATGTTGAAAATACCCCAGAACCAAGCGAAATATTTCCCCTTCTTGTTCTCATGAGGATACGAGATCATGATGGTACCTTGCGCGGTCCATAGCAAAGCGGCACAGAGACCAAGCCAAACACCGGCAAAGATGTTGAAGCCAGGAACATGCTTGTGAACCGAGACAAGAAGACTGATGGCGTAGATACCATAGCCGACACCACCGAAAGCGAGACATAGTTTAACACCGAGTTTGTTGACAAAAGTACCGCCGAAGAAGCCAAAGACTGCAAAGGTGGCGTAGAGAGCGGTGTTCTACCCCAGTCAGCACGCGTCACTTGGGGAAATACATAGAAATGCTCACCATGTTGTCAGCCAACGTGGGATCAGTTTTACCACCGCCACCGAGACCTCCGAGGGCATTGAACATGCCAGGACACATGAAACAGACAAAGGCGACCATGCCAAGCTGAATGCGCGGCGAGGCATACCAGGGGAGAGTCTTTCCAAAGAGGCTGAATCGTCGATACTTCCATCCGCGGGGGAGATCAACATCGGTGTGATCATGGTAGTCAGCCTCAGTTGAGATGCCGCCCTTTGAGGTAGCGGTTGGTTGTTCGTCGGCCATGATTGAGGTGGTTGATGGTGAAGCTCAATTGGAGTAGCCGTTGAACCGTTGTAAAAAAGGAAATGGATGTGGATGCTTTGGCTGATTTATTAAACCCGTTGAAAAGGCGGGGGTGGAGATGGTGATAATAAAGAAAGAAAGTAAGTACATAAGAAAGCGACGGGACCGTGGCTCTGGCGTGGCAGTGGAGCCTTAGGTGCCTGCGATAATGGGTACGAACTGGAGAAGGAGTGGCACGCGACCGTAAGATTCGGCGATTGTACCAAAATAAACACCCAAACGCTCCCACTCACTGGTCGAAGGGCCTGGGCGGGCAGATTATTGAGGGAGGGGGGAGGAGAAGAGATGAGACGAAGGACGGACGGACGCATCAGTGCGACGTTACACCCTGCGGCCTGCCCTACCAACCCCTACCTTACACTTTACAGTGCCATAGAATGGTACCCCTAGACTACCAGCAAATGCACAATGCTGGGGGCCATGCCCGCTACTTATCGCGGGGTCGAGATAGCCGTACACTGATAGGCGATAGGGCCAGCCACCTGACAGGCTCAAGGCATGATCTACGGCCCCGTTCAGAAGAGGGTGGCCACTCAATCACCTTCCGATAGGGAGATAGCCTGATAGTCTAGTGAGTGAGATTAGCTCTCTGTGGAACATGAATGCAACAACCTGCGGCTGCAATCCGGCCATTTATCACCAATTGCTGCCAGTTTCGATAACGGCTGCTACTCCAAGTGCTACGTTGAAGCTATTCGCACCCGACCCTTTTTTTGCTTGCTTGGCTTGAAGTGTAACCAACCTCGAACCTCTCTAATCTCTCTTCTTTCCGTAACCGGACGCTTTCTTACCTACTTGGTTCGGCTGGTTACATCTAACGTTAATTGAAACAGTTCCCCCGCACGATAAACAAACATGTTACAAGCAGACAATCATTCTTCAAGTCGTTGTTTTCTCATTGTGCATCGTTACTCGACAATCTCGTCTGTAATCTGTGGAATCTGACAGCGTATCACGACGTTGCGTTGCGTTGCGTTGCGTTGCGTTGGCCTCGGAGTGCCATCGCTTCGAGACGGGTCAGCTGCAAGGATTACAGTGACAATCACAACCCTGGTCAGGTAATGTTTCAGCCGTCATCATGCACAAAGGCTCGAGCTTACTCAGTACATTTCAGCTCAAATCACAATGTAACACACGTGCCTCCTACGTTTTCAATGCCTGTCATCACTTCAAGCAAACATACATACCTTTAAATACTACTTGAACATTTTGATAAAGTTTCTGAATTGCCTAAAAAGGGTAAGAAATTCACGATCATGGTTGTATACATTTGATTCACTAATAACATCAAAGGCAGTAGAGTTCGCCAAATTCTCATGTCTGTATCTAGCATAGTCTATAGATAAAGCTCCTTTTTCATCCTGGATCTCGACATATGTTCGCCATGCCTCCCAAAAGTGAGCTTGGCTAAATCAAGATGAGTGTCTTCGTCCGTCATCTCCTGTGTCATGAATCAATATACCACAACATAACTCCCTGTTCCCATTCCGCATCCCACAAGCTAGGACTTAGCCAACAGTTTGCCATGACAAGATTTACTCAACAAGTTACTGAATCACAGAGCTCTGGCTGCCCTCACCAGCCTTCCCATGACATGAGCCATGGGGATCAGGCAAATACCCCTGCAGGATCTCATTTGTTTCTCCCATTTCTTCGGAGCATGAATCGCTTTCTTCAAAAGGAATTGCAAACTCCTCATCCTCCTCAGGCTCTGGGTCAGCGCTGACATTCACAAACATTGTCTGAGGGATCTTGTACACCTCGAAGTTTGGTATCGGTATCGAACCAAAAGCGCCAACATTTGCAATCTTCTCAGTTATAATCGCTGGGCTATTTTTGGTATGCTCCTGAATGATTTCACTTGCCTCACGAAGTGCGTCAACCTCATTCGTACAGCTGGCTAGCGAGATAATGTTAAGCATGACATCGACTGTCGGCCCAAGAGGATCAACCCTCAAGTCTAGGGAATCTAGGGTTGAAGCGCATCGATCGCTGATATCGTTGAACAGCGAAACGCATAGATTGTGCATTGCCAGGAAGGGAAATGCTAGCTCCCTCGACTCTCCGGTCAGGGCTAAGGCGAATTGCCTCAGCTGTTCGTCAGGGGAGGGCTGCGTTGCCTGCTGACGGTCTTTAGACTTGGTCTTCATAAACCGTTTCTTGACTAGTTTCCTTTCTTTTTCGTCAAGAGGGACGAGGGTATGGACATCTTCGCCAGCGATAGTTTCCTTGTAAAGATTGGCAGATAGAATGTAGGCCAAATCATCCTCTGATAGGTTGGGGACGAGACGTTTGTGAACTATGTCGGCGAATATCATCGACACCGGAGCTACACCCTGAAGTTCAGCGGTAAAGGATTTGAAAAACTTTTGTGGTTCCCTTTGATTGCGTCCCATGCGAAGATATTTCAAAGCTGATGGTTTAAAGCCAAGCTGGATTAGGAGGCGTGTGGCAAAGTCCTCTCGTTTCTCCGGCTTGCTTGCGAAAAATAGATCCTGCTCCTTAAAGCAATTTTGAAATGAATCCATGTCTATCCACGGTCCCTCAAGCATCTTCAGCTGTTGCATGGCGTTGTACAAGTGAGCCATAATTGTCATTACGCCAGCATCCTTGACAAGCCGCAGTGCCATATCAGCCAAGTAAACTCTGGCACAGAATAAATAAAGACCAGAAAACGTTGGCAAGATATTGAAGATTTCGAATGTACCTTCTTTGCATTGGTGGCGGGTTCCTTTTTCTGGCTCGGCACGTTCCTCTTGGGGGTCACAGTATGACAAAATCTTGTCAAAATACTGGATAAGTCGACCAACGCTCTCATCAAGGTTTGGGGGACCAGGGGGCGAGCCTGGTAGTGATAGACTGGCAACGAAAGCCTGGAGTTGGTCTCGCATGTCCTTCGCATGCTTGCAAAACTCCGATGAGCCTCGTGCTAGGTCTTCCCGCATGATATGAAACACATCAAGGTGAACTTGGTAAGCAAACGCCAGTTCGAACGAAAACACATGATCCTCGCTTGCTAGAAATACAAACGTTGAGAACTTATCCATGACTCCACACTCTCTGCGATGCTTGGCAAACACCAGGGCCTCGTTCCAAAATCGTGCTGCCATCAACTGGTCAACTGAGAGGTCCAGAGTAGCAGCTTTGTTCCCTGGCACACCGCAGCGAGTCTTTAGACTGCGCATCATCTCATGAGTGTCAAAGATGCTTTCTGTTGGACGCGGGAACATCGTTTTAAGCGGCTCAAGGATGGCGAGTACATGGGAGAACGTGGAATTGAATAGTTCCGTTAGCTGAGAATCGACATGCTTGCCACTCCAGCACTCATCAATTTGCTGCTGCGAGTACCCATTTAGAGCAGCTTGCATGGTAAAATGCATCCTCCCAACTCGGATACAACCGCCGTATTTGTCGAAAAGTTTGAAAGACTGGCCCACAAGACGCTCTACCATATGTATTCCAGTATCCGTGATTACTCCAGCAACTGTGAGGTCAAACTTGCCATCACGGTAGCCTTTCCAAACCCATGCGATATGGTTTCGGATTGTCTCAGCGTCGTTGATCAGAAGTCTCCAGGTAAGCAGAGCATCATCGAGGCAGTCCTGTTCTTCTGCCTGATATGTGGCAGTGTCTTCCTTTATCTGTTGGGGGCGCTCGATGTCTGGTGCGTCCAAGAACTCACGCGATGGGTCATCCAACGCGAGTAGGTTGAATCCTTCGATAACCTTGCTTGGCTCAGCTGGCTTTTGCTTTTTGACTGCTTTCATGTTGGGACGTAAAGTATCTCGGACAGTTTCCATCACATGGACGAAGTGAAGATGCTTTTGGTTGGCATGTTCATCAACCTCAATTCCATGCTTCACCATTTGAGATCGAAACGAAGATCTCCCGTAGATGACTCGGCCAATGGTGTCAAAGAACGTCGGCGGTACCTGGATGGTAGGCTGTCGATGTGCAACGATAAAATTAGCCATAGGGACATAATCCCTTAAGGCGACAATATACTTTTTATCGGTCCCATCCTTAGTTCCAGTGGCCTGGCTCTTTGCCTCCTTACGAGCCTTTCCCTTTAGGCGGCCGGAAGGTTTCTTCTGGTTGTCCTTATTGTTGGGCTCAGCCGTCTGTGACTTATAGCCATAGTACTTTGCCTTTGACGCGAGCCAACCGGCGACGGAGTCTGTGTCCTTCTTATACAGCTCCAAAGTACTGACTAGGTAGGGCGGGAGTGTCTGAGTTTCCATTTTAAGGGACGTGGTCATGAGACGTACTGGTAGCGTCGTCGAGGGTGGATTGCTAGGGGGGATGGGTCACTTGAAGAAAGGTAGAGGCTGAGATGACTTGTCGAGTCCTAGTGAAGCTGAAAGTCTGACAGAAAAGGTAGACGGAAGAATAAGACGGGAAACATTATATACATACTGGGCTCGGTGCCAGTAGAGGTTCGTTCATCGATGCGAACGACCTGTTCCAGTGTCAGGGCCATGGTTCCACAGGCAGAGACAAAACTTAGCTTCACAGTGGCTTATTGGGTGCTTAGGACATCTATCTGTTCTTCCTATAGCCTGGTCTGCGTCATAGGGTGCTCGGACGAAAAACTGACTGTGTCAAATGAGATGAGAACTAGAGATCTATTCCTCAATTACACTTAGTTTACAAGGCATTGTCTATCTACCTACTTACAGAACTCAGTTGCGATACTGGTCAGTCCCTCAGCTACTTGTTCAATTGACTCGATGTGAACAAACTCCTCCTTCCCGTGAAATCCCTCTCCCTTTGGTCCCCAGAGCAGAGGCACTATCCCTTTCTCAGCCAACAAAGCGCAATCGGTCCAGAACGGGGCACCGGCGGTAACCGCGTCTTTGCCAGTGACACTGCCTACAATGCCGGAGACGAGCTTGGTGAAAGGGTGGTCCGCCGCTGTGAACTGGGGCGGGCGGCTGAAGAAGATATTGGCTTCTGCCTTGAAGTCGGTGACTTCCTTTGCTACCTTGGCGATAATGTTGTCGAACTCTTTCTGAACAACTTCATTGGTCTCTCCAGGGATTGTTCGGCGCTCTGCGATGATGGTACACTGTGCGGGATACGACGATGCCTCCTCGCCGCCGTCAATAACGGATGCGTGTGCAGTGCCTGTTCCCAAGGTCTCGTCTCCGTGACCTCCTTGCAACTTCTTAGCGTATTTTCCGAACTCAACGAGGAAATGGCCGGCATTGACAATGGCGTCGATGCCCAGATCAGCCCGTGAACCATGTGCAGCCAGTCCATAGACCTTGATCTCAATGTGACAGTACCCTTTGTGCGCGTGATTGATCTCGAGGTTCGTTGACTCCGATACAACAGCGGCATCTGCTCTCCATCCAGCGCGAAGGATGTCTTCTGTTCCCTTACTCAAGCTCTCCTCGTCGGCAACACCAGTGAAGATCACATCACCACGAAGGCCAAGCTTCTTAGTATTGGCAAGCGCGATCATGCCTGCTGCGACGCCTCCCTTCATGTCAGCGGATCCTCGGCCATAGAGACGCCCGTCTACAATCTTGCCGCTCAATGGATCATCGTCGTAGCCCATGATAGTGACTGTGTCGAGGTGTCCGTTGAACATGACGCTTTTCCCGCCGCCGGAGCCGCGAACAACACCAACAACAGAGGGGCGACCCTTTGTGTACTCTACCCAGTGCGTTTCCAGATCCCTATGCTCGAGCCATGCAGCGACATAGCGAGCGATGGCTGTCTCACCAGGTCCGGGAACAGAACCCAAGTCGGGACTGGCTGAGTTGATCTGGACAAGAGTTTGGGTGAGTGCCACTGGGTCATTGCCAGAAACGTCGTGGGGTACATCGTAGTCTCTGTTTCGCTCTGTGCAAAAGATCACGACAGTGGACTTGTCATTGAGCCCAAGGGCCTTCTTGTCATCCTGTGTAAGCCGTCTTAGTGCAGCGAGAGTCGAGCCTCCGCAGGGCCCAGCGTTGATGCCTTGAGATTGCAGATACAAGGTGGACTGGTGAGCTTCGTGGTCTGACACGGTCAAGCTTGCATCCACGCCATTTTTCAAGAGGTCCCATGCGATTGTTGAAGGAGCTCCGCAATTGAGACCAGCCATGATGGTGCCGGTCGTTGGGATCTCTGTGAATTCGCCCTTCTCCAGACTCTTCCACAAACACGCCGCAGTATCAGGCTCAACTGTCAACGTGGAGGTGGATGTACCCTGTCTCTTGAAGTGAGAGACAACAGATTGAGCGAATGATCCGACTCCGACAGGAGCGATGACCAAGTCAGCTTTGGCAGAACCGAGCTGCTTGTCAACCTCTCGCATCATGGTACCGTAGCCATCGACAATCCACTATGGCAAAACATTAGGATTAAAGCTATTCATGGTTAGAGAAGTATTACTTGCCTGTGGAACGGTCTGATAGTCACCGAATGCATGGTCCTGAACCATGATCCCCTTCTCATGCTTGGCCGCAGACTCGGCCTCAAGCATCGCATCCTCATATCTACCCTTTGACATGACAACTTTGGCGCCCTCAGACTCAATGAGCTTGACTGTCGAGGGGTGCATCGATGCTGGTACGTGAATCTCAGCTGGAACATCGAAGATAGCACCCATGCGAGCCACCGCACGTCCATGGTTCCCTTCTGTCGCCGCGTACAAGGTCAATTGGTGAGACTTTGCCGCTTCTCGGACAGTATCAATATCCGAGTCAAGAGGCAACCCAAATTCCTCGGTTATAGAGCGAAATGCGCCCCAAGAAGCACCCAAGATCTTGAACGCCGGAAGGCCGAAGCGGTTCGTCTCGTCTTTGACATGGACAGCTCCGACCCCAATCTCTTGAGCCAGGCCATCCAGACTAACAAGAGGTGTTGGCTCATAACTGGGAAGGCTCTGGTGGAACCGATCAATGACTTCTGTGGAGGCGGGCTCAGGTGAAGTCCATGATTTGGCTTTGGAGTTGAAGTGGACATGTCGACGACTGGTCATGATGCTTGTAGTTGCTGGGTTTCTCCAACTGGGATGAAAAAGGTTTGATGCGGAGAATTGGGCGGGGAAGTCAGAACAAGATTCGATGGAGAGATGAGCGAAAGGGATGTGATATTGTTGGGATGTTCTATACGTCTTGAGAAGGAATTTTGCAACATTTTTATACGCAGTTTGCAAGAGAATGCGCCCAAGTTGACATTGATGATGCGCCTTCTGGTGACCACCAACCCCACACAATGGGCATTATCATACTTCAGTTCCAATTCGTAATGTCAGGTCTCTCACCCTCAAATTATTGACATCTTTCGCAAGGCTTCCGAGAATATCTATAAAAATTGTTCTTATTAATCGTCCTTGATGGTTCATGAATATGTGATGAAGTTGAGTTATCGCACAAGTACAGGTAGACCGATCGTTGTCGGGCGTATGTTTAGCCGTTGTTCTAACGTAGGCTAGCTGAGGTTAGCTCGTAAGATCATGCAGAAACAGGCGATTCTATACGGCGTCTGGACCGTCGCTGTACGCATTCAGCAGGTCTGTAAAGACACTTCCTGTGTCGCTCCGCATTTCGGTTGAGGCCAATTGTATCGGACAGAGTTTGTGAACATGGTTTTATCAACCTTAGGTAGTCTAGAACAATGAGCTCTGTAAGGGATAGGCAGTTGGGGTTTGGTTGCAGCACGTTTAATGTTCCAGAACCACTGACAGCCACCCTGTAATCAGCAACTGCATTGAGAGGACGTTAAAGTATTTATCACAGTAAAAAAGAAAGAACTCTAAGTAATTTCCCCACGATCCATTATATGACTTCTATCTAGAAACCCTCAAGATAAGTAGGTAGGTACTGTAAATACGAGTAAGGGCAGGTTCAGCGGACTCACTGTCAAATTCACGATAGCGCAGCGCCCTCTAAGTACCTACCTGTTTTTCCTTCCACAGCACATTCAACTTGCCAATAGTGCGCATTGGTGCGATAAAGGCAGATCTCTTCAATCTTCGAGGATAAACAACAGATGATGGCCTGCAGTAAAACACCAAAGAATGTCGTCAAGGATATCCCAAACAGAACAGAACAGGCGGTGCGCGCTGTCACTTGCATCCCGGCTGTGACTAAGCCCGACATCGCTTCAAGCGAACGCTACGCGTGACGTTATCGCAACTTCTCTCAATCCAATACTCCACTCCAACATCTTCTTCACATGCCTCCTCATCCGCCCTTTGAAGTCGCTGAGAGGCTGCTGCCCTCATCAAAGTTTCATTATGGACTTTTCACTGGATGAAATCCTCTTCACTGGCGGCGAAGATGCTGCGTTGACGCTGCCTTACGACCAGATTGACGATCCAGTCCCTCAATCACGGAGTCCGTCAAATCCGCTTGCTGAGGGAGCGAATATCGATACCATGCTACAGACGATCAACCCTCAAGAAGCGTTCAACATCCAAAACACCGAAATCCCGGATTTTCAGATTGATTGGAATGCCGATTTTCAGCAGGCCAAAGCAGCCTCCGAGACCCCCGCAGATGGTCTCAACCAGGACTTTTCTTTTCTCAATCAACCAGCAACGAATTGGGGTATGCCAGCGCCGTTGCCAGCTTCCACTGATCCTATCAAAACGCCCACGACCTCAATTGATGAATTTTTTGTCAAGAATGGAGCATCCCGTCCTCCTGTGCCATGCACCAACTGCCGTCGAACTCGCTTGCAATGCCTAATCTTGCAAACTACGGTAGCAAACCCGAACCCTACCAAGAGTTGTTCGAGCTGTGTCGCCTTGTTCCGCGAATGCAGTCTGGCAGGGCAGAAGAAGAGGAAACCCTCAGAATTCGAGACGTCGGAGCCTGTCATCGGTCGCCTCCATGGAGTCAGCGAGCACAGCATCCTAGGAGTACCTGCGACCGTTGATGAAGGCCAATCATCGCAGGCCCTTTCAATGGCAGCACTGTCGGGCAAAAGAGCGAACACTCGGTCAGTGCGAAAGACGAGGGTGCTGCGAAATTGGTACCTTTCCAATCTCGACCATCCCTACCCATCGGAGGAAGAGAAAGCTAGTCTTTCTCAACAGTCAGGATTGAGCAGGAGTCAAGTAGTCAATTGGTTTGCCAACACAAGACGACGCCATCGACTCTCCTCGACTTACTCTGCATCGCCTGGCCGGGGTCGTCAAGGATTTGCACCAGGATCCCCCATGCCGCATTACCTCCGTAAAAACATGTCACCCTTGGATCGTTGGAAGAATTCTCCGCCCGATGAGGAGCCAGCTTCAGCGACGGCGATTCAAAACGCCTTGGCTGCTCAGTCAAGTGGACATAGTTCGCTGGATAGCGACGCGGCTGTATCTGATGGGCCAGGAACGTCTGCGAGCAATGACTCTCTCTGGCTTTCTAATCTACAAGAGGCGTCGTCCAACTCAGCATCTTCTTGTTACTCGTATCGCTCAAGAGATGCGGCATTCTTCTCTCGCTCTGGTAGTAGTTCAGTGGTAGAAGGGCCCTCCATATCTAGGACTGCATCCTCGAGGTCACGAACAAAGAAGTTCGTCGCGTTTCAATGTACATTTTGTGGGCAAAGCTTCAAGAAAAAGTACGATTGGGTTCGTCATGAACGGTCAATTCATCTCCCAGGTCTCGACTCATGGATTTGCGCGTTGCCTGTCACGCCAGATCAATCATTCTTAGTCTGGCGCATGAGTGAAGATGGCCCACAATGCCTTTTCTGTGGTGAGAACTCACCCAGCGACGAGCACATTCAAGCTCACGAATTTGACACCTGTGCCGAACGCCCTGTTTCAGAGCGCAAGTTTACACGCAAAGACCACCTCTGGCAGCACCTTCACAAGTTTCATGGGTGTCGCAAGTGGGATGGCTGGAAACCGGACCTGAGTCTGCTACAACACCGACAAGATATGATAAGAAGCAAATGCGGTTTCTGTCAAGTCATGATGGACAGCTGGGGAGAACGAACAGACCACATCGCTGCTCACTTCCGGTCCGGGTTGACGATGGAGCAATGGGTTGGAGGATCCGGGATCCACGACCCTGGCGATATGGGTACCGAAGGCCGGTAGATGAGCCGCTCTTGGAGGTGGATACAGATACGGTACGGGAGATGTCACTGACCCGGCATCGGTACGGAAGAATGGAGACAATCGGGGGAACCGATGCAGCCCTGTTGCGACACGTGGGAACCTTGTCCTGGTGACTCCACCGACGGCTAACGGCGGTTAAGTCCAGAAGGCCCGTAGAAGCATTGTTCAATTAATTCAACATTCGAAACCATTAAGCGAGATGCGCAAGCTTTCAGAAAAACTTGTCGAAACCTGAGTTCAGCTCAAGTTCATCAAGAGACCAATACTCAGTCTATGAGTGTCTCGACTGCCTCGTACCCTCCAATACCCCTGCGCCGTTGTGGGGAATCACGAAGTTGTGGCAAATGTCAAACTCTCTTTGACAAGTGACAAGAGACACGCGCGCAAAGAACAGTGGACATGTGAAATCCGGAGTTCGGATGACAGCGTCTCATTTGACAGCCCCTGGTCCGATTCTCCATGACTTGTCAGAGTCTCGACCATCCCTTGCTCACGCGAGCCGAGACTGTTGATTCCTGTTTATTTACGGCGGCCTTACCTTTTTGGATAAATTGGGCAACACCGAGCCGAATCAATGTCACGTACGTATGCGGGGATTCTTCTCTGTTGTTCTTTTCTGTCGGTACTCCTTTTTAACTCTGTTCTTCTTTTTTTTTTCTTCTCTCACATTTCATTCCTTCTTTTATTTTTTCTGTAACTTTGTTGTGTCTTGCTTCCCGCGTCTGTCGCCATCCCAAGCCTTCATCTTCAGCTTCATTCGCACAACTGCATTACTCTCTACAAGTCAGTAAAAACAAATCCTTCAAATCAGTCACCATGATCATCACTCGCGCCCTCTCCATCACCAACTTTGTCATCGCCGGCTCGGCACTCAGCTTCCAGGTGGGTGTCCTGTACCCATGGCACAAGCAGCTTGACGATGGCTTCGAGGAGCTCAAGAAGGAGCACTTGCGCGTCCTGCAAGCCGTCGAGTCGAAAGTACAGCAAACACGAGACGCCGCTGTCCTAGAAGAGAGCCGTAACAGCGTTCGCGGCTTGCTCGGCAACCTTGCCGCATGGAAGGCCTGAGCGTGGCCGACTTCGGGGGCAGCGTAGCAACAACAAGACACAACAAAATACCCAGCACAAAACAGATGAAAACCACATATACACAGGAGAGAAAGAGCACTAGCAGCGTCTTTTTGAATTCGACAACGACCAAATTTCCTACTACTCAAGGCGTTTCTTCCCTGTCATTTTCTCGGCGTTCAAATCCTCGGCCCGGGTGGGGCCGGCAACGGTCACGATCCGGGTGGTCACGTGTATCCCTGAACCCCCTCTTACGCATTTCAACGGTTTCACCCGATCGGGTTTTTCCTTCGGTACCATTACCTTAGCTTAGACGGGCGCACGGGAATAATCAGTCAGTTACGGCACGGGAAAGACATTTACATTTGATCTGCTTAGACTTTTTATAGCTCGCATTTAGTTTATGGTGTTTGCTAAATGATACTCTTTTTTTCTTCTAGAAGACTGCTATCTTGTCGCCATTGTGCACGTTTCAATTACCGCCGTGATGGATGTGTCGCGTCTCGCAACGCGACTCTTAGCTTGATCTCACAGTAACATAGGTCATGAAAGAATGGATCTTTAGCATGATGATCATGAGATAGAGAATATGTCATTGAGGTTTCAGCGCAGGTAAGCATCCATAACACGCCACCAGAATAACGTTAACACGCGACAGGCCTTGAAATGAAGCGTCCACCGCCATCTCCCACCGAAATGAGACCGACTCCCACGAAGCGCCGAAACATTACACCCGTCTAATCTTTCGTCTAATTGTCCACCTTGAACCAGACGGGGTTACTCGCGCTATTCGTCATGCGAACATCGAAGGTGCCCGAATAACCAGGCATGATACGCAGCGGCGCGGCATCGGAGACACGAACGGGGAGAGATTTGCTCCCGTTGAAGAGCTTTTCGAAGTTGCTGTTGAACTGGACAAGTAGCACGAGAATCCCGATGAGCGCGCCCGTCGCTGCGAGTTTGACGACAAGGTCGAAGAAGGCGATGACTTTGAGGAAGCCAGAGGAAGACTTTTCGGAGGTGGTCATTGTGGGGGTGGTTGATGCTTGAGGGGCGGTTGTGGGTTTATCGGCCATGAGCAGGAGTATTTGAAGGTGAGCAAGTGCTGAGGCAAAAGAGGAAGACGCGAGCAGAGATGACAGTGACAGTCCCAAGGCAGGGCTGGGAATGTAAGGCCTTGAAATACCGTAGGGCTATCCGAGGGAGACTCACACCGCAAGGCTGATCAACGGGGATGGGCACTGAAATAAGCTTAACTCACCAAGCTTCCAAGACATGAGACCGCCATTACAGGGGTTTAATTGAAGCTACTACATATTGAGAGAGCGCTAGATGCCAGATGGTGGTTTCCAGTGGTGGGTGTAATGTCGTGAAGGCGCTGTCATTTGATGAGCTTCCTTGCTTTTGGCGAGGATTCTCCACGTCGCATGCTATGCTTTCTTGCCCTGTTTATGAGGGCGGCGATGATGATCGTGGGATAAACGCTCGCATTTAGTTAGCATCTTGTCAATCTCAGAGACCAACTCAAACTAAAGTCTTGGGACTTGATTCCATTTTCGTATTGTCGAGAGCAAACAGCTCATAAGTCGTGAATTAGAGTAGAGGGGCACGCTACCCATCTAGCGCATTGTGGCTGACACAAAATCCAGTTATAGTACTAACTTCTCGCCAACCATATCTCTGTTGTTTCTGTTAGAGCGCTAATAGCGATGTCGCGTTATTCCGATGCCCAGGGATCATCCTCGCGATCTGCAGGAGCTGAAAAAGAGGCCCCCAGTTGGGCAAGCTTTGCGCGGCGGATGTTTCCCCAAGAATGTTCAAGATCGAGAGAAGAGATGGTGTGAGTAAGGGAATTTGGGTTAGGCAGTATGAGATCAGCTGGGAGATCACTGATTTATGACTACCTAGGTGCAGGAATTAGAGGTGCAGCCATCGTGGTGCTTAATTTATGGTGCAATTGGGTTCTAAAATTAGCAGCGATGCCCTGCTAGGCATAACCTCCAGCAAATAACTTACCCTGGAATGACATGCATTTTGCTGGGGTTTGGGCCATGTGAATCTTGGAATGCTGTAGATTTGACGGACTATTTGTTCCAACTTCAATCTTATGTCCTTGGTACATCCTAGCATAGCACCCCATCTCACAAAATCACACACGGTGGCGGTGTTTCGAACTCCTCATTCCTCTCCTCCAAAAACCGTTGTTCATTGCTCCAGCCAAGACCATCAAGCCTCTTTCTCATACTTTTCGCTTCTTCAAGATAACTCGCACCCTGAACATCCTCAGCATAATCATCCATCAACTTCTCCAGCTCCTCATGTCTATATCCATCGTCCAATGACGCCCAAACCAACTTCAAGAGCTCAGGCACGTAGGACGCTCCACATGGTCTGAATGTCTGACATCGATGGGCGAGAAGTACTGCATCATCGCATATTTCGTGAGAGTCTTGTTTGTAATCTGGAAGAACACCAAAGGCGTTGAGTGTCGGGCCGATGAGTGCTGCTTGGACGAGAAGACCTGCGTGGCCGGAGGCGTACTCTATAGCCTTCATTCTGCACGCAGGCGATGCATCCGTTGGGAGTGTTGCCACCATGGCTTCTTCGTAGAGTTTCTTCATCACGAGTCGTTCTTGAGAGAGAATATTGTAGTAGCATTTCAGCTGGTAGAGATATCTCTCCGGGTCTCGAAGAAAGACGGGTAAATCCCCTATTGCTCCGAGTTCGAAGCAGTAGAGGTTCTGTTGGTAGTGGTATGGCCGTGTCATGATAGTATCTTGGACGGCTACGTCCCAGAACCAAGACCCGAGCTCGACCTTTGGGTCACATAGAGCGGCGTATATCTAATCACTATTGTAAGTCAAGCCATGCATGAGTACGGGGAGGCCTTACCGCTTGTAAACACCAGGCTCGTATATCACCTGAGTGGAGCATCTCGCCTTGAGATACAGCTTCTTTCAACAAGTAGGCTATCACCCCTCGATGTTTATTGGCATGCTTGTTGTCAAGCCAGACCTAACACCATCAGTGTCGATACCAAAATGATTCACTGGGTATAGTTACCTGACATAGCATCATCATTAATACGAGTTCCAGCTTAAGCATGACTGGTTGATTTTCATCACTCAAACAGCCCTGCAAGGATCTCAACGCCTTCCCATAAAGAGAAAAGGTTTTCTTGTCAGCAGTCTTCCGCAGCCGTATTGCTTGGAATGATGCTATCATGGCAGAAGTAGTAGTATCAAGAGCAGAATTCGAGCCCATACGTCGAGGAAGATCTGCAAAGAAATAAGGACCATATGCTTCAAAACCAAACCGATCATCATCAATCTCCATAAGCGATATGAACTCTGCAGTCAGTCTAGTCGTATCATTGCTAGGTGTTTCAGCAGGAGGCGTGATGAGCTGTGTAGTCTGTGTATCAGGTTTGTACTGATGGAATTTGAAGCGTCTTGTCCCACTGCCGACGCACTCATCACCAAGTCTGATACAGCGGCCGCACTTTGGTTGCTTTTGATCACACTTGTCTCATTAGTCAGTGCTCCCTCTCCAAGATCATAAGTCAGACATACCCTCTTCTTTGCCTTTCGACATGAGTTGCAGCCGCGGCTGCTGGGAACACCGACCATTCTGTTTGATGACTGTTCAACGTTAGGTAACAAGAGTGAGATATCTCTTGGGGGAGATGACGGAAGAGGTGTTATGTAAGCGTGGGATGCTGACAGTGATCAGCCAATGGATGGAAGGGGAGACAGTGCGTGAGAAATTAAGCTTATTCTGCGGAGGGAAAATGCACCGCTTATCTGGCATTGAGCTACGGCAAACAGGCTTAGCTTGCCAGATTGGGCATGCGGCAGTTCTTGTACAGCATGTGCCAGTCTGTAGTGAGAATTCATACCTATCTTGGGCTACTTGAATTGTAGATAGATAGTTATAATTAACCATTAGAGTAATGATGAAGTTTCATGAGTACCTTGAAGCTCACACTGGTCTTCATAAACTGTCTGTATGGTATCAAGAGCTAGCACCCAGCAGCTTATCTCTAATCATCTCAAATGAACTCGCCCATCAGTTCCCCGATAGTTTCAATGGCCCCTGTAAAGTTCGCCTTTGGGAGATTCTCATTTACCCAAGGGAGAATCGGATCAATAGCAAAACATAAGCACCGCCAGTACAAAGCTCTCACGAGGAGCTGCACCCTTGTATGATCGGTTCCAAACATTTCAACCAACTCCCGATCTCCATTTAACCAGATGAGTCCGTCTGCTACTATGATAGCTTCTGCATACTCAGCAGGTCGCCAGTAAAGTGTGATGTCAATGATTGCCGGAGCTTTGTTGGTTTCTGAGTTGAACAAGACGTTCCCAGTCAAGTCACCGTGGACGAGCTGATTCTTGATTTCCTGTCGAAATGGCTGTCGTAACTTCAGAAGCTGGTCAAGAATTGGTTGAATAGTAGCCATAACATCGCTGTTGACATCGTCGACATCCCCGAGTTTCTTTTCCTCCCAAGTCACAAGATCTGCCTCTGTAAATCGATTCTGTCTCGTAGACAGAAAAGAGGGCCTATCAACAGGCAATCGCGTGACATCAGCATGAAAGGCACGGCAAGCCCTCATAAGAATATCAAACTGTTCCTGTGGAGTTGCTTTCCCTTCAAGATATTCCCAGGCCGTCCAACCATCACAAACATATCTCGCATCTGAAGCCTGTATTGGTCTAGGAACGCGGTAGTCGACAGGATGAAGCTCAAACAGAGATTTGCAAAGGGTTGCGATGTATTCAGATTCATTGTCATCGTCTGAAGGTCGGAGAAGTATGCCATGCGAAGTTTGGTAGCAAAGACCTCGACCGCCTGGGACGTGTATCAGAGGGCCCTCTAGACCAAAGGCATCCAAGACGTTTGGAGGAGGTAGTTGACTCATGATGGCCTTTCGAGACCTTCATTGAAACTATTGGGGAACATGCTGTTGTTCTTCTGTTTTATCTTCGAGTGTGACGACGAGGGCGCGCCCTTTGACTGATGAGTTAGGTAAGTCGACCAATGCCAGGGACGTTCATGTTATAGCAGTCTCGCACGATGTATCAAGTATATATGCACAGGAGTCGAACAGAGATGTGTTATAGATGTTCATTATTGTCACAGAATAATTAATTTCCGGCCTGACCGCAAGTCTCTGTCCAATGTCAATGAACATGTAAGCTATCTTCACAAACTTGTGATCTATGGAAGATTCGTACACACTCTTATTCATAAGAAGTAAATGACCAGCGCACTCCCATCGTGTATAGTATAACTCTAAAGTATGAATCAACTCGACCTCACGTCTGTAATGCAAGTGAAACCGCACACTCAACAGCAAACTCAAAACTCCTCGCGTACCACCCAGGACCCCAATAGCTCAGCTCAATATTATGCGGTGCCGCTTTTACAACACTCAAATCCACCCTCTCACTGTTCGGAAACCCCTCTCTGAAATGCTTCAAATGCTCCTCCGTAGCGTCCCAATAATGGTCTCTCTCCGCCAAACCGATCATTAACGGCACCGTAACATTAACACCCCATTTGTCCTTCCATCCCCCCAACCAAGACTTTCTCAGCGCCGCAAGTTCCTGAAACGGAATGGCGTGGTCCAGGCGCTCAGACTGTGCATAAACAGTTTCGTCTGCCGTTCCTGGAAGAAGCAAAGTCTTATCCTTCACTTCGACAGGGATGTTCAAATATGATGGTGGAGGATCGGGCTGTGAAACATGGCCGCCTGTGTCTTTCAACAGGGAGCCAAAGCCTGATATGACGATACCGCCGAGGGGATATGCAGGTGATGATGAGGTTGCGTGCAGGGATGATGCGACGATTGCGCCGTTGGCTCCGAGGCTGTGACAGTGAAGAATGATGCATGTGCATGCATTGGACAGTCCATACTCTTTCCAAACGGTTGGGAGAATGGATCGATGCAGTCGTCGTCCCCATTGTTCAGGATAGCTCGATCCTTCGGGAATACTACCCACGGGCGTAGTATCCCTATAATCCGGTCGATCTATAGCCACAAACGGCACGGAGAGTGCTTCACTGATACCCCTCGCCGAGTATTCTGGGGTAGCATCGAAGTAGTGGCTCGTATAGCACCCACCGTGAAGTCCAACCACCAACGGTCTATGCTTCAAAGTTGAGGGCGATGACGGAATGTTGGAGATTCCAGAGAGCACTGTGCCGTCTTGCAGGGAGAGTTTGAAGGGCTCCATGGCGTCTGACCAATTAAGCATAAATGACACGCCAAGCAATGAGAATCAGTTGTGGCTGCTGTTTGTATCGACCAACAGCATAAGATAAGCAGCGTGATACAGCAGAAAACGCTCGTGGTGGGGTTGGCGTTGGTTGCAGTGATGGCGGAGACGGGCAGTGAGTGATCCGGCCATCAATCAATCACGGGCTGTTGATCTCCCGCCCCCGATATCACTTAAGAACTAAGCCTCGGGGAGCAAGAAAACACAGGACCTTGACGTAGGGTATCAAAATAAACTTAGCAAAGAGCCCCCTGAGCTTAGGCTAGATTTACCTAAATATTTTTATTGCTTAGAGTCAAGGGCCTGTGTTTTCTTTCCTCCCCTAGCCAAGAAATGGGGATGGACAGTAACTCCACTTCCTCGGGCATTCTCTCCAACTTGTTTACCATCAATTAATTCATCATGCTTGATATAACAGATCCTCCGACGAATCCCTTGTATTTAGTCCCCGAGCTACAACAGCACGATCCTCCAATTGAACCGATTGACAGTACGCAAAATAATTATGATCGAGGGCGATCGGCTGATTTATTGTAGTGGGCGACGAATATCCAAGCGCCGAAGTCATTGGGATTGACCTCAGTCCCATTCAATCACCATGGGTTCCTCCTAATGTTCGATTCCTCGTTGACGACGCCGAAGCACCGTGGCTATACTCCGAAAACTCTATAGACCTTGTTCATTTGCGCAACATGTCCATTGCGATCAAGGATTGGCCTGCGCTGCTGGGACAGATCTACCGGTAACACTCCCGTGCCCCATGGGTGCTCACAGCTAACATGCCCAGCGCATTAAAACCAGGAGGATGGATCGAGCTACCCGAATTCCGGTGGGTATACGGATGCGACGACGGAACACTACGTCCCGACTTTACACCACCGCAAATGGTAGCCAACATCCGAGCTGCCCTCGCCAAGTCAGGCATCGAGATGCACGCTGCCGAGGGGAACCCCGATAGACTCCACGACGCTGGCTTCGTCAATATCCGCCACGAGATCAAGAAAGTGCCGGTCGGACCGTGGGCTAAAGACCCAAATCTCAAGATGATTGGTCTCTACAACCAGAGTGTCATCTATGATGGTCTGTATGCAATCACCATCGGCCCGTTCACTCGAGCTTTGGGTTGGACGCCTGAAGAGGTTGAAGTCTTCCTTGTAAAAGTTCGAAGGGACTTAAAGGATCCTTCGGTGCATTCTTATGTCCATTTCCATTCGTTATGTGCGCAGAAGCCTTTTCACCCATAGACTGCCCTCTTATGGCCTGCCGCGGTGGCCGGAACTCGCATCGCTATCGCAGTCCTCTCCCGTACGCGTGGAGAGTTGCTCGTGTTTCAAATAATTCCTACTTCCTTCTTGAACATCTCCAACCATTGCGCATGGTCCGCAGGTGTTTGGTTCCAAGGATCGTCACTAAAAGGGTAAGTCAGAAGCATCAAAAGACATGAGAGCGCGGACTTACTCATTATAAAGCAGACATCGAGCTTGATGCCTAAGCTCCTCATCCGAAGGAACATGGCAGATCGGGTTATTGGGTGACATGGCAGCTTTCACCCATCTCTTCATCTCGCGCGCAAACCATGGGAGATGGTTCGGATCATTCAAGACATAGATACCCGGACCAAGCCACGTCGGTCGGAGGCCTGACTCCCCTTCGGCTCCAGGACTCGGGGTCGTCTGTGGTATCTTAGGTGGTGATTTGTCGTCCGACCAAAGCCATGTAAAATCATCGAGTGATGAGTCCAACGTAGGTTGCTGAGCGTTCTTGTCCGGTTCGTTCGTTTGCCAGATTATGCTTGCGCCCGACAGCCCAGGTTGCTCTCCAAAAGACCAGTCATTTCCGCCAAAGAGAGACGAGTCGTTCACCAAAGATAGATCATGCTGTGCCTGGACACTTGTCGGCTCAGTAGACCATGCAAGATCACCTGGCGATGGGAGTTTCCAGCTGTCATCGGCTGACATCAGGTCTGCACGCCGCCGAAAGTCGCTTATCCAGGTCGTTGAGTGATAAAGAAAACCGGTCAACCAGTTAGCTACAAATTGTGGCTTTGTTTGAAGCTCGCTTTCCATCTGCATGACGATGCGACCCGCCTCTTTTTGTAGTTCTCCATCAGACACCTCAGACAGTTCCCTCATTCGGCGATCGCGCATGAACGCTTGCAGTCGTGACTCCAGCGGACAGTCCTCAAACAAAGAGTTCTTGCCCTTGACCCTCAATACAGAAAGTCTGCTCTCTGTACTCGATCGAATCGGTGCGAAGCGAGCTTGCTGAGCAATCTCGTCAGAGGACAGAAGCAAGTCTCTGAACCACGATGGGCTCCCGTGAGAGTCCAGGTTCGCTTCAGGAAATGTCACTTCAGAGGCAAACATGATTCGGCATGCCTCCAATTGTAGGCTTTCGTGGCTTGGCAGACTTCCAATATTGTCGGTGTGATTCGAAATAAAATATGCCAACTCCAGCGTGATGAGTTCGTATGCACTTCGGGGAGAATCAGGTGGTTTACCACTCGCTGCGAAGGGGAACGGAGTTCCACGTTCCAATTCGACCAAGTCTGATACAGGTTAGTAACGTAGTTTGAAGCGCTCCATGGTACTTACATGGTGGTAAAGCCTTCTCTATAGTCTTCAATATATCGTCTTCCAATCCCCAGTCTCCAACCCAGTTATTCATCGTACACCCCATCTTGAAGTGGTTAGCAACATGATCAACTCTATCAATCCATCTAGTCATAGAAGCTTGACAGAATCCACATCTCGAAATGATATCTGGTTGTGCTTTCCTCCATAATTTCATAGAAAGGTCAGTTAATTTGGCGTTGTGCACAAGACGCAGATGTTGCTTGAGGTGGTCTTTCCTGCTGAATGATCTTTCTTGACATGCAGATGGGTTATGACAAGCTATATGCTCCTCACTTGGGCTACTCTCACCGCAGAATAGACAAATGACTTGGCCGGTATCTGGATCCGTGGCTGTTGGGCCGTCAGGGGAACACTCCCATCGTTCCAAAGACAGATGTAATGAATTTTCATGGCGTTGCCAATCGTATTTTCGACTGAAGGTTTCAGTACAGAAAGTACATTGGAATGTGAGCCGGGGTTTCATAAGTGATGTCTTCTGCGGTCGTCGTTTTTGGACCGACCTGCCGCGGCTGTGTGATGAGGTACCGCTGATGGAGCCGCGTGAGGAACGTGAATCTGTTGATGCGCTTCTTGAAGTGCCAAGACTGCTGGCGTTTGATCTATGGCCACGTCTTCGGGGTATTCTTTCATCACTTGAGAATGTTCCTCTTCGACTTCGACTTCCTGTTCTTGTCAGAATCAACCTCGTGTTTGGGTGTAGGTCACGTACTGGATGTGACTAATTGGCCTGAAGCCATCGCACGGGCAATAGCAGACACCGCCGCCGGTTCGTTCTCAGGTGGTGAATCAACCCATCTCTGTAAAGGATGCATCCCTTTCTCAGATCGTCTTCTTGGTATTGGTGTACCAGCTCGTGTTGGTGTATACTCGGAAGGAGTCTTGCCAGACTTTCCCGAAGCAGTCTGAGTTCCGCTGTCGGTAGTAGTTCTACGTCTTCGAGCATTCGCTAGCCAATTTGTGATCTGAGTTCTTGTCAAGCCGGTCTGGAGCTCCAGCATATTCTTTTCTTCTTCATTTGGATAGGGGTTGTCGATGTTTCGAGCGAACCAGTCCTTCAATGAGCGGATGGCATCGAGGGTGAAGCGATGCCCGATCTTTGGTGGAAGGGGAGAGGGTATTGGCGGAGTTAGGATGCTTGGTGATCGAGTTGAAGATGGGGATTCAGAAACATTCCTCATGAGGTCCCCGAAGTTGAGTGCGAGTTGATCAGTCCCTGGGCGTTGTAGACCGTCATGTTGCAAGCTGGTATCGTCTTGAAGCCGAGGAGCCTGTGTAAAATCGGTGCCATCTGCCGTGAGAGGCAGTTGGGTCATATCCGCAGACAATAAATCGTCAAAATTGAACTCGAGCTCATTTCCCCCCAATCCATTCTCAAAAGCAGATTCATATGCGTTGGACTCAAGTGTACCAGGATCAAAGGCCAATGCGTCAAAGTCCAAAAACGGCTCCCCACTGGAGGTTGCATCAGGAGGGGCACAGTGCTCCGTATCGTTAGTATCGCCCATATCAACGTTATCGACGCGCATAGCGTCTATTTTCGGATGAATGTATCCGTAGGGCGCGAGCTTGAGAGTAAAGAAAGGTTGATGAGGAGTAAGAGTTGAACTTTGGCTTGGGGTGATCGAAGACCCCACTTAGTTGACATGTCAAGTACGCCCTCAGCGGAAGCAGCCGAACCTCAAGTCCGAGATCGGATATTTTTAGAACATCAACATTTATGATGATCTAATGGGAACAACCATTATTACAGTACATGTCATTAAACAGAACTGCATTAAAGGCGTGAGATGTCGTGTTGCGCGCCCTTGTGAATAATCCCTGTTTACTACCTTGGACGTCGCGTGCAGAAGTTCACGAGGGACATCAGTCTGCACAACATACAGCCGAGCCAATACAATGCTTTATTTCAGCTTATTGTAAATTCCATGATGACGTGCAGCTTTATCGTGGTAGACGCACAGCATATCGATTCCTCACTTGTGGCATCCCTTTCAGCCCAAATGACAAATAGATGGCCTCAAGTCAGCAAACATACGGCATGACAATTCGCACGTTCATGCTGAGTCACTCTCCAGGAATCAGTCTTGTTTATTAGAGTTATATAAAGCTGAGTTGTGTCCATTCTGCCAGAAACTTCCGAGTCTAAGTCCTCCATCAAGTTTGTCAATTTGATCCATATACTCTTCATCACTCTCCCTCCACCAAGTCATTCTGAATTTAACCACTGGTCAAAGTCTATGTAAGGTTCCGGTCCCAGATCCAAGTTGCCAGTATCCCATTTTCCCGTACCAGTCAAAGAGTTTGCAGACTCATGTTCTTGGAAATTGGGGAGTGGGGGATATGGGAGAAACCCAAACATGTCGTCTTTGCCATCTGGTCCAGGATCAGAGAAAGCAATCGTCGTTGGACCTGTGAGAGGAGCAGTTACCTCAGACAGGACCGTGGACAGGTGAGACGTGTTGTCAGCCGTCGGGGGTGGCTGAGAGATCGTGTTCATCTCTATCTGTGTTGGCACAAGTGAGTCTCTGCCTCGGAACTGCGTCAAGAACATCTGGTTTCTCTTCTCGTTCTCGACTCTTGCAACGAGCTCTTGAGACTCATCCACTGTTACGATGTCGTTTGGGAAGATAGTATCACGGATCTGTCTCCAGCTCCGCTGAGATACGCATTCCTTGCCGCCCGTTTCGCGATTGAGTTCATGTGAAGCAGCAGTTTGCTTCCATCCAAGCTTCTTGCAAAGCTCATATCGGGCTTCATCAATGATGTAAGCCTTCTCCCTGAGGGCTTTGTTCTTCTCAGAAGGCTCCTTAGGACATATCGCTTTGTGATATTCTTTTTCTCGTTCGAGAGCTTCGAGGCTCATGGAGCTGTTAAACTTTTTCAAGCAATCATTGCACCATAGAAAAGGTGAGTGGCATCTTTTGATGTGTTCACTAACCTTCGTTAGCATGTTTAGGGGTTGGGACAGCGATGTTAGGACTCACTTGAGCTTTTCTATATTTTTAAAGCTCCTCTTGCATTTCACCGGGAACCCTACAATTGTCAGTATGAGTTGAATGTACCAATGATCAACATACTATCGGCGATAACACAGGGGTAGGGCTTTTCTTTTGATGCGACGCTGCGATGAGATGTAGCTCTTCTCATTATCACAGGCAGTGAGTTAATCGTAAGTTTCGGTCGACCGTATGGTTGTTTTCTGGTATCGGTCTTACGTGACCCTCTCTCTGGTTACTGATGATGCCTTCTGAAGTCCTTGTCGACGTGCGGAATGGACCCAGCAGACGATCATTCCTTCGCAGCTTGAGACAGGGGCAGGCCTACTGTCCAGTCGATGTGACGTTGTCGATACTCTCTTGCTTTGGGGGGTTTTCTCGATGCAACAGGATCGAGAAGATGACGGTCGGTGGGTGGTAGACTTTGTCTCAGCTGTGCAGCTAACAGTCAGACAGTGTCGCGTCAAACAATCGCGTCTCGTTGGACAGCGGAGAGTTGACTTACCTTTCTTGGTAACGCTATACCACGACCAAAGGGTGAGAGCAGCACAGTAATAGACTACCTCACGGGACGGTACTCGAAAAGGAATAATCCAAGGAAACGTTGCGAGATGGTGGCGGCTTCAGTATTTGCGTGAACAGAGATCAAGAACCGGGAATTGAGCCTTTGAGACACATGATGACTGCAGAGCCGCTTGATGACTTATTTTCATCGCAACTACATTTTTTCTCCCTTTCTGGTGTTTTTTTCTGGACCCCTCTCAATCTCCAAATTGCCCAACCCAGCCAACCCCAATTGCCCAACCCTTTTCGGGACTGATCAACCGGCTGCCTGCATATGTATGTACTCCAACAGCTACGTGGCTCGGATGCACCGTTGACCGCCTTTTTAACATTTGGCTGTGTTCGTATGCAGGGTGAAATTGCGGGTGGTTTCGACAGCCTCGTTGTGTTGTTGTTGAGTTGGGGGCGGAAGAGGAAGCTTGGCTGGGTCTGAATCTGGCATGCTTTGCGATGTTGGTGTTGAGGGGATCCTCCGTGTATGTGTGTGAAAGATAGCGGATCAGTATCGAACAGAGAGAAGGCACAAAATTTGGATATCACAGGCTTGTGATCCTGTGTTCATATTCAGTTTGTGTCTATCATCACTGAGCCGAGCTGATGGATAACAGCCCACCCAAACTGTGGGGGACTCAGGAACGGCAGCTTAGTTGGTGCCGATATGCAGGGGCACTGACCTCGGCGACCTATCGAAGCTTCGGGATATAACTTATCAATGCTATTGGATCTCTTGCGTGATTATTAGAAGACCTAGTGCCTGAACTTGCAGAAACGCGTGGGGTTAGCCAAGGGTGGCAAGTCTAAAGCGTTCTCGGCCCTTAGCTTGGAGTTGTATAATTTCGTAGGGCTACTAGGAGTAGTTAAGTCTTTATTGACTATCAAAATATTTCCCACGTAGGGGAAGCCTATGAAACTCCCGGTACTGAAAGTCCTCCCCATGTTGGCGCTTACTGTACCTCTTAGTCGGGGTGCTTCCACGTACTGTCGCTCTCTCTATTCGGAAACAACATATCGCAAATAATTTCAAATCAATAGTAGCCGTAAACAATTTCATCGACTCTTGCCTAAATAGTTGATGTTCTTGGAACGACATTACAATGAGCTAAAGATCTTGTTATCCAACCAATCCTTACATGCACCCTATCCTGGCATATGCCTCCTACTCTTGTGCAACAAAGACTCATCCCTGCACCAGATCTGCACCCTCCTCGCCTTGAATCTCAATAAAGTTTCCATCAGGGTCAACGATAAAGAGGAGCGGGTCGACACTATGCCCAAGTCCTTGAACGACCGCTTCCCGCTGCTCCAGACGCAACTGTGCAACAACAGAAGATGGCAGTCCAACAGCCGGGCCAATTACAAGATCATCGGTGATATCAGTAAACTTCTCCCCATACCTTTTGACAATCTTTACATCAGGCATGGTCTCCAGGCGCTCTTGTATCGCCTGAGCATCAGGGACAACAAGTCCAATATGGGCAAAGGTGTTGGGATGCTGAGAGCTAGACTCAATGTTCTTGTTTGGGATATCGAGATAGTAAATCTCGAGAAGACCTCAGGCATTGTTCTTCTCACGGTTCAACTCCAGAGCGGTTTGATAGCCTGTTCCGTTCTTACCGCCGTGGGCATGAGCTAGGTAGGTGATAGAATATGTCTTAAAAACGTGTAAAGTGAGCATCTTGCGGAAGCCAAGGACTCTGGAGTAAAAGTCAAGACTGGCAGTGAGATTTCTGGTCGAAATGGCGAAATAGTTGATGAAATACCCTGTTGTCCCCCAATCTGGAGGCGAATCCGTTCCTAGTACAAGATATGGATACATATGTTGTCCTGATCGAGGGAGCATGTTGGGGATTGAGTGAGATGATGCGCTCAAAATGAGCTGGGCTACTAAGAGGAGAGTCGGTAGAAGTCGGACCATGATTTTGATATGTGCTGGAAACACTGATGAACTGTCCTCGGTGCAGAGTGGATGAACGAGATTGAATGCGAAAAGAACAGTTGATAATAGATGCAGAACATCGACTTTTATCATTAAACTACCCTGTCATCTATCTCACATGAAGCGAACAAATTACTCGAGCTCGCCTTATTTTTGGACGAATTTTACACGTAAGATTTGTCCTGTTGAGGGACCGATGAGGCATTGTCGATGTCTTGGCCTAATGGCTCAACCTCACGTTTGCTTGTAGCGAAACGCGACACAAGAGCGATTCGCGACCGCACGATAGTGATTCACTGTGTAAGCTTACGAGAGCTTCATTAAATCCGATTTCTGCTTACAAAATCTGGCCCTAGAGGAGGCCATTGTAATTATTCTGACCTGCTCCATGGCCTTTTCTCAAGAATCCAACTGATCCATGCCTCGGAGGAGAAGTTGATGATGTCGTATTTCACATGCCCACTTGAGGTCTGGTATTATGGTGATAGGCCTCAGGGTGTAAGAAGACTTCTGACATTAAACCAAGGTGTCAAAAATACTTAATCTAAGATCCTCTATATCTCTACTAAATTACACTAATTTTGCCTAAATTTAGGTACCTAAGACTTTTTGTCGCCTAGGATAGAAGTCCTAAGTTTTATTGCATCCCCTTGATAGGTAAGCAGGTAAGGTAGTGGACCACGCCCTAGAAACTGGCCTAACTCTCCACTGACGCCGCTATGACATCTTTACATCCACCCGCTGGAACTCACTCACTTACGTTGCTGACCGAACGGTTTACGATTCAAGAAAACTGGTTTGACAGTACAAAAGAATGTCGCTTGAGAAATATGTATCGCTGATCTAATGAAGCTTTCCAGGTTTTCACTTCTGCTGATCTTTGGTTTTGAGTTCGGCACTTGCCTTGAATCTGTGCCGATCCAAAGATGAGCAGCCAAGAACGAGATCACAACCAACTTGTCATTTTCCCTGTACAGTACCCACAGATGCTTGCAGCCTGGTCACGGCGGGTATCGCTACCGATCGGGGGAATTTTCTTGGTGGTTGCGAGTTGCAGGTACAAGGCACAGTGAAGCACAGTGAAGGTACAGGGCTACAAGGCTATCAAGGTACAGAGCATGGTTGCAGGCATACTGATCATCTCAATTGAGACACAATTCAATCACGGTCGCATTCACGCTGCAAGTTACAAAAAAATTGAGAATTTGCTTTCAATTGAACTGCTCCAGGCAATTCCCCAAGCCACACTCAGACGCGTCCGCCCAGTGTCGTCTTGGTCAATTCAATCTATGCTATTGATATCAAGATTCTATCGCTGGTCTATGCCAAAAAGTCAAAATCCATGGGTTCAAATTCGTCGTAGACTTTTCGATTCCCCCAATCCAAACGCCATAAAGCAAAAATAAAGTTCGTTAAAAATGTCATTGTCGCACGCTTAGACGACAGCGGCGGTATCGGTAGCGTCACCGTGCAGAACAGGGTTGATCTTCTCGTCGAAGAAGCACTTGAAGTCCTGGCCGAGCTCGTTGCGGAGAGCCTTCTTGACGGCTTCCAGAACGTTGGGGAAGACGCCAAAGTTGGCGGGGTTGTTCTCGTCGTTGTCTCCGCCCTGGAAAACACCAGTGCGCACCAAGCAGGTGTTCCATCCGTACATGTTTCCACCGATGATGTCGGAGGCGGGGTTATCTCCGATCATGTAGATGTGCTCGGGAAGACGCTCTTCGCCGTGGAGCTCGCCCATCCATGAGGTCAGAACATCGTCAGCGTACTTGTAGGTAGCCAACTCAGGCTTGCCGTAGACGACACGCTCGAGGTCAGCACCAGTGAGAGCCTTGTACATAGCCTCAAGACCGATGCGGAAAGCGCCCTGGGACATACGAGGGTAAGGGTGCTCGGTAGGGCAGAGAAGATCGCCCTGAGAGAAGTAGATGGGAACGCGCTCAGCAACGGGGTCCTCAGCGACGGTGCCGAGGCGGCCGTTCTTTGAGCGGAGGACATCCATGATGATCTGCATGTCGGTAGCGTAGTCTCGCGAGTCAGAGAAGACCATGATAGCCTCGATGCAGATCTTGGTGAAGTCACGGGGACGAGAGGTGGCACGCTCCTCCTCGGTGAAGACGCGGTAGGGAGCAACGGTAGGGTCCCAGGCGACAATGTCGTTGGGGACGACGATGTTGCGGAAGCCGTACTGCTCAGCGACCTCACGGCAGCGGTAACCCTCACCACCGACGACGAGGACGGTGCTGTAGTACTCAGCCAAAGCACTCATGGGGGTGTGAGACTGGATGAATTGATCGGTCTCGACAGGGTTGCCGAGGATCTTGGAGAGCTGCGCGCAGCGATCCTTCTCGATCTTACCAGATCCGTTGGTCAGGAAGATGTGAGGGATCTTGATGCCAAGCTCATTGTCTCCGTTGAGGATCTCAAGAGCCTTCTTACCCTCGGGGATCAGACGATCACCGTGGACGAGAACACCATCAATGTCAAAGGCAAAGGCCATGTTCTTAGCCTTCTTGACCTTCTCAGCCTGGAGGTCCTGGACCTGAGCAACGAGGAGGTCTCGGGTAGGCTGAATCGGGGGCATGCCGGGACGGGTGGGTCGTCCGTCGGCATGGTGAACGGAGGAGAGGCGCGACTGACGCTTGCGGGGGATAGGCAGAGCAGTACCGAAAGAGTTTCGGGAGGATCGTCGGTCCCTCATCGAGGGAGAGACGCTGAGGTTGTGCATGTACTTTGCGGCCTCTGAGATGGAGGACCTGGTAGCGGGGATCTCCTGAGGGCCGTTGACATCGTCGCCGGGAATGGCGAGGCTGTCGTGGTGGCCGTCGCCGTTACGCTCGCCGTTGCCCTCGCCGTTGCTCATGTTGGACATCTTGCGAAGGGTGCTGGGGGAGTTTGGGGTGTGAAGTTCGTTGTCGTCGTAGGCGGGCATAGTGAACAAGAAAGACAGTCGATATGAAGAGGAGGGAGAACCTCAAGATAAGAGAGGGAAAGAAGACAGTCGTGGATTGGGTTATATCGGGGGGTATCAAGTATGAGTGAAGGGAAGACTGCTTGTGTATGAGGATTATGATGAAGGTATGAGATCGAGATGATGAACAAGAGAAATGGGGCGGGGATCCGTATTTATCTATCTCGAGGGTTCTCACAGATACTGAGAGAGAGAGGGTGAGATTGAGTGAAAACTCGCCCTTCTTGTTGATATCATCATCTCTTCTCACTTTTCACAATTTTCCGGGAACGTCTCGTCCGTTCAAGACAAAGTCCATGTTTCCTCATGTCAAACGGCGCTACCGAAGTGGATCTCGGGCGTTCACCGTCAATGCAATTAATTGTTGTCAGTATGTATATGGAGAATCCGTTATCTAGAAGGGCTAGAGAGCCAAAGAACGGACTGGAAGACGACACGTTTGAACCGTTTCTTCCCGTTTCCCGCGACAAGCAGCGTGAAAAATGAGATGGAGCTTCTATACACGCCCCTAGGTACTCGACTTAAACTTTGAGCCAGTCGTCATAGCTCGTAGCAGATGGTGACGTGAGGTTTGTGTCAAGAAAGTCTCCGCAGCCCCTCTTAGCAAGTTACACCATTCGAGAAAGATATGCCTCAGTAGATAAAAAGTACCTCGACTCGAGGCCTCATTATCGCTTCGCATCGCTATCTTGGAGGTGCTGGCCGAGAAGAGTCCGCACCAAGTGGACTTGCAGTGGAGATGACTTTTGGCGGTGCCTGTTTTTACACGGGAATTAAATTGGAGAACCATCAGAAGGGGTTCATTTCTGACATCATCCCTGTCTCCACTGCTGAACAGGGGCCCTAGACCCTACAGTACAGCCTCTGTCGTCGACCGTCTTTTTAGGGTGGATACCGTTACTGAAGAAAATACGGCTAGGGCGGTATTCAGCCTCTCGTCTCGAAACGTAGGGGACGTTCTCAGAAGGATCGCCACTTGCGGCTCCAATTTTCAAGTGATAAGATTACTTTTTTCAACTCTTGATCTTCTGGTTGGTCGCTGCACGTTTCCCTGACTCAAGTATTTGTCCACGTAGCTCCCGTCAGTACAGTACATACAGTGCCTTAGCTGAAGCGACCTGAGTCGGCACGGCACAGTACGTACACCACAGTCCTTGGCAAAACGGAACAATTCTCAGTAAAATTTCCCATCAAGGTGAAAATTCGTTACTGAGAGACTCTCCCGTTTGGTCTAGCTTAGCCTTTCTAGAAGTTTCCCAATTAAGGACATGACGTCAATGTCCATCTTGTCCCAAACTCGCCTCGCGCGGCCTCGGCGAAAAAACACTGACCATGGATGACAGCCACCTCATCAAGTACCTACCTACAGTACCTACTGTAAGGTATGTAGGCCATCCTTACAATTGCCGTTGCGTACCTTAGGTATAGAGTTTTCAGCTTCGGTAGGTACCTCTCTCCACTGACGAAATGTCAATTGAGATATTTTATTTATTTATCGTTAATTTAATTCCTTTAAAAGCCGTTCATATCTAAAACTGCCCCTCACTAGCCAAGATTCTCACTCCCTATCTTTGACCTACTCACATACCCATCACTCACTCCCAAACTTCACCCAAACATCTACACCATGGCCGTCTCAAACAAGACCGTTTTCACCCTCAACAATGGCGTCAAGATGCCCGGCCTGGGCTTCGGCACCTTCGCTAACGAGGGCGCAAAGGGCGAGACCTACGACGCCGTCAAGTGCGCCCTCAAGGTCGGCTACCGACACCTCGACTGCGCCTGGTTCTACCTCAATGAAGGTGAGGTCGGTCAGGCAGTGAGGGATTTCCTCGCTGAGAACAAGGATGTCAAGCGTGAGGACATCTTCATCTGCACAAAGGTCTGGAACCACCTCCACGAGCCTGAGGAGGTCAAGTGGTCGTTCGAGAACTCCCTCAAGAACTTTGGCCTCGACTACATTGATCTCTTCCTTGTCCACTGGCCCATCGCCGCTGAGAAGGGTGAGGACAACAAGCCCAAGATTGGACCTGATGGCAAGTACGTCATCAAGAAGGATCTCACTGAGAACCCTGAACCCACATGGCGCGCCATGGAGGAGATTTATGCCAGCGGCAAGGCCCGTGCTATTGGCGTTTCCAACTGGACCGTCGACGGTCTCAAGAAGCTGCTGTCCTTCGCCAAGGTGAAGCCAGCTGTCAACCAGATTGAGATCCATCCCTTCCTGCCCAATGAGGAGCTCGTCAAGTTCTGCCAGGAGAACGACATCCTTCCCTCCGCTTACTCTCCCCTCGGATCTCAGAACCAGGTTCCCACTACCGGTGAGAAGGTCCGCACCAACGAGACCCTCAACGCTGTTGCCGATCGCAGCGGCAACACCCTCGCTCAAGTGCTTCTCGCCTGGGGCCTGCGCCGTGGTTATGCTGTTCTACCCAAGAGCTCAACGCCTTCTCGAATTGAGAGCAACTTTCAGGTCCCCAACCTCTCCGACGAGGACTTTGAGGCTATCCAGAGTGTTGCCAAGGGCCGACATACTCGCTTTGTCAACATGAAGGATACCTTCGGTTATGATGTCTGGCCTGAGGAGACCCCTGAGAACGGAACCTCCGCTGTTTAAGTTATGAAATTATGATGAATACCCTGGTATAGAAAAAGAATGGAAAGAAAAGAGTGTATTATAGCGTTTGGTTAGCGGGAGAAAAGTTAGCATGAGAGTCATTCCGCTGTTCGGAAAGAGATGAAATTGATCACATTTCAAACAATTCTGGTAGAATCTTTGTGATGTCGTGATGCATGATATGAAACTCACCATGACAGTTGATATAAAACCGTAAATATGGAAAATCTTCTTAGTTCATTCAGACCACTGACGTGTGAGAGAACGTGAATTCAGACGTCAAATAATCAGTATTGGGCGACGATTTCAAACTGAACTGCCACCCACTGAGCATCTATCTTTCGAGATGGCCTCAATTCTCGGCAAGTGTGCCGATAGGATGTATAATCTCATCAACGATCTACAAAATCGCGCCATATACAGAATGCACCCTTGATCTATCTCGGCGAGATCTTGCATACGGTTATCCGATAGATCAACTCCCGTATAGGTACTTCTTATCAGTGACCAGTCAAATTATCTCACATATCACAAAACAACATCTTATCATAAGCATGGACCAATTTCTGACCGCTCTTCATGAGGGACTTTAACATCCTGTACCTTGATGAATTCATTGGGCGTGTTAGTGGTTGTTGATAAGGTTAGGACTTGGCATGGATGTCCACAGATAAGCTTTCATCAACTGTCTTCAAGAACTAAAGAACGTCGAATTAAAGGTGGCAGAAAACTTATGAAGACGTCCAATTTGTGTCAGCTTCATGCTTCAGTGGTGATGATCTTTTCTCGCAAGTCCTGAACGTTTTTTTTATCACGGGCAAGGCGACAAATTTCAAAATTCCGCTTCAAGCAGATTCACTTTATGTTCAAATGAAATGATGAATATCTTGCGAAGCAATAACATGCGAGTGGTGTTGCATTGCTGTCCTCATGTTGAGATGACCCTACTCTCGTTTACTTGGACCCAATCCTGCATCCTGTGCCAAACCATGACATGGACAGTGAGATCAAGGTAATAATTTACTTCTTTAAATGAGTACAGAAAATAGTTCCATTAGATCAATACAATAGAATCTAAACATAGTCTCGTCCTCCATGTAAACCCAGTTTTGACAGCAGGAAGTGCAGCCTTCTGTATCATCGCCGGCGGACCGCACAAGAAAACAGCACTCTTCTCAGACGGTTCAAGCAGACTCTCCTTGACGATCCTTATTCGCATGGCCAGTCTTTTCCTTCCAGCTATTCTCAGCATGACTCAGTACATGGGTGGCTTTCAACTGTCCATTAGACTTCTTCTAAAAGTCTTCAAGCTTCTGTTGATCGTATCAAATTCTTTCAGCTCATCCATAGAAAGCGTCTGAGCTTTACCATTGTAGGTGATCTCAATCAAACGCATGGAACTCCTAGAGTATACCCGGAACAGGACCGTGGTTTCGAACGCAGTGAAGCTCGTTAGATGTGACCAAGCCAACTTCGTACAGTCGCGTCAACGGGCGCCTCAGCATTGAAAGGGTGCTTTCTAGTGAGAAGGATGAGATCTGAAGAGCGAGGAAGCCAGTGCTCCGGACTGAACTGGTCCTGTTCGTCGATTGAAATTTGCGTGAGATTATTGTGCTGAGGAGACCTCCTCTTTCCGTTGTTCTCTCTGAGGTGTTGAATGTAGTTCCTTTCGTGCTCCAGAGCCCGGAGAAGAGCTAACCCGGCTGGCGTATACTTGTCTGAGAGCTTTGTTGTCTCATCTTAAGTCTTTCACCGGTTCTTTTCTCGGTTCTCTTTCTTCTTTGCATATGCACCGTGATGCTTGGTTTTATCCGAGTGGCGTTTCCATTCATGCTCTTGCTCAGTCGTACCATTCTTTTCATCACTATTAGCTTCTTCCTCTTCCTTCTTCTTCTCTTCCTCTTCCTGCTTCGCTAGGTTTGAAGACCATGGCTCTTTATTCTTGACACAATCTTCAGTCGCCTTGAGAACATATGTCCATCCAAGTGAGCGATTCTCCGGATACCACATATGAAAAAATTTGAAAGAATTAGCTTCCTCATTGTTTGAGCCATAAGTAGCTGACCTTTTGGTTCTCAATCAAGACTCTGAAATTGATCAATTCTCCACTCTTGGCCCTTTTCTGAAATGTGAGATACTTCTGCTTCTTTCTAGCCACCTCTTCTCTTTACTCATAGTCTGTATGAGTAAGTCCAGGAAGCCGGCTATTTCGGTCTCTGAAGCCAACACAGTGCTGGTGCCCGGAAACCCAATCCGACTCGTTACATATCTCTTCAACCGCCGACCCAGGATGGGCCTAAACTTTAACAACTTAAGACTTGCTGTACGACATATTCTCAGTCAGTTGAGAGGAGCTCTACAGACTAGTTTAATTGAACCTTAAGCGTGGTCTGACAGTTTATGAAGACACAAAGCGTCACTCCGCGGAGACAGTGAAGCCTGACGTCGATGATATCCAGAACAGCACGACCTAAGCTAGAATGAAGAACAGTTGACTAATATTAGGTTTTTAGCTCTTGATTTTGACTTCCATATCCAATAATCATGAACTGATGCTGCCAGTACTGCCAGAGGCTGATGAAATTCGGCAAAAGTCGCCTATTCTCAAACTCTTCTCAATTCTGATAGATTTTTCACAAAATGAGCAACTTTTTAATGGACTTTGGTACTTTAGGATAATAATTATGGTATTTTATTATGATGTTTCTTCATGGATTTTGTTGTTAAGTAGTAGCCAGTCCGCGCAACCGAGACAAAGGAACCGGGTTTGCTGCAACCCAGCGCAGAAACCTTTCAATCAAAGACATTGTGAGTAATAAGGATTAAGAACCTTGCAACTAGACCCCCATTGACATATTGTCGGCCCGGTGAAGTCTTTACCTCCACATTGACTATACTTTGGAAGACCTCCTGTTGCAGGACCACATATGATATCGTCGTCTTCTGTGGGCTGTGGTGTGTCCTTCGTAGTGCTGGACGAGGAAGACTTGCTTGTTGTTGAAATTTTGAGCGTTGTATCTCCTCTAACAGCAGTACTGGTCGATGCCGAGCTTCTTTTCGATGTGGAAGAAGAAGATTTGCTGCTCGTGCTAGCTTGGGTCTGCCCTGGCACAGTTGCACTCGATGTTGCAGTTGCAGCTACAATACGCTGAGAGACTGTAGAAGGGAGGCCAGGAACCAGTGTAGGACCAGGGATCTTGTAGGACAAAGGGGTTGTGTAGAGGTTGAAGAGAATACCAGGATCGTTGGCCTTGTAGAGCTGTGTACCTTTGACGCCATCCGGAGCCAAGTCTCCGTCACCAGTGACCTTGAGATTGAAGCATTGCGGGTAGTTCTGTGCTCCATTCGGCTGACCACTCCCGTGCAGCGCTATAATCTCGTGGCGAAGGACATAGTTTCCGGGGGCCAATTCCTGAGGTATCTGAAGAGTCCAAGAGAAGCCAGTAGCGACAAGGACGTCAGATGCCCATTTGCCGTTCTGCATCGACATATCGATGAGCCCTTCTTGACCAATCTTGAAGAACTCCAGATCATTCTTGTCAACGGTCTCGCAGTCCCCAGGACATCTCGCAAGATAATCAATCACGGGACCGTGGTGACTATCTGGCCAAGTATTCCACTGAAGAGTAATCTTGTCGCCTGCTGCTACTGTTACGTGGCCTTTACCAGGTCTCGCGGCTCTGTGGCAGATGATATCGGGGTCTGCGAAGGAGTTGGGCTCAACATAACCATTGTCAGTGGCACCGTTGGTCCAACCGACGACAGGAGGATGATTGGGATTCCAGCTCATCTCAGGTGCAGAATAGCCTCGAAATGCAACGCCGTTTGTGACAAGCCAGTCAACATGGCCATGAGCAGCGACTTGCGCGGCTGAAGCTGCGAAGGCGAGGAGTGAAGTCTTAAGTGGGGCCATTGTAAAAGTTAAAACTGACTAGCAGTAACTAGATGAAAGGAGAAAGCACTGATGTGTTGTTACTTTTTTGCCTTTAGGGGGTTTCTTTCGAGTGTTATATATTTCTTGTCGGTTTGTTCGCCAAGCTGCTGTCTTGAATGCTGGACTGGTCTAGACCCACCACGTTCTACAGCGACATTCCCGGATGTGGGCAGCTTAATAAAGCCTCAAATGCCAATGTCTCAAGGACAAACGGAGAACTTGTGTGCCCATGCGTTTCAATATCTTGATTTTGTGCGCTGTGGCTTATCGAGTACACCATGGCTCATTCCCGATGAAGATGCTGGTGCTTCTTGCAAACCGTCTTTCGATACTGAATCATGGGGAGGTGAAGTTCCTTGTTAAATGACTCGGGGCAATTTACTACACCAAGGATCGTAGTCGAATGTTGCAAAAATATTTCTTGTTCAAACAACTCTTGCTAAGCTGAAATTGCGCCAAAAGCAAAGACCCCAAGGGCATCTCAGCCCAGATGCCGATCGATCAGCTCTAACCTGCCAAACTGCTGTTTCTGTCTGGACTAGCTGGTATCACAATCCTTTAAAGTCACAGGGTTAAGTTTGAGGTTAAGCCACCATGTGCAAAATGTTTGACTCCAACTGAAACGTTCCCTACAATCTCTTCGCTAAAGCTGTACCTGGTATCGTGGCGCTGTCAAAGTTTGAGATTGAGCGGGAGATTGACGCGCTATGAGACGCCGGATGGAGCTTGGGCCTGCTTTGTTGGAATATGCCTGATGGACTCAGCTTCGACCTGAGGAATGATGGGTGAGACAAGACACCTGCTTGATGAATAGCATTGTAAGCTAAAAGTGCATTGTCAAGTTACGAGTTACCGAAAACGTCTTGCCCAGCTATAATGCCCTTGTAAAAATCCTCCCTCGAGCTTGAGGGATATGGGCTGCCCTAACCACATTCCAAGCCACAAGGGGATCTCTCTGGCCCCAGGGAGCAAGAAAACCTTTGACATTTGAGAATGGTACTTAAAGAAACCGGTCTAAAGATCTCTAAATGCTATGATAAATTTAGGAAATCTATCCTACACTTGTCTAAGCTTTGTTATGAATTAGGATTTGTAAGTAAGCCTGGAAATCACTCGAAGAGGGCCCAGGAACCAAAAGGCATGCTTTCACCCCTGCATATCCCTCCTAGCTTCACCAACAAACGCCACTCAGCCACCATCACAAACGGGGGCGCTCGGCCGCACCCGTCCAAGACGCGAGCCCATTGTTCAAACATCTCGTTTCAATGTAGTCGAAATTCCATTCTAGACGGGTTCACAAGTGCTGCCCTTCCTCGGTAAATTTCTTGGCGGGGGCTAGATGTCTTAGACCTTGAGTAATGGGCAGTCAGGCACTGGAATGTATTGACTGAGATATGTGATGGCAAGCTTTCGCTAACTTTAATGTTAAAATTATCTTTATCCTTGTTTGTTTCAAATGTGACAGGGACAACCTGTTGGTTTGAGTCTGGTGCATAACAGTTATTGATGGCCGAACTGGTGCTGTTGGATGCACCTTCTTAGACGCGACGCAAACGTCAACGTTGAAGAATGCGTGAGGCTCTCCACGGTTGGTTCGATGATTAGCCTATGATTTGCCACGAGCAGTATCAAGTTCATCACCACCAGGACCCAGACAACGATGACACTCTGATATTGGGATTTGGGACAGAAGTTCAGAACTGAGCATCATTTACATCAGCCTCTGCGATCATTTCCAACAGCTTAAGAAGAAGCTTGGATAATCTTATCTGCCATCTCACTCAACGTATCCGACATGACATCCATCTCCCCAAAGATGTCCACACAGGGCTCCTTTTCCAGCACAGAACAATAGGCGCTCTTGAATCTACGGATCATCCATTAGTAACAGAAAATAAGCAACGATAATTCACTCACCCGACTTGCTTAGCTGAGCTTACGTCCCACATATGGGCCGCGGCGAACCAAAGCTCCTTTGCTCCCTTCAACTCCTCAAAGGTCGAGGCATATGCCTTGAGGTCCGGCTTACCCACTCCAAACGAGTCACAAGACATCAGGTGCTCCTTTGGGAACTCAATGCCCGCCTTGTCAAAGTACCCAAGCACTCTGTCATAGTCCCCAGCTGTCAGACCACGCACCGTGAATCCGGCTGCTCGGAGCTTATCGAAGCACTCCTTAAGATCAGGCCTTGGTTCAAGCTCCATATACCCACGCGTAATCTTCTCGATATCCGCCTCACTAGCGAAGGAGCGTGGTTCCTCGATACCGGCGAGCCAGAGCATGCGATAAAAGAGGGATGCGAACAGCCTATCGAATGCGACATATCTAGCAGTAATAGACAAATTCGTGTACTCGCGCTCCGCAGACTCTAGCCAGATGTTCACGAGAAGGCTGGGCTTCACATTCTCCGCCCGTAGCTTTTCACCGAGTTGCTTTTCGACTGCTTCGGTAAGCTTGTCGTATGAGACGCAGGTCCCGACAATGTCGAAGACGACGTACTTTCCGTTGCTGGGTGACATGTTACTATTAGGATAATGATGTAGACTGGGAGATGAGGGGTGAGTGCGAGGAATGAGTATCTGTTATCAGTCATAAATAGGTCTCTGTGTTGACTCACAACTCCCCACTCTAGTGGTGCAACCCAAAAGCATCTTAGACTCTCCGTAATCGGATAGTAGTATCCGAGAGTTGGAGTTGATAAGTTAGATAGTCGGATGCGGTAGCCGTTAACTTATGCGGGGGACCGGGTCAAGGAACCGATATATCGAAACGAACACCAGTCATGTGATTGTTTCCGTAGCTCACAAACTAGTAATTCTGCAATACTTCCTATCCCGTAATTAACCCTCATAAAACAGAACCTGTCGTACACATAATCCCAAGTAATGCCTCGCAATGCCTTCCTTGCTCACTGCACCCCAAGCCAGACACACCATCCTAACAGATCACGACCAGTGTCGAGTTGTGCAGTACGAGCATCGCAGAACTAGCAAGCTGCCGTGGTCTTCCACGTACGACCCAAAGTCGGCACCGCAATGACGGCACTCGTCCCACTCGTCCATTGTCTGGATTAACGCATTCATCTTGTTGGTGATCTCCCATTTTCTGTCAATCTCATTTTTCTTCTCGGTTTTCACCATCTTTAGTTCCCTCTTGATTTCGTCTCGCCCTCTAACGAGCGCCGAAATTTCGCTTTTCTGGGCACTAATAGTTTCCTGCATCCTGTCTCGCTCCCTTAGCGGTATGCTAGAATTTCTGTGTCTCTCCAGTTCAAGATCCCTCTTGGTTTGAGTGACTTCTTGCACTAGAGTTGCTGTGCGCTTTCTTTCTGCCTCGAGGGTCTGTGTGGCTTGGGTGAGCCTCGTGGTCAAGTCCGTTGTCACCTTCTGCTCGTCTTTGAGGGCATTTCGAACATCGTCTCGTGCAAATTCTGTGATGCTGACCCTGCTGCGTCTCTCGAGCTCGAGGGATTTCTTCAAGTCGTTATTCTCTTGAGTAAGGATGGACGACTTTATCTTTTCTTTATCCCATCTGGCCTTGAGCAAGCCACTCTCGGACCTTGTGACTCTCAGCTCTCGTTGAAGTGTCTCCACTACCTTTTCGCTTTCTTCTGCTTTGACTTCCGCCGGAGATTTCTTGTTATATGTAGCCCTTGTGCCCTGTCCACCGTGGTCTGTCGGAGCGGACATTTCCTCCAAAACCTCCCGAACCTTTTCTTTCTCGGCTGCTAGGGTTGACAACTCATTTTGCAATAAGTATCGCTCGGCGGCAGTATCTGCGAGGCTCTGTCGTAGTTCTTCCCTCTCGACTGAAGCAGCCGATATCTGCTCTCGGAGTTGATCTCGCTCACTGGAGACTGTTATAACTTGTTGTTTCAGAGAAGAGACTTGGAGTCGGAGGGCCTCGAGCTCGGTAAACCCCTCTTTCTTGATCGATGGAGCCGTTGCTGAATTCGCTTGATCTCCATTTTTCTGAAGAATATCGTCTGGCTCTCGAAGCTTGGGATGAAAGCTTTTGAGCATCGTTACATGGTCGAAGCCGTTCGAAGTTGTTAGAGAATGTAGGTGCCCTCTCGCAAGAGTAACAAGTAATCTCTGCAGCTTATCGTCCTTTGACTTCAAGACAACGGCGGCAGTGAAAAGGAAAACCGAGTCGAACCATTTCCCTCCAAAGACCTTCTGAATGTTGTCTCTAGCAAGCTCGCATAGCTTGGGAACTCCATAGTGGGTACCGATGGCGCATATTTGAAGATGGCAGGTTAATACATCGCGCATGAAATGCTCCGGAGCTGGTGAGCCTCCAACTGGTAGTGGTTAGCCTTCAACACGGACGACAATGAGCGAGTTCATACCAGCTTGAAGCACACTTGGCAAGTTCCTTCGGTCGACTTCATAGCAACCAGACTTGAAGAATTCAACCATACAGTTTACCGTGTCTAGAGAGAAGTCTTTGACGGTGATAACCGGATTCTGAGATATCTACAAAACGTCAGTTTCCCTGAAGAGCATGGGCTACGGGATAGCACACTTTCTGGGCGGCATCGAGAGAAGCTGCGAGCTTCGGAGACTGCACTCGCGCGATAGACTGTGGAATAGCAAATGCAAATCCCTGGCATAGAAAGGTCAGAGACAAAGGTGCTTCTCCCATGCTGGCAAACATTTGCCGTCATGCGGCTGCAGTTCTGTAGGAGAATCACGGAGACGATATGGAAAAATTGCAGGCGATGAGAAAACAAATCTTCCTTGGAGATGGAAAGGAGAAATTGTTTTGGCGATGAAACTGGGGCTGGCGCAGATATGTCAGGGGGCAGGCACTGGCAGCACCTTCCCCTGTTTGATGGTAGAGCTCCTGAAATTGTTGTCACCTGACAAGACCTGAACCTCGCTGAGATTGATGTGGTTCCCAGTGTTCAATTAGGAATAACAGCCCAGTCCATGAAAAACAATCAGCTTCAGTATAGTTGTTAACTTGCTCTGGCTACACTTCAAGGCCAATACTACATATCTCATGGAAAGAACCGCATGAACAAGCTGTATGCCTCAACCTTCCAGAAAGTCCTCTAGTTTTAATGAAACGTGATGCTATATCAGAAAACTCTTTTCGTGTTGTAAAACGCCCAGCTAGTACTCAATGAGTGTTCGCTGGAAAGACTTGGGACGAGTCGAGAAACAGAGGGTGATCACCGAATCGCACCACAAAGCTAGATACAAAGCATCCATATCCGCCACGACTCGATACTAACAGGTTGTAAACAACGTTAATATTTAAGCTCTGCTCTTGTTGACATGAACCACGCGTTACTTTATTATTGAGAGTATACCCACGCGGCAGCTTATGCCCGATCCCCTAGCTACTCGAAGTTTCTTGACTACATCCCGACGCTAAGTCGAGTTCCCTATGGTTCATAATGAAAAACAACTGAATCACTACTAAATAAAAATAATGCTAGGTGGTGTAGTTGGTAACACCCCCTCCACGGTGCCGTTTCGGCGGATCGTTCAGTAGCGTGCTACGGAGTGAAGGAGGATGCCGCAGGTTCGAGTCCTGCCCTGGCAATATTCTTTTGCAATTCTGAGGATTATTTCTACTACTATTTTGCTTCTTCTGTCTCTCTTTATGAAGCTGGAGTCATCTGATGCGCTTATATTGAAAACTAACTGCATCAATACTAAATAACAACAATGCCAGGTAGTGTAGTGGTAACATCCCCTCTACGGTGCCGTCTCGATGGGTTAATCCAGCCCTGGCAACATTCTCTTTTAATTCGGAGATTTTTCTTTGCCCCTCCCTATTTCTCTTTTTCTGTTTCTATCTGTATGGAGTTACCTGGATGAAAGAGGTCTTCTGCTCTATAAATCTACCAATATGGATACCTATCGTTAGCAAACAAGTTAGCTTGCTTCAGCAACGAGCTAGGAATTCGTCTATGTGTCCCTGCTATGTAATCTTATTATTATTTCAAGATCTTCCTTCAGTATTCATGCAGTTACGCAGCTTCCTCCATTGTTGCATGGCCGGAACTTCAGCAATGACAAAAGCTTTCTAGTCAATTGTTTGGTACTGCGGCGACAGTGTTAATACATTATATGTTAAGGATACACCGATGATGCCGTTGGTAGCGAGTTCATCTCAGAGTTCTGACATCTACAATTGAAGAAGAAGAAGGACTTTGTCTGAGCTATGTGACCACATCAAATGGTCACATAGCTCCGGAAGCTCTTGATCCCCTTCCTCATCTTTCCTGGCGTCCAACTCTAGGTTTCTAGAGTTATCCAATCCTCAGTACTATTAGCAGGCTTGAACAGGATTAGTATATACAGACTACTACACTATTCGGGTTTAATTTTTACCAAAGACTGGTTTATTACTTCTAGTATATGATGTATATGCTCCCCCTACAGTATTAGAGCCGGCACCCGCGCCAGGGTACGTGCCCTACCCTGCTTTTCCGGATCCTCCACTGTCGTCGAGCGGAGGGCCCGCCCTTTTCTACCTCCTGTCTGCACTGTACGGAGTAACTCCCCCCTCGTGGGAATCTAGCTCAAATTCTGGCTTCCATTAACTACCACAATCTCAATGTTCCGCCAAGGCGCGCCTCCTCCATCAGGGGACCATCTCCACATCGCACCTCATCATTCAGTACGAGGCCAGTCACACGGCCAAGCTTCCTCCTACACGCCAGCACAGCTCTAATCAACTCTTCAGATCCTTTTTTTCTACTCTGACCATCATAGCTACCGAAGTGACGGACGAAGTGGCAAAAAAGGTCGCTAGGTTCGCTAACCCCCTCCAATGGGTTAAAGAACCGGTCAACCAAACAACAAACACTATCGCCAACGAAGAGCCCAAGTCGTCAATGTACCCTGAGCTACACAGCCTCATCACCGAGAACCTTGCAGAAGACAGCAGAGGGTCTCCCAGACATCATTTGTTCTTTACACCTCCCGCTTTCTTTCACGTATTTCCATTTCACCGTCAAGATATGCCGTAAGACCATCACCATCGCTCAATGCGCTCCTAAAGTGTCGCCCGTTCTCGCTTTCTACTGCGCAAAGCTTCATCTCGTTACCAAGGACCGTATCCTCTGTGACGCTGCCAAGGGAAAATGCATCTGCTTTTCTGACTCTTGCGGTGCTATTGACCGTGAGATCCCCACCAAAGGAATCAATCTCGGAGAGGTTGTCGAGGTACGCTGCGCTTAGGGGGCCTTCCTTGATTTCTATATTCACGCAACTTCACTAGCACGTATGGGTCAGCGATGTCGAGAGCAGCGATGGTCTTGATATGATTACGCGGGATTTCGGGTGTTAATAATAAGACGTTGCTGGGCTTAACTTTAACCTTCTCTTCTTCTGCATTTCTTCTCCTCTTACTTTTCTTTCTTCCACAATCACAATAACCACACACTCCCCTATCACATCTCACTCTGTCTTGTTTCCCCATTACACATACCATACATACTCATTACATCTCACACCTCATTCCTAACTACCAATAGCTTTTAAAGCACAACTCTAGCTCCAGTCCACCAAGATGAACATCGAACTCCAAGCAAGGCTTTGTGGGTCGTTTGGATAAGATATGACTCCTAAACTTGATGTTAGTAATATGGTCCGGCACAGCTAAGCAGCATCGACTCACCTCCTCGTCGCTCCAAGCAGGATAACAATTATGATATTTTATTATAATATTTCTCCATAGCTCTTATTATTAGCTAGTAGCCAGTTTACATAACTAAGACTAGTAAACTAGGCCTTCTGTAATCTGTAACTTAATGTAGAAACCTTCTAAGTAAAGATATTGCGAGTAATAAGGATTAAGAACCTTGTAACTTGACCCCTATTGATAGACTGACGGGCCGGTATGACATGCCGGGTTAACCACGCAGAGGAAGAGGCGAAATGTAAGTACCACAAGAAGTTGTCGTTTAGTAGAAGATAAGATGCAAGGAAGGTGTGATAGAAGGGAATAAGAAGACCTTCATGTCATCCTCCCCTCCGCTGTCGTGCGATGCCGGAGCAACCACAGAGGGGGAATGCAAATACCCGAAGAACTTGACTGTTGTACTCGCAGCCTAAAGCTTAACCTTATAGGCCGCAGTCATCCCATAGTTCCGATTGGGCTTCAATCAAGTTATTCATTGTGAGGCCACAACAACAGAAAGGGGGAGCGAGGTTATACCTTACCTCCTTCACAGCCCCAAGTCACGTCAACTTGTGGCCTCAACCACATTAACAACCTCGCCATCAACACAACTACAATGCCTCAATCTCCACAACATACCCCTCCATCTCATGAACCCGTCATCCGCATCAACCAGATCATAGGGTTTAAAGGAAGAAGGAGGAAACCGACCAAGAGATTCTCAAACTGATGGACCACATGAAGACAGTCTCCACACTCGATAACTTTGGAAACATGACCTTGGATCCAACGCTTTAAAAACATACCTTCATCACATAGGACCTCTTTTCGAGCACATACAAGGCCGAGCTTCCAACACATCGCCTGACTAGAGGTTACCAAGTTAAAAGTCGATAGGTCACCCACGAGTATAATGCTACTCTTAAGACAGAACTTGAATTTAAGCGACCAAACACGACTACTATTCATTTCCACTGCATATCCTCCCACCTCCAGAGCCCGCATCACCCCCGCCACCCACATCAGGGTTCGGAGGAGCCTTCCGCGAAGACCCCGATCCTTCAATAAGGATCACATGTCCGCATTTCAAGAAATAGAGCAACAAGAAAATATACTTATGCGTCCTCTACCTTACAGGAGTCGCTATTGGCCACTAAGCATTCATAGCCACAGTGACATAGGGCCCAGGACTAACAGAGACAGCTTCTGAAACTAATTATCAAGAGCCTACGCCTAGTGCTATTCATAATGGTAATTCTACTGCTGTAAATGCTACTTGCAAATGGCACCTCTTCTATGCCTTTAGTCACAGAAAAGCAAGATAAGGACGGCCAGGAAGTTATTCCATCGGAGCACTTCTTGTACAAAAGCCAGTGCTACCTTACTCCCGGGAAGGACAAGGCACTTAGCATCGCCATACATATTGCTGTTAAGATCATTGCAGAGAGCGATGCCATTCTAGAGATTGAAAACGACTCTAGCAGGACGATGAAAGTGTCGAGTTAGAAGTCACAGGCATTGGCATTAATCCTGAAACCCATACCCAAAGTTTTAATAATTATTCTATATTAATAGAAACTAGCAAGAGCATTTCTAATAAAAAAGGAAAGCCTTTGATTTTCTTTAATAAGAGCAGAGACCACTACCTAAAGGCTAGACAGAACCCAGGGCAGCTTATACTCGTCGATTCCAATGCCTTCAGCCGCGTGTCTCCACGACTCAAGCAGATCGTTTCCCCCATCCAGACGAGCATCCACTATTGCCATTAGACAGTGGTTCTGTTGCGTCCAAGGGTAAACCCTTTAATAAACTACGGCCTCCAGCTCCACCTCTTGCTGTAAGCTCCCCCCGACAAAGTCGAGCAATCTGGCCCAGGGCAAGGGTTTAATTTTGAAGAGTGGCTCCTAAGAAAGAGCAGCTCTTATTGCTAATCCTAAGTCAGTCTGTTGCAAAGGGACCGTTTGCCAATAAATACGTCACTCGCCCCCTTCGCGAACTTATCTCTGCCGAGGCTGGTGCTAACGATGGCTTTGGCTTTCCCTTCCTGATGCTCGCAACACATTTGATCCAGCACGCCGAGAACCCCCCCTGCTGCAGCTGGAGCTGTCATCGAAGAACTTAGTGGAGTTGATGCTGGGCATGCGTTGATGGCACGCGCCGGTGAGGTTGGGTGTCTTGGTGGCGGCGTAGGAGTGGCCATGGTGAACTGGTTTGTTGAGACCTGGCTGTACACTATTGTGTTATCTATCGCATATGGTGCTGTCGTTGGGTACGGATCTTGCAAGGGTATCAAGTTTGCACTCAAGTCGTAAGTATTGCACGATTCTCCTTTGGCATCAATCTGACGCTTTACAGAAAATGGATCGACGAAGAATCCTATGTTCTTTTCCCGACCGCCCTTGGCCTTTTTACTATTGGAACATGCGGAGCTATCGGCACGGACGATCTCCTGGCTTGCTTTGTTGCCGGCCTAGCTCTTAACTGGGATGGTAATTACTTGAGGGAGACTGAGCGCCGTCACGACGAAGTCAACTCATGTGTCGATGTACTCCTCAACTTTGGAGGCTTCATGTACATTGGTGCTATTCTACCTTGGAGAGACTTCCATGACCCGACCAGGACTGGTATTACTCTAAGTAAGCTTATTGGACTTGGTCTCCTCGTCCTTGTCTTCCGCCGTCTGCCTGCTATTTTCACCTTCTACAAGCTCATGCCTGACGTCTGCACCAACTGGAAGGAGGCTCTATCCATGGGATACTTCGGACCCATCGGCGCTGGGGCTGTCTTCTACGTTGAACATGCCAGACATTTGTTCCCTCACGAAGGCGAAGGCGATGAAGAGGAGACAAACCTCGTTCGTGCGATGGGCCCCGTTGTATACTTCCTGGTCCTCTTCTCCATCATCGTCCATGGGCTTTCCATCCCAGCTCTCAATATCTACTATCACTACACTGGAAAGGCACCTATTCGGGATGATGCTGTCGAAATGAGACGCCTCTCTGTGCGAGTCGCGACTCCTCCCAACGCTATCACAGGAGACAAGGATACCTTCATTGCGTACAACCGCTTCAGTCGACACGTTGACCCTAGTGCCCTTAACCTGCCATCTAGAAGATCTATGGAGGATCACTCGGACGATGAGGACCTTGGCAAGGGGCAGAAGCGCGACATCGCATTGGTTTGAGCATGTAACAGTATTGGTTACTTACAAAGTCCTTCTTTATGTATGTTCTGATTTTTGGAAAACTGTCAATCTATATGTCATGTTAAACATGATGCTACTCGTTTAAAATATCTGAAGGTCATCTTTTCGGCCAAAGTTGCCTAGGACTGTTCCGTGGTGTGTCATCAACACTCTTCTCTTGAATTTTAGTGGGTGGAATTACCTGGAAATAGGGCTATCATAATGAGAAAGCGAGATTGCTCCCATCAGTATCATGAGGAGCGCGGGATAGTGACCTTGGTCCCTAGTATCAAGGAAAGTCGCGTCAAGTTTGTGGCAATGGCGAACGCACTAAGTTAGTTGATGGCAAAGGTCTCTTAAATCGCCAGTAATAGCAAGAATCTATGGAATAATCTATGCAAGAAGAAGCAAGGGCCAACTTAACACCATCAAGTTTGTTGGACTTCGGTCTATCCTCTCCCCCACAAAATGTAATCAGGCTTTCAGCCCGTGCAACATCTCGATCTATTCAGCCGCAAGCGGGCTTGAACAAGTTGCCAGAAACCAATGACCAACCCACCTTATGCAATCCGCCTGTTTCATGCCGCCAGTTCTAGACTCAAATCCAGCTGGACGGGGAGTTCAGATTAAGGTGTGCCAGCTAAGACACCAACTTGCCAGCGAGCTGAACAAACTATCGAACGCCATCTCTTGGGACGGGGAGTTCGAGGCTGCATGGGCTACTGCGGACCGTCGCGGTGGACCAACGGCTCCTCGCCGTGGAGGCCTCGTAATCACGACATTTAAGCTAAGCGTTGCGAATTGGCGTTGGCTTGGCCTTGACAAGGGTGGTTAGCGTTGGCGGGAGAGGTTCTCGACTGAGCGTGATGGGGCCGATCGGTAGCTGCGCTTTGGAAGTTATTTGATTGTGATCTTAGCTCTGAAGTGCCGCCCACGACATTCTGTGCACGTTGCTTGGCGTAGAAGCCATTCATGGTCTTGTTTTTACGTGGTAACCTATGGCTGAGAGCTATTGCGGCTTCATGGATGCCGCGTTACGGATTCACTCAACGGTCGACATGATTCACCACAGTGTCGACCGCCGGGTACACTGGTAAGATACACTTCCTAGACTCGGACGGTTGCCGGTTAAGGACATTTCTCATCCACATCACCTCAACTTTCTGCAAGATTTCGTCTGTGGGGGCAAGCACGCATTAGTCTGTGATAAATCTCATCAGCCAAGCTAAAAAGCCATGTTCTAGTAGTGAGAATTTGAGGCTGGAATTGCGACATCCGAAGCGACAAGGGTCAAAAGGAGAAAAACATGCTCGGATTGTCGGTGCGGAGTCGATGAATGTCATCCCGCGCATGCATGCTCGGTCAGACAAGAGGCTTGGTCTCGTGTTCAAGGAAGAAGCAATTCTGTTGCCAAGGTGGCGCGCATGTCTCGTCGCTATTGTCGTTGGTCGTCGCGTACTGCTCAAGGGCCTAGCATGGGGGTGATCTCTGCTCGTTTGAGCTTATCGTCTCATCAGGACAAGAATTCCGTCATTCGGAACTCGTGGAATTGGACGGTTGGACCGATGATTCCGACGCTAAGGGGATAATTTCAAGGGTTAGTTGGTAGGTTGGTGGACATGGTCCACAGAATAAACTAAGGTTTTGATTAAAGCTCATAGCTAATTCTTAACCTTAATTTTTGAGTTACATTCATGTGATTGATGCCCCGGGAGTTAGCCTCTCACTCTCTCGTCGCATTTCGGATATTGTTAACGGCTTTTAGTAGCGGTTTGTAAAATTCGACGTTATCGAACTCCCCACCTGCATTGTCTGTTGTCATTTCCCTTGGCGTTCTTACGCCAAGTGCGCCGAGCGAAAAGTTTCTGGCGGGGAGTTGATCTGGGCTACTGTGATAGAGTTCGACACCATGCAGACGCCCGGGGAGACGGTGGTAACCCAGGATGATGATTGGACTCTTTTTGATTCGGTGAGTCATTTATTTTGCTCGTAACCCCCACATGGTGGTGACACTGGTGGTAATTGAGATAAGCCAAGATGTCTTGGGTTGGTTCGAGGACGGGGAGTTCGAAAGGTCGCAAGGATGGGCTGTTGATCCTCGACACGGCGACACCATCTTGGACCGTGGCCATGGTTTCTTAGTGTCGCCACAGTCATTTTTCTTTTTCCCCGTGTCACTTTACTCAGTTGAAGCCGCTTGGTTGTTCTGAAGAGACTCAGAAGCCTGCCGCTGGTCGTGAGGAAAGGTGGCTTGAGAGTCGCAAACTCAGTAATTTTCGTGAATCCAGATAATAATTTACCAACTTTAAAATGTTATTTAGGCAAAGAAACCTAAGTTTATGAAGAACTATACATATTCTTACCAAAATAATTGAAAAATTCTAACGCTCTCTTCACAAAGACCTGCCATTTCATCTGCCACATTCCAGCGCGCAGCCCCGGCACTTGGTGTATTGCGTGCTCACTTGGCTTGCACGCTAAGACCGTCGAGACCGACACCAATTTTGGCCCTTTTTCTCTTGGCACAGGCTTGAGATGATAGAAAAGGGCGACATCAGACCTTTTCCTTCCTTCCTGATGCAGTCTTCACCAGCATCTTTACCGACCGCGAAAATGGGGAAACTTGACACTGTCTCATCAAAGTCCCACTCAGACTTCCCTCAGCCTCGAGAGGATGAGGAGTCCCTAACCCTTCACAAAGATTGGAGTTTGGATGAGGAGAGAAAGGCCAAGCGCAAGTAAGTCATCTTTCTCTATGTCAATTGAGCAATGCTGATTGGCTCTGTAGGCTCGATTTTATTATCATGCCGCTTTTGACTCTGGGATTCTTCTGCCTTCGTACGTCCTCCCAATGACAATTCGACCTCCTCACCAAATGATTGAACGGCTGAAACTAACAAATTAACTTAGAACTCGACCGTGGTAATATCGCCAACGCCCTGACTGACAACTTCATGGAAGATGTCGGCGTCACCCAGAACCAGTTCAACGTCGGCCAACAGATGCTCTCCCTAGGCATCGTACTCTTCGAAATCCCCTCCAACATGATTTTGTACAGAGTAGGCCCTGGAAAATGGTTGACTCTTCAATTATTCCTCTTCGGAACAGTCAGTACCTTCCAAGCCTTCCAGAACAACTACGGATCCTTCGTCGCAACACGATTCCTCCTTGGTATCACCGAATCTGGATTCATCCCCGGCGGACTCTGGACCTTGTCAACATGGTACACACGTAAGGAAACAGCTAAGCGTGTCATGTTCTTCTACTTTGGAAACCAGTTCGGTCAAGCTTCTAGTAAGCTCTTGGCCTATGGTATTCTTCACATGCGAGGTGTTGGAGACAAGGCTGGCTGGTTCTGGCTTTTTGTCCTTATGGGCGCTTTCACTGTCCTGAGCGGTGTTGTTTTGGGCTGCTGCTTGCCTGACTCCTTCAAGAATCCCCGAAGCACATTCCTACCCAATGTCAAGATTTTCAATGAGAGAGAACTACATATTCTCCAGACTCGTGTTCTTCTTGATGATCCTATGAAGGGAAAGAAGAAGAAGAAGATTGGTCTTGGTGCCTTCAAGAAAGCTGTAAGAACATTACCTGAAACAATGATAACCACTCGACTAACATTTACAGTTCTCTAACTGGCGACTTTGGGTTCATGTCATCATCACTCTCACTAATAATGGACCTCAAAGGGCTTTCGACACTTATAGTCCGTCTATTGTCAAGAGCTTCGGCTTCCAGGGTCTCACTAGTAACGCCCTCGCATCTGTTGGTCTCTTCCTTCAGATCCCTGTTTCGTGGTCCTTCAGCTACGTTTCTGATCGATTGTATGTAGCCTTCCGCCAGAAAAGAGTCACTACTAACAGTTTTATAGTAATAAGAGACCAGAGACCGTCATCGCCGGCTTGAGTATGCACCTGTTGGGTTACGTCTTCAACCGTATCTTCACAGAGCTCGGACGAAGAGGAGTCAGTTATTTCGGTGTTGTATGGACTCAAACGTTTGGTACATTTTCTCACCCTTTGAACATCGCTTGGATGTCTCTGGCCTGTGACGATTCAGAAGAACGAGCTCTCGCTATGGCCATGTAAGATCTCCACATCACAGCAATCATGAAAGTCTTACTAATAAACGCTCAGGGTAATTATGGGAGCGAACATTGCAGGTAAGGAGGAGCGAATCTTAGCTAGACCGGCGACTAACAAAAACATCACGCAGGTATCTACGGTGCCCAGATCTTCCGATCCGACGACAAGCCCAAATACCGCCGTGGCTTCACCATCAACATCGTCGTGCTCGCAGTTGGTCTCGCTCTTGCCATCCTTCGTTTCTTCGACGACAAGATCTGGCGTCGCTCCAAGGTTGCCCAGATCGAGCAGCAGCTTGCTCGCGAAAACGGCGATCTTAGCCAGAGTGATGAGAAGAGCCAGAGTGATGCTGGGCAGAGAGATGACCGCACCCCCACGCTTGGATTAGAGAAAACGTCGCCCGCGGAGCTGAACCCTATTGCCAAGCCTACCCAGTGATTAGATTTACTGCTACTATCTTCATATTAAGTCTTAGGTAAAAGTTTATGAGTATCCCTAAATCTAGTCAAATTAAGAGCTAGATTGATATCAAATTGTTGAGAACTTATCCTAATTCTTTAAACTCAGTAACTACTTGAGACCCCACTGTGACAACTAAGCCGAGCCTGACTTAACAGTCTTATAGATAGAGTTATAGCCCGCCAACGACTTCTCTTCCAACTCCGCAAATTCCTGCCCCTTGAACCTCTCAGGACCAAGGGCCTCCTTTGTCTTGTTATCCACTTCTTTCCCGTCAATGATCCTTGTAAGAAGCTTGGCCGTACCAGCAGCATGCGTAACCCAGACCGCAACAGCCATGAATAAGCCATCCACAGACTCAACCTTTCCAGCCAGTGGCATATTGTCTGGCGTCATACTAAACACTCCATTGAAGTAATTCCCATATTGAAATTCTCGGGCTGCAGCAGGAGGAAGTAAACCTGTAGCAAAGTCGAGAGGTTGCTTGAACCAGTCTACCCAATCCCCCTTGGCAGTGGTGTCAGGCTTGTAACCGATAGGTGCGTGGTCATAACTTCCGATGCCGAAATTGGTACCGTGATCGCGTGCATAGACGTGGTGTTCTGGCCAGCGGACGAACGGTATCTTGTGCGGAATTGGTTCGTGGGGTTGGGCGTGCATATAGGGGTGACCGACGGGGATGACTGGGACAGGGAAAGAGAGGTTAGATGAGAGACCTTGGGCCCAAATTCCAGTTGTGATGATGACTCTATCGGCGCTGAGATGACGCGATGTCTCGTTTTCAACAACATCAATGCCTGTAACGCGGCCGTCCGAGATGGCGAGCTGCTTCACATCGGCTTCCACCAAGTTGACTCCACGCTTCTTCGCCTCTTGTTGATACCAAGTCGTTATTCTCGCGGCATTTGCGGTTCCATCTTTCTCGAAGAAGACCGCCTGCCCTTCGCCGTCCTCATTAACCAGCTCAGGAGCCAGATCGTGTGCTTCCTTGATGCTCAAAGTTCTGGCTTCAAGTCCCAGTCTCTTCGCAGCCTCACATCTCGCCTTCAATCGCTGGATACCCTCATCTTGGAATGCAATCTCGAGACCGCCAACTCTGTCAAAGCCACCAGGTATTTTGACATATTCCGAGACAGTATCGATTGCAAGTTTTGTGAGGACCTCGGATTCATTGAACTGGCCGATGAAGCCGGGCGCTATTCCGGATGAGCCAAGGAGAGTGGTGAATGAACGGTCGATTAGGGTTATGGTTCTTGGGGTTGGAGATTGGGAAAGAAAATATGCAAGAGAAGAACCAACAATGCCGGCACCGATGATTATGACGGATTCAGTTGGTTGAGACATCTCGAGGTGATGAGCATTTGGTTTCTATTAATATTGGCCATCTCTGTGGCTATATATCCTTCCGAGAAGGCTTACACGCCCAGCAGACCCAAGTCAGTCGAGACTAAAGACTCAAAGGGCGCATCGGGCCAGACCGTCGACCAATCAGATCTCCCAGGCTGAACATGTCGACCCGCCATGCTGAACGGGGCTCCCTCCATTCTTCAAGCTAAGAACTCCACTAACTAACTGAGAAATCAACGCGCGCCCTTGCAGCGGGGACAAATTCAAGAGTCAGAAGAATGCGTAGCCATCTTTAAACCAGAATTCTCAGAGCAGGTTCCTAGACTAGTCCTTGGACAGGAGTAGTTGCACTTCCTTCCGGCGGGAAACATCCAAGTCAGATAAATTCCTATAAATATCATTTGTCGACCGTTACTCAAAGAAACTTAAAATTTACATATACCAAAAGTCAAATTCGGGGCACGAACAAGGTAATAACGTACTCGCTGAAGAGCTTCATTTAGCCCCAGAATTCGTTCTAATAACCTTTCTATTGCCTGAGAGAGGTTGCCAGGCAATACAGATTTCTATATCGCCTACCACTATGCAGATGACAAGCAAGCATAGACCCATCTTGGGGTGAAGTGAGGCTGTATTATGGGTAGAACTTTGGAATCCAATCACGTATTTATAAGCTTCTCAGCTCTCAAATCAAATTCGGAGCTTATAGAGATCCCGTCTGGTTCATCCGAAAAGCTTCGAAAATCCCCGAATCGGCCCATGACGCGCCGTCATGACGCACTTTCGTTCAATACTCCATACACTTGAGACAACGGCACTTAACAGATAATGCTATTATCTGGGCCCTCAGAAGCACAGACACCTCTACTTAGAATAAAGTTGAGCTGTAGACGGATATACCCGATATATCTGCGAAATAAGGTTTACTGAAAACCATTCCTTGTTTCAGGTGAGTCTTTTAAGATATTTGAAACCCTCCCAAGGAACTTTACTAGAGATCGCCATTCGTAAAGATGGATCTATAATTTTAATTAACTTTCATAACAATTATGAGTTGGTATAACAGTGGCGTAGCCGGAAGACCAGGCGGTTATGTGAAGCCTCATCAAGTTGCTTGTTCTCAACACATTCTTTCCTTTCCTTCTTTTCGTCTGCATCACACTCATTGCATTAAACATGATTGTATCTTATTTCCTTCCTTTCGTTTTATGGGCCTGTCTGGGACAAGCCACATTGACCCCTCGCAAACCGTTCGACACGGCATTCTACGTCTTCAATGGAGCTTGGCCATGTTCCCAAGATCAGCTGAAAACAATCTCCGGTGCCATTGACGAGGCACATAATCTTGCCAAGGCAGCTATTAACGTCCTTTCGAAGCCTGGCTCCGAACAGTCAATCGCCTTCGACTCTTGGTTTGGCTCAAGTATTTCTCCCTCTAAACAAGATGATAACCGTTCTAATTACCATTCCAAGGCAACGGCACTCCTGATAGAAGAGACATAATCTTCAACAGACATTTCCAGTCCGTTCTGGATAATCTGGTCCCATCCACTGCCGCCGCCCAATTTCGACTTTCGCACAGCCCGTTCCTGAATCCCCAGCAAGGCTCTACCATCACCGAGTCTTCTCTGGTCTACGCCTGCCCTCCCCCTTCCGAGCCAGTATGTGATGGCAATACGGTGGCAGCTGTTCAAAGCGCAACTGGTTCAAGAGCAGCAGTATTCGGGGCCACTCTTCTCGTTCTTTGTCCCGATTTCTTCGGAAACAAGCCTAACCTCGATAGTGCTGTTCAATTATGGAAGACGGAGCATACCTTGGGTGACAATCTGTCGCGTGGCTTTGCGCTCGTGCATGAAGTTCAACATATGATCCAGGCAACTGAATCAGAAGAGGAAAGATGCGACGACTTGCAAGATCCGTTTGAGGATAACAAGGACTGTTATTCAGCTAGCTGGTGAGTCTGAAAATGAAGCTCTAAAGTCTGTTGCTGATATAATTTAGTTGCTTCCGGCTTTCGGATGCCCAGAAGCTTAAGAACGCTCAGAACTATGCTATCTACGCACTCGATGTATTGGCTTTTCCTGATACTGCGGGATCTCCATCTTCGTCATGCAATCTGCCGCAGAAGCGGGAAGAAGGACATCTCTTCAACTTCTTCAAGCGTCAAGCACAGCCACTACCAGAATCTGTACCGCCTGCTCCTTTCCAGAATACTTCCGCAACATTCGTTACCCTCCCAAAGACTAGCACGGAACCTTTGTCCTCCGAGGTTCCTGTGACTCTTACCAGCAACGTTACTATTCCAGGCAGCGTTCCTACAGAGCCGGTTACACCTGTTAGCCCTATTACCACTTCGTTCATCGATACCACGACCACGTCATCAGCAGCACCAACAATAACCGTCAGTGGTGGTGCAACAGTGGTAGTACCAGTTGGCGCAATCGTCGCCGGCGGGCCGGGAGGCGGTATTGTCTCTGTTGGCGGAGCCTTGATCCCCGTCGCTGCTGGTGCAGTCGTGACAGCTAAACCTGAAGATGAACAGAAGCCAACAGACCCGGATGACAAGTCCAAAGAGCCTACAACCTCTCCAACTCCTACATCAACCTCCACGGAATCAGAATCATGCAGTGCACCAACTACAACAGCGACGTATGGTTCAGAAGTAAATGCAGTTTGTCGGGACTTGTCTGGCATGAGTCAGGAACAGCTTTTGCAACTCATCCCAGAGTTTGGACAAGTCAGCTCTTCTGCTGAGCCTGCACCAACCTCCACCCCCGGTGCTTCCAACACTTCCGCCATCATCTCTGGCACACCTTCACCTTCAACCCTTTTGACGACACTGTCACCCAAGCCAGAAACTCCGACATCTACTGCAAACACTACGTCAATCCTAGTAACAATTCCAGCCGGTGGCTCGAGTACTCTGGTGACGGTACCAAGTATACAGACACCTGTTCCTTTTATTGGTGATACGACAAGCTGCAACCTGACAAATGATGCTGTGCCCGAATGTCAGAATTTGGTTAATGGAAAGAGGGCTTGCCTTTACTCGCAGTAAGTGTAAATGCGGTTTTCAGATACCTCTTTTACTGACTCCATTGATAGACCCAAAGGTTTCCTCTGTGTTTCAAGCTGCCCTGCGGGAGATCCTTGTCTGCAAACTTGCCAGACAATGAACTATAAGGGTGGATATTGTAGCAATGGGTTTGTTTTTCCTACAAACAAGGAAACATTAGTGACTAACTGAGATTCTAGTACCCCCTCATGTGTGTGTTCAAATGACGATCCTACTGCTTGATCAACTCGTATCAGCTCTTCTCTCACGATCCTCTTCGTGGTAGAATTCAGAATTCTGAAGAAGAGAGAGCAAACTCTGAGTTATTAATAGAAGTCTGACTTAAGCGAACATACTTAAGAAAGTTCTAGATAGGTTACGTGAATAAATTCTTTCAAATTCTTGTGCTATGATAAATCTCCGACAGGGCTTATCATCTGCCTTATGATCATGTTTAAAGGCCTCGACACTTTAGTCCTGGCTAGGCACGATCTTGACAGTCGCACTAGGTTCGGAATCTAGGCAAAGACGATTAGCAACACTCATTCCTAGGCTTGAGAAGACGTACTATCCGAGGTATAGCAGAGAAGCTGCTGGTTCCGAACAGCCAAGGGGCGTCCTTCCTCATCATCAGAGCTCACTTGCAGAGTCGTGTTAGAGATGTCATTCAAGGTAGAGCACACTATCACATACATGCAAACCGGAGCTGAGGCCCATCACCCCCTTCCATCACATAGACAGGATAGAGCTCCTCTGCCTGGTCCTTTTTGAACCAGCAAATAGCCAGATAAGGCGCTCTGGTACTAGTGACATGACCTTCAAGCTTTCTCAAGCCCAGGGCCCAATCACCACTTATGAGGTGGTTTCCATCAAGCTCAAAGGTAGCTGGTTTCTCTCCAACCTGAGCAGGACGGGTTTCATCACGGTCATCCTCTGGCTTGGCTACGTGTTGGCCGTCGATGATAATGATGAAGTGCGTGGGAACTGAAGACATTTTGAAAAGTGGTAGTGCTTTGAAGCTGAAGTAGTGTTGATAGTCTTGTTGATGAAACTTCTTGCTGTGTTGATGAGATGACTTGGATTATGGACGGGACACGATGATATTTGTACTTCTCAAAGGTCTACCACCTGATGAAGCAGTTGACCTCTTCAATGTGATACTGGGTATTCGCAGAGCCGCAATATTCCTGTAGCACCAATCCACCAGTCACTAATTATCATACGAGTTCCAAGAATATTCTACAGCTAGAGTCTGGTGGAACAGTCATGAATTGTGATACACTACCGGTCAAGTTTCAATTGTTCATTCGGACCGAGGTGCAACAACGAACCGTTACATGGCCGTGGCGGTGAGCACTCGAATTCTCTTCGGTAGTTACTATCATGACTTTGCATGAACACTGTGGAAGATTGGACAAGCCTTGGCTGGCCACGTAAGGCTCCTGTGCCCAAGCAATTTCCAGGTCCATGGATCATTACACAAACACCAGTCCCCTTTTCAATCACAAGTGGCATCGTGGTAAGCACAGCCCTGAGGTTTTCGTCCGCCTGCTAGGACTGTCCCCCGAGGTTTCAGCACAAGGAGTTGAAAGCGGCCTGGTAACGTACTCCGCGGTAAGCCTAGCCGATACGCTTCCTAGTATCCTTCCTTCATACCGGATATCAAAGGAACCGCCTTTAGCTAACTTGACTTCTGCTTCATGCTCTCTCGATATTTCAACATCCATCTCGCCGACTGCGCCACAACGGCGTCATGATTTGAAACTGGATTAAACCCCAATCTCTTCCTAGCCTTGTCGATGCTGTAAGTATGCGTGTATACGCAATACTCAAGTGAGACTCTTCGTAGCTCGACTGGAGGCTTGGCTGTGTTGAGAGTGAATATCCAGAATAGCCACTCCGCTGCAAAGACTGCCACTATCATCACCCAAGCAGGCAGAACGATGATATCCTTGGAGACATCTCCACCTCTTGCTGTTTCCCAGATAAGTCTCGTGTGATGCCAGAACGGTACCGGGGCTCCATCGGAGACGTTGAAAGCTTCTCCATCGACTTTGCCGGATGCACGGCCTGGGTCCAGAAGCGCTTTTGCCGCGAGAACATGTGCTATCGCATTATTCTCTCCGGATACGACTTCCATGAGGTTCTTCCCTTCTCCGATCTGCACGAGCTTCTTGTTCTTGCACATATCGAGGACTTCAACCATGCCTTGGACGTGTCTCTCTCCATAGGCGTGACCAGGCCGGAGGGTGACAGTACGTAGTCTCGGGCCATTAGCTTCCCGAACTAGACTATCGCCAATTGCCTTTGTCCGATTGTACTCATTTGACTTATCGTTGGATGACCAAAGAGGATACGTCTCGTCAGCCTTTGTATGAGGCGGGTTGGCATACGCGTCAACGCTTGATGTAAAGACGAATGCCTGGACAGCATCAGACTCAAACGCAGCTGTAAGCAGAACTTGAGTGCCCTTGACGTTGGTCGCGTAAAACTCGCCTTCGCGATGCATAGGCAACGCTGCGATCGGAGAAGCACAGTGGAAAATGACACTTGGCCGAACTTCATTGATTACTCCACGCACAAATTCACCATCAGAGATGTCTCCCTTGACATACGACACATTTTCGTGTCGGTTTCTGGATACGTCGCGGTCCAGAACGCAGACTTGACCGCTTTCGTCATCTTGCAGCAATTGTCTCGTGAGATGGAACCCCAAAAAGCCGCAGCCACCAACGACGAGGCTGGAGCTGATGAGAGGTGTCGAGATCTTTCTTATGTCAGACATTATTCAGAGTCTGTTGGTGGAAGTGATAGGTTGCAGAGAGAAGGTTGTTTTCTGGGTTGGGCGATCATTTGGAGTGGCTGCGCTGCTGCTTACTCCGACGGATCCGTTGTTACATTGCTCTCCAGCGAATCTCTATTAATCTCCAACGGATCTGAGACATCCGACGGACTATGTAGTCTAGAAGAACACCAATTCATTTCTGGGGAAATAACATGAGATTTCTCGTGTCCGTTGCTTTTGATCCGTTGACTCTAGAACATATCTTAATCGTCGCGTCCCATTTCTTGAGTAATGAAACTTGATCAATACAAAGCCGATGTATGAGGACAAACTGCGGTTGCGATTGGTCTTTTGGTGTGCAAAGACGTCCGATCGGTGCCACCAATACGCACTCGAAACCAATCTGAGAGTCATTTACAGTACCTGGACTCCTCTTACAAAATCTAGACTCCCGGAAGCTACATCAAGGAGTCTCCAACGTAAAGAACCATCTCCATACCTCATGCCATTCCCTCATGTCTCTGGAACTCCTTCTTCTTATCTTGGACGAAGAATATTACTGCACTGTTTACACTCAGCGTTCTCTGTATCTTACGTTAGAGAGTTGACCCGACAAGGATGGAGAACCACTTATCTTCTATCTCTGATTCGCCATCTCGTACGGACATGCTTAGAATCTGACATGCTACATCGGATAAGGCTTAGTGTAGGATCCTGCCAGTAAAGATGGGAATGACATCTGAGCGAGAGGGCTGCTTTTCCAACTCATCCATCCTCTCATCTGCAAACTCTTTCAACCCCAGACAAAACCTCGTATAGGCATCTTCCATCAATATGACTCGTGTGAAACCAGGGCAAAGACAACGTGCTAGAGCGCCGAAAGTACGGACTGGCTGCGGCACTTGCAAGTGAGTGCATTCTCCATTGCTAGTAAACGAGGGCGAGGTGGCTAACGAATTTCAGGAGTAGGTTGCATCCCTGAGTTTCTATTGGCGCGAGCTGTACTTCTAACTGGAGTAGTCCGCAGAGTTAAATGTGACGAGGCTCGTCCAGCCTGTACGAGATGTATGTCATCCTGCATAGCTCGAAACAAGGATCTACGACTGACTGGTTTACTCCAGGTACGTCCACTGGTCGGAAATGCGATGGTTATCAAGCCAACAGGCCTGGCTCCCCAACTGCGTCATCACCATCAGCTGTCTCATCCCCAACCTCCATCATCTCTACATACACCACTAGTACCGAGGCACGGTCATTCCAGTTCTTCATCGAAAAGACGCTGGTCAACTTCCAGACCTTCTTTCAAGATGATCTTTGGAATAGGAGAGTTCTCCAAGTCGCTCAATCTACGGACTGTATAAGACATGCCATCGTCGCCTTAGCCTATTACCATGAGCTCTATCTTACTCATGAACAGTGGCGAAGTCTTGAGTCTATTTCTGCACTGAAACACTACAATCTTGCTATAAAGGAGCTTCTCAACCCATCACCTAGCGCTTCATCACAAAGCCATATTCTTGTGCTGTCATGTTTGATTTTCATCTGCATTGAGGTAACGTCTTCCCTGCTGCTACTGCTTAGTCTATGCTGACCTTCTGAAGCTTCTTCATGGAAAGACTGACTCTGCGATTGGTCTATTCCGCTATGGTTGTGCCATGATCCAGCAGTTTAGAAGAACTTTCTCCATCAACAGAGATCACGGCTCTCATACCAAGTCTGACGTAGAAGCAACCTTCAGTCTTGCTGATGCCTGCTTCAGGCGTATTGCAGTGCAACTTCTTATGGTATGTTCTCACCGTATGGGCTTAACCGTGAGCCTGCACTAACTTCCTCAAGCTCATGGGGGACGTTGATGTAGGTATTTGGACGTCATACCGCGAAACTTTCAGCAATACACTTCCACCTCCTGCAACTTCATTTTTATCCCTCTCCGACGCAAGAGAAGCCATCCTGGAGCTTCTTGTTGAACAGGCTAGCCCTGGTCTAAAGGGAAAGCCAATCCACGAAACGATGTCACACGCTACAAAGGTCGAGCAATGGAGCCAATCGTTTGATACTCTCTTAATTGAGCTTGAGAACAGTGGCAAAAGCTTAAGCATTGGTGACCAACGAGCAATCGCCCTTCTGCAGCTTCATCGAAAGTACCTCGAAATTAATGTCGCAAAATACCTGCACGGTCAAGGCGACCCTTGCTTTTGGGATCGGTTCACCGCTGAATTTGACGAAATTGTCAACTACGCGGCCACGGCAGCTGGACTTGACAAGGACTACACTCAAAGGAACTGGGCTAAAGACTCTCCCTCAGAGGCATATTTCCACGTTGACCTCGGGTATACATCGGTCTTAGTTTCAGTCATCGCACGATGTCGCGATCCACATGTCCGAAGAAGAGCTATCGCAGTTATGCTAGCAGAACGTGTACAAGAAGGCGTATTTAATGGGACTCAGTCAGCCAGAGTAGGGGCAAAGGTGATGGAACTTGAAGAGGCCAGGAGTGGAAGAGAGGTGAGGTGTAGTCGCGATATTCCACAGGAGGCCAGAGTGAGGACGATTCGTGTGCATTTGTTGGGGCCTGAAAACAAGAAGGTGAAGATGGTGTATGGGTTTGACCAGGGGTATTGGGAGGAGGTGAGACAGATGGCTGAGTAGACCCTTGAACCGAGTTGAGATCTGGATATAAAAAGAGTGCAATAGATCTGAGCCTTTTGAGGAGAGCAACAGCAGATGAATGGTCATCGGCGTAGGAATACTTATTAGTTGTAGTTGCTTGGGGGAGAAGCGAATGCAGAAATAAGCACATGGTGTCCAATCAGAAGTGTCTGTAGATGATTCATCGTGATGCGATCTGTTTCCGGTTAGTTCAATCTCCGCCAAGGCCAATCAGAATCATGGTTCTCCTTCAGAATCACTCATGTACAACTCCTAAGTCACAATAAATGAGGCTATCCTCGAAAAGGAAGTCGACTCATCTCGATTCACTAACTTCAACAGTATAATAACTGCATCCAACTCGCTGTTCTTCCCAATTTCACCATCATTCACTCCGATTTCCACAAGACCTCACACATGAGCCTAACATCAACTCTCCTATCAACAACTACAACAGCTTCAGCAATGACCGAATTCACAATCCCTAATTGCGCTATAGGCCTGCGCGAGATCGACCCTTCACTACTAGATCTCCGCCCCGACTCTGAAATCATCGCTCAGCTCCAAACATACCAACCCATCACCTCAGAGAAGAATGTCTGGGCAGTCTGGGACAAAGGCTTCTATGCCATGTACTCCAGCCATCAACGCACAGTCATCAACTGGGTCAGACGCCTCGGTCCTTCATGGACGGTTCGTCTGGTTGATTTCATCGAAGGCTCGCCTAACAACATCTTCAATTATGTCGGCAAAGACTGGTTTCCGGAAACTTTTGTCAATAAAGCTATGGATGGCAAACACGCTCCTCAACATGCAGCCGACCTGGCTCGTCTTCCTCTTATTTACGAACATGGTGGAGTTTGGATGGATGTCAGCAATATGCTGCATATCCATCTTGACACGCTGTTCTGGGATCACATTGTGTCACCCGATACGCCTTATGAAATGGCTGCCTGGATCATCACAGGCCAAATCAGAGCCAAATGGGGCGACTTTGGCAATTTCATGTTTGCTGCTCGCAAGAACTGCGAGTTTATCAAGAACTGGCACGAGGGGTACAAAGAGCTATGGAAGGGCCGAACGAATGTCGATGGATTTCACAAGCATCCTCTCATCGCTGAGATCGGTCTTGCTGAAGGCCTTGCAAATCCCGAGGACGAGAATCAGATCTACTTCATGACTGACTATGTTTCACAAATGGTTATCGGCGACCGCACCCGCAATCTTGTCGATATCACCACCGGCTTCAACGGCCGTGAATTCTGGGAGAACAAGGTCTTCATGGTAGAAGGCATCGAGAACGGTATTCTCGGTGCTCTCAAGACCAACCTCAACGGTCAGAAGCAAGCCGACTATTTCCTCACACGGCTTGACGAGCCTGATCTCGACAAGAGAAATGAAGCTGAAGCCTTCATGGTGGAAATGCTCGAGAAGAGTCACATGTACAAGATGTATCACAATTCAATGGGTGCTCGTCCAGCTCTAGGCGACCTCATCAAGAAGAAGGAGAATCACGATATCACATATCGTCCTGGGACTTTTGGAGAATTGTACCGTTATGGAACTGTGCATTGGGAACCAACCAGGAAGGTTGTGAGATTGGAGCCGCAGAGAAATGGTGACGAAATTATATACGGGACACCTACGAAAACTGCTGCTCAAGTTAAGAATTAAAAAGTCTAGAGGGGTGTAAGGGTCTAGAAAAGGACTGGTCCGATACGGCGCATTATAGTAAACCGGTTTTATGTTTCCAAACCTTACTTTCGATTTATACTCTGTGATAATCTTTTAGTGCCACATCTTCTAGTTACTATATACCAATAACTATGTTTAATTTTCCATCAAACTTTCAGTTTTCGGCCAGGTGCAGTCTTCCATATCTAATTTGCTATCAGATTCCAATAACAAAAATAGCAGAAAGTAACTTACATAGAGTTCTATCCCAATAGCATTAATAATAAAACCTAGCCAGCCTCCTACGGCATATCCGACTCTCAAGGCAGCTGTGATACCAGGTACGTCATTCAAATCCCAATTCGTCGTCACAAGCGCTTCTTGCAGCGGATTCTCGCCTGAGACGTATGCTGCACAACTTGGATATGGGTTCTGCCTCGTTCCAGGGAAGCTTTCATGTAAATATTCGATAACTGCGCATGGTACGCTCATGGTAACCGATCGAGAAGGGTGGCCTATTATGTGAGCTAGCGATACCAGAATGAATCTCATGGTGATGATTGATGTTGCCTTTACAAGTCAGGAACGTTAGGTCTTTGGTGACGGAGTGCTCACCCAAAACCAGGCCCTCAGCATCCAAGCACGATGCTTTTCGATCTCTTTGTTCTTGATACTGACATAGCCCTTCACCATTGCGGTAGTAACAAGCGTCGCAAGCGTCCATGTCCCTATCCTATTCGACAATATCCCACCCATAGCCTCACTCTCAATAATTAATGCCGCTGCTGTTCCCAAGGCCGAGAGTACCAAAACGACGTATCCATTCACGCGGTGGAACTTGATATACTTCGGTCTTCGGAGAGCTGGTATGAACTGAAAACACACCAGAGCACCCGCGGGTAAGATCGTCACCAGGTGTAACAACATGCCGAACCGCATAAGGCCTGGTTTCTGGAAAACATAACATTCTCCAGGGACGGCCCACAGGTTTCCTTTTGCGCAGAATACACCGTCTATGTTGATGTATGGAAGGTGAATAGTTGAGAAGAGAAATAGGAGACCACTGAAGATGCAAAAGAGAGAGAACGAGGTCGTGGTTGTGAAGCCAAGGCGAGTTTTGAGAGCAGCCATTATCGCGGTATGCAATTGACTCTTCACTCAGGCTTCTTTGACGTCTCTCAAGAGTCTGCGTATTCACACGAGAAAGGCAAAGAATTATCGTTCGTAGTGGGCTGGTGCTTACGTGTGTTTATATTCTTGGAGATTTGATGCTATACTCTTTCTGGTCCTGAAGGATTCATCCGCCTATTTCTGGCCTATTATGTCCAAGGAATCACGAGGATGAACAGGGGTTTACGGTAGTCAGGGCCTAATTAGAGACGGTCTTATTGGTTGGTAATCTTTCAAGGACAGTCGGGATTCCGCGCGTCTGCGTGAGTATTATGATATGCCGGTGGTTGCTCTATTGGGATAAAGGTCCCTTTCGCGTACAGATTTCCTCAAGTAGCCGTGGTCAGAGACCCTGAGTCTCATGCGCTGAGGTCATATCAAGGATCCGGTCAAAGCAATCCGGTCAGGTTGAAACCCCAAAGAACATATCTTGTCCGTTTAGCTATCCTCTTCAAGCTCAGGAATACTCTGGCGCTTCATCCGGAGTTTCTCAGCTTTCTCGCCTATGTCAGCCAACCTGACTGCCTCCTGAGCCGCCTTTCCAAAGTCTGCCTCAACCTGAATACCCAAGGTAGCATCTTTGAGCTAGAATCGTTTCAGTTGTTGTTCACATTTCACATGCGAAGCACTCACCAGCTGAAGTCCAGCCTCCGAATTTGTCCCCTGCAATCTGACTACCATGGGGACTTTCAAGGGACCCAGCTCGCTTGCCGCTGCAATGATGGACTCTGCAATCATATCGCACCTTGTGATTCCTGCTACTGTCAGTTCATGCTCAATACCTTAACAACAAACATACCGCCGTAGATGTTGACCAGAATCGCCTTGACTCGCTTATTGGACATGATGATCTTGAAAGCCTGCAGCATCGTCTCCTTTGTAGCTTGCCCCCCAGCATCAAGAAAATTCGCACTCGAACCTCCATACAGACTAATCGCATCATTCGTCGCCATGGCAAGTCCCGCACCATTAACCACGTTTCCAATGTTTCCATTCATATAAACATACACCAGCCCGTGCTTTTCAGCTCGCACTTCTTCCGGGATCTCCTGTCCCTTATCCCTCAGAGAAAAAAGCTTTGGTTGTCGCGCCCGCGCTGCGTCGTCAAAGAAGAAATCCGAGTTGTTGCACATAAACGTTCCATCTTTGAGAAACAAAAGATCTGTTTCCAGACTGAGTGCTTCCTTGTCCCGAAAGATGTTGAAAAGGCGTTGGATGACTTCTCTCAAGCTCTCCTTGGAGACCTTGCCCAAGTGGAAGCTCTGCGCTATGTCGGTAAGCAACTCCTCAGTGATGCCGGTGCTCAGACTGAACTCGAACACTTCCTGAAGCGCAGCCTCGTAGATGACGTTGGGAAGGCCCTGGGGATCCTTGACATCTCGAATCTTGATTGTCGGTCGATATCTCTCTCGGTCAACAGCCATAGTGAGCCGCCACTTCTCCTCATGTTCCATAACCTTTTCCATATAGACCGGGATCGTCAGGTCCCTGTGGTCTTTCTGTCCGGTAGTATCTCTGATATAGCGTAGTAATGCTTTTATTTTACCTCTTCCATCTGTTTGTTCTTTTATTTCCGAGAACTTTCGTTTACCATGGAGGTTCTGGGGCTTTATGAGTGCATGAGGGTTTTCAGAGTGGACATTAGCATGGGCCGAACGAAGTTTGTGTCTCGTAGCTTACTTCCTCCGCCTGCTATAAGATCCATCATCACTTGTCCAGCTCGCTTTGATCTAACAAGCTCACCCATTGGAATGGGTATTCCTTCCTAATTAAAACGTCTTAAGCTCTCCGCATTGTCATTCCGTAGCTGAAGCCTCGACTTACTTTTTTCATGAGCTTCTGTGACTGATATTCGTGTATATGGAGACATCTTGTCTGAGTCTGGCATTCCCTTAGCAAGTGAGCGTAAAGGTTGGGTGACGATCAGTACATTGAACGTGTTCGAGAATAAGGGAATGTTTCGCAGTTCAGATCTAAATCTAAGAGCCATGGCGTTGCAGTAAGAGAGGCTTCTATAAGAATTACAATTTCATGACCCTGAAGACGTTGCCGAGGCGATCGACGAGGGGTACTCGCGTATATGAGTCACGTGCCATCGGCAAACCTCCCAATCTTCCCGTCGCCAAGTTCAATTGACGATGCAACACACACGGAGTATGAAGCAAACTAGCAAGACACTCAGATCAAATTGTTATAGGTGTCTCTATCGACTTATGAGCGAGTTGTAGATTTGAGCGAGTAGAAAAGCGTTGTTTTAGACGTCCAATTGATCATCAGTCACTGAGATTGAGAACTTCGAATTGAGAGCACTTCAGTATACAATGCATCTGTAAATTCATGTCTATCATATTCGCCAAAGGTATAGTTCATTTTTAAGCACCCAACGCCAACCATGCAGTCTCAAAAACCTCATTATCTCACGTCCTACGTAGATCTAAGCCCATAACCCCCAATCCGTGGGACCGTATCCCAGTCTAAGCCTGACATTGAACTGCGCCATCTAAAAGTTGGTCACGTCACTGACTCCGTTGGTGGCCTCCTTCTTCACTCGAGCGGCCTCGATGATCTCGTCGAGGCATCCGGAGCTGGCGGCGACGAGACCGAGCACTAATACAGTCAGTCATGGTGGGCGGTGATCAGTAACAGGGGGATACTCACGCGAAGGTGCGGGGGCCAAGGTCTTGGACTTGTACTCAGGGTGAGCCTGGAGACTGTTGACGGTCAGCAATAGTCGATACAAGCCGATGGATAATACTCACCCAACAAAGAAGGGATGGCCCTTCAACTCAATGGTCTCGACTCGGACACCTTGGTCATCCATTGAGGTCAAGGAAAGACCAGCCTTCTCGAGATCCTCAAGGTAGTCAGGGTTCACTTCATAGCGATGTCGGTGACGCTCCTCCACAACATCAGCTCCTCCGTACAAAGCTCGGAGCTTGCTCCATTCGGTGCCAGGCTTGAAGTGGCTTGTTCGGCTGCCAAGCCTCATGGTACCACCCATTTTCCTGTCATTTATTAGCATCACCTCCTCGAATTATTCGACGCTGACTTACTCCTTGGAACCCTCGGGCATGAATATGACAACCTTGTGTTCAGCGGTGGCCGAGAACTCCTCGGACGTCGCATCCTTGAGACCCATGACGTTACGAGCGTACTCAATGACTGCAGTCTGCATACCCAAGCAGATGCCGAGGTAGGGGAGTCCTCGCTCACGAGCCCACTTGGCGACATCAATCATACCACGGATACCTCGAGTACCGAAACCACCGGGAACGATGATTCCCTGAGCTCGAACAACGTGAGCCCAAGCCTCGTGGAACTTTCGGGGGTCCTTCTCCTGCATGTCGGGTTCGAGGTGCTCGGAATCGACGGAGATGAGGTTAAGCTTGCGCTTGCATCGCATAGCAGAGTGCTCAAGTGCCTTGTGAACACTGAGATACGAGTCGTCAAGGCTGACGTATTTGCCAACCAAGACAATGTTGACGGGTTCGAGGTGTCGATCGGGGACAACGGTCTTCTTCCAGAGGTCCCAAAGAGCTTGGCCCTTCTGAGCCATGAGAGGAGCAACATCAAGCTTCTCAAGGGCAAGACCCTTGCGCAGAAGCTTAAGAAGACCCTCCTGCTCGAGGAGGAGAGGGACCTGGTAGATGGTGTCCATGTTGCGGACGCCAATGACTTGCTCGTCTTCGACTTGGCAGCTTCGGGCAATCTTTGTAATGGTAGCGACATCGAGTTCTCGTTCGCAGCGACACGCAATCTGGAGACGTTAGGCGCGGACTGGTATGGATCGCGAGGAACATACCACATCGGGGATCAAACCGGCGCTTCGAACTTGTCGAATGGCGTGCTGAGTGGGCTTTGTCTTCTCCTCTCCATTGATGATAGGGACGTAGGAAACGCTGATGCTGAGGAAGTTGTCGCGGCCGAGTCTGTGTCGCAATTGCTTTATAGCTGTCAGTATTGAGTTTCGAGGTCGGACTGGGTTTCATACTGAAAGGGCCTCAACGAAAGGACCAGATTCGAGATCGCCAATTGTTCCGCCCTGTCGCCAAGTCAGTCGCCATGCCAAGCCATCGGTAATCGGTAGGAGATCGTACAAGCTCGACTATAGTGGGTTAGCGAATGCCGCGCATGAATTGGCTTATGGACGACGTACTGATACAAACATCTGGTGATTCGCCAGAAGCATCAACTGGGATCTTGGCAACGCGCTCGATCCAGTTCTGAATGGCATCTGTGATGTGGGGAACGACCTCGAATGATGTTAGTCGGATCTACAAGATCGTAGTGCTGCACAATGTACCTGAACAGCTACGAAGATCGTTAGCATCCACATGAAACAGCAATCTCAGACGCAACACATACTCTTTCCCAAGTAATCTCCTCGTCGCTCCTTCTCCTATACACCAATTGTATTAGTGGTCGTCGATCGCATACATCGAAGATTCGTGGGGTTCGTACAATGACCTGCTGGTAGATCTTGCCAGTGGTGATGTTGCTGTCACGGCTCAATTGGATGCCCAGGTATCTGCAGAACTATAAGTCCCTGGTCGAGCATTTGCTGAGTCTGGTTGCCAAAGAACATACCGCTCGTAGTTTCCAAGATCGAGATCGGTCTGAGGGGTCAGCGTAAAGTTTTTCGTCGGTGAATATGGAGCCTACCTCGCCGCCATCATCGAGAACGAAGCACTCGCCGTGCCTGTGATGTGTTAACCGAAGAAACGACCATGGAATTGAGTCGCAACATACTCAAGAGGGTTGAGTAGACCAGCGTCGGTGTTGATATAAGGATCGGTCTAGTCGAGTGTTAGAATCGTCGGTGAGGAAAGGTTTCGTCGGTGGGGTTTACTTTGATCGCCTGGTAACGTTAGTCAAAGCTCGTTCGGTGACCATGGGTGTCGTATCGTACCGTGACTCGAAGACCGAGAGTCTTGAGAAGAAGACCAGCGCTACTGGCTAACATTGGTGTCAGTCGTTGAGAAGATCAGCTCAGCTCGTCAATTGCCATACCGATAATGCCTGTGATTCACGAATTAGCACGCCCTTCAGGACAAGAATGCGACGACGATAAGCTTACCTTTGCCGACACCAGAGATGACTCCGCCGCTCACAAGAACAACCTTCATGATGTCGTTTGTTCTTTCAATTGTTTGTTTATATAAAGAATAGAAACTGCTAGTATTGCAGGGCGGAGTTGCTGGGAGTTTTGTACGGCGCGTTCGCAAAAACTTGAATCAACGAAAGAAAGATTCGGCGGTGGGGTACGATTTCTGCCACGCCCTGTGAAGCTCAGGACGTTGACCGCTTTCCAAATGCGGCTTAGAGATGACTCTGTGCGTCACGCCGTGGACTCACCCTGGTTGAGCTCCACTGACAGCCAGTGAACTGGTTCAACTGAAGCCATTATGTGTTAGCAGCCTAAAGTTTAACTTTGTGTCCAGCACTCATCTACGTAGAAGGCTTCCAGAAGAGTCAGAGGAGATAAAAAAGTATCTCATGCCGGAATTAAATAGCTCAGAGGTTGCGTTGGTTAGAAATGATGATTCCCAGACTGGGACTGTTACCCGCTGCACTTTTGTGGACCATGTTCATCGAAGAACCACGGCTAAAATTTCCCATGTTAAGGACAATATGTTGTGCAACAAGCTCGAACTAACGAGGTAAGAACAATACAATATTATCTTAATTTGCCATATGGCAGGCTTCCTGGCATTAGCTTCAATATGATTAAAAAGCTCCTAACTGAGGCCAATTGCTTGGTGCATCTCTTGCTACAGGTTAGCTAGCAATGGTGGTCAAGGAATCGCCAATGGCGGGGTAGTTTCACGATCCCATCACCCATTGACCTCGGAAGCAACGTACAATTGCGTTGTTCAGCGGCACCTCGCATACGGCCAGATCTTTCTATGTAATTTTCCTCTGCATGTTTAGTTGGACGTAACACACTTAGGATGATAGCATCACGGGTTTCCCGTCATGTTCGTTATACGGCAAACACTCTCAGGACGGCGAAATGCTTCTCAACGTCCTCAGTCCGTACAAGTCCATACGATAGAACAATACGGAACCTCAAGATAACAGACCAGACACGCGTTATATACCAAGGTATGGCCTGTTTCATTTTCTATTTATTTTTTCTTTGGCGTATTCAGAAGAGATTGACTTATTACGGAACGTCAATGGAGTAGGCTTCACAGGCCCAGCGGTACGCACGCGACTCAATCCCACGCGTCACGAAGCTAGACACTGACTTCCCACGACCTAGGCGACCATAAATGCAAAAGACACGATAAATTATGGAACAAAAGTTGTCGGGGGAGTCTCTCCAGACAAAGGTGGCCGGCCACACCTTGGCCTACCAGTCTTCAACACCGTCAAAGAGGTGAGTCTCACTAGCTCTCTCAATTGCCCACTCTAATGGCTGCCCCAGGCGATGAAGGAAGTCAAACCAGACGTTAGTGCCGTATTTGTCCCCGCGAAATTCGCAGCCGCGGCTATGCTCGAGGCAATTGAAGCAGAGGTTCCTCTCGTTGTCTCCGTAGCAGAGCATGTACCTGTTCACGATATGCTTCGGGTTCATGAGGTCTTGCGAACGCAGTCCAAGACTCGGTTGGTAGGTCCCAACTGCCCAGGCATTATCTCCCCGAATCAGTGTCGTGTAGGCATCATGCCCTACAAGCAGTACACTCGCGGCTGTGTTGGTATAGTGTCCAAGTCAGGTACATTGAGCTACGAAGCTGTTGGGTCTACTTCACGGGTTGGCTTGGGACAAAGTCTCGTTATAGGAATGGGAGGCGATATGCTACCAGGTAAGTCTTCATTGCACAAGTTGACATGCCATTAACACGGGACAGGCACGACCCTGGCAGATGGACTGAAGCTCTTCTTCGACCATGATGAAACCAAGGGAATCATCGTCATTGGAGAGATTGGGGGCGAGGCAGAGCTCGAAGCCGCGGAGCTCATTAGAGAACATCGTCGCACGTCCCCAAGACCCAAGCCTGTCATAGCAATGGTAGCAGGGCGCACGGCGCCCGAAGGAAAGGCCATGGGACATGCCGGTGCGATCTGGAGAGATGGAGATATTGCTGCGGAGGCGAAGAGTAAAGCTCTCGAAGATGCGGGAGCTGTCATCGTGCCGCACCCCGGAGTCATGGGCGAAAGGATGAAGGAGTTGCTTGGGATGTAAGGTATTACTTCATTAGATGAGCTCCAGCGATAGAGCTCGAGCATTGGCTTTGCTGTTGTTTCTTCTATTGTGACCACATGATTGGCAATGGTGATCCGGTGGTCCCCCAAGGTGATGGTAACCAATCAGCCATTATCGCTTCCTGGTAGTATCGTCCACTTGTGATCCGCGACAGTGGGCTGTCTACTAAGTACATACGACCATTCAATAAGGTACCTATCAGAGAACTCGGGATCCCGTCCCCAGGGTGTAAGAAGACTTCTTGACGTTAAATTGAGGTGCTCAAATACTTAGTCTAAGATCCTTTAAATCTGAACTAGATTATGCTACATTTGCCTAAGTTTACCTAAGGCTTTTTGTCACCTTAGATAGAGGTCTAAAGTTTTGTTACATCCCCTTGCCCGTCAAGATTTTGCGTTATGCGCTGGCATCCATATCTGGCACTGTATGTGCCTGAGATCGGCTGTTAAGGTCTCCCTTCTTAGAAAACAGGACACCTGCACCTTACCACAAAATTAAGAAGACCCCCTTTTCAAATGAGAGCCGCCACCCTGTCTTTCTCTCATGAGCCAACGGTAGCTGGGAGAAAAGCAAACTTAGAACCTTAATCCTAAATTATAAAAATATTTAGGTAATACAGGATAAGTTTAGGATATCTTTTACAAGGTTATTTTTAATCCCTTGTATTTAGGTCTAACTTTTCTTGCCTCCCGAGGGATAGCAGTAGGTCTTACTTAGCCTTGGATTTAGATACCTTACTGATAGATTTGGTCGCCTTTAAAAATTCAGGTGCCTGTTTGCACTTGCTTTGCAGTTGCCACGAGAAGCTCTATGTGTTCCTTCCCCTTCTTTCACTCTCCTTCGCCAATATCCTCAAGACTTGCAGGATTCCTCACGGCTCGGAACTCAGCATCAACACAACACAGATATCAGCAAACAATATGTCCAGCTTTGACATCGAAGTCGACCCTTTGACCAATAGAGTCTATCTCGGAGAGTATTACAACCTCTGTTTTGTCTACCGCGACAGACCCTCTCTTGCTCGCGCCAGATTTATTTCCCGTATTCAATGGGGCCTAGGACGCCTTACGAAAGAAATCCCTTGGATCGCCGGCCAAGTCCAACATGACGGATACACAGATCAGGGAGCCAATAAATACAAGATCATCCCTTTTCAGGTGACGCCTCGCTTCCAATTCGAGGACCTTCAAAATACCTCCTCTGAAGACTTTAAAGACATAAAGGGCGAGGACTTTCCCATGGACTGGATCAACGGGAATCATATCCCCATACAGGAGCCTTTGACAGACGGGCCCTGTCCTGTGATGGAGTTAAAGTTCACCATCGAACCAGGCGCTTCTGTCCTCACCATCAGTATGAGCAGCAAAGTCGTCGATAGGACAGGTCTAATTATCATGGTTCGAATGTTGTTTAAAGCCTGTATTCAGGATAAAATTCCGCCCTTGGATTTATCGATGACAGAGAAACACGCCGCGTTTTTTAATAATGGCAAGAGGGAAAGACGGCATGACAGAACCCCTGTCAGAATTTTGCCGGCGGATCTTCAATCAGCCCATAGCCCGTCGTTTAAGGCAAAAGCTATTTCATGGGCTCTGTTCTCTTTTGATCGAGAAGCTGTGCGAGGCATCGAGGGATTGGTCTCGGGTGACAGCCCCTCACAATACCTCGTGGATACTGATCAGGTTTTTACCGCATTTGTATTTCGAAGCTTATGCTGTGCAAGGGACGGCCGACTCACATCGGGATGGACAGCGAGATGCTTTCGTACGGTCGATGCACGCAATGCTCGTGGAGCCCGAACAGTTGAGGGGATCCATTTCGGAGCACTTCAACACATGACTTGCAGCAGCTTTACCAACCCGAGCACTATGAGTATCGGGAGAATTGCGACGGACTTGTACAGGGCCTCGTCTCCATTCGTACTCAGTCAGGACGTGGAACATTTCGTGTTTAATTCGGGTACGACTTTCTCTTCTGACGCAATTTTCAACCCTGAGCAAGATGTTGCTGTAGTCTCCTGGGCTGATGTGGAATGCAAGAACCCTGACTATATGTTAACACACGGCTGGAGTCCCCAGTGTATCAGGGTTCCGTCTCATCTGCCGGCATCAGAGGGTCTTGTGTATCTCATGCCCCGAAGTGCGGAGGATGAAAGGACAGTGGCTCTATCGTTGCGGAAGACGGATCTGGAATACTTATTGGGATTATCAGATTGGGTTGATCGTGCGACATACGCCGCATGGTGACTTGCAGCAGTAATACTTGTAGTCTAAGATCCTATAAACATACTAAATTAAGTTAACTAAGTTTACCTAAGGCTTTTTGTTACCTAGGTATGATAGAGATTGTTACATGACACAACGGTGTCACGTGTTCTAACCTTATTAAGGTCAGATCTGTAGCTCTAGTCTCCAAATTTAATAATTATTACCTTTAATATATTATACCTAACTATGCATATAAATCTTATATACTAAAAAGTATAACTTATTAGTACCTAAGTGTAATGCATCTGGTACAACGTCGGGTCTATCTTATTTCTTTAAATATTATAATAGAGATCCTAACTTATTATAAAATTTAAAAAGTTTATATAAAATAATATAAAATAATATAAAGATTTATCTATTTTATAATAGTCTCTTCTTAAGTAATACTAATTTATATTATCTTGTTATTCTTAGGTAGATAAAAATATCCAAGACCAGTCAATTCTTCTGTCCCCTAGGTCTCTCATCCAAAGAAGTACCTATCTCACTCTCTTCGTTAATAGGTATTGGTTACAGGAAAAACAGAGTCTATTCTGCCTGAAAGAGGGAAAAAGCCAATGTGTTATTTTGACCGAGTGGCTTGGATCTTTCCTGCGAGAAGTTGATTGAATTTGCCGACTAAGTGAAAATCTCACTCTCTTCCTGTTTGATTGGTGGACCGTAAAATAAACACCATCGTGGCTCATCCCTGTTGTCCTCCCACCAAATGACGTCGAGGCGCCACGAGAACCGGTTTTTAGAGCGACACGCGCCACACCCAAAAGACTCAGCATGGCATCACAATGCGTCTTGGTCAACCACCACCAAGAAATGAAACAGCCTATGAGATTTGCCTTGCGTCGTTTCAGATCCTTGCAAAGTAGATGACGTAGCAAGACGCGCAATGTGTATAAAGTGATGTCTTCAGCACGGCCTTCCAGTCTGCTAGATCTCTAGATTCCAAGATAAACAAGACGATAAACTATACAGCAGATCCCACCTAAATTTGTTTGATATTCTTCACAATGGAGTGGACCAAAGCTACCTATAACGAGCAGTACGAGAAGTGGGTTCCTTGGATGGAGGACGTTTATCTTCGTTGGTTCACCAAGGACAACAAGACAAGCTATGCTGCTAAGCGTGTGTTTACTACATCTTCTCATCCCACCCCCTCCCTTCTCACATCACGATAGAAAACCTCGACAAGACCAAAGTCACTGGCGTCGAGCAAGTCGACACTCTCCAAGACGGCGTCCACAACCTCGCTGCCGGTCAAGTCGGCCAAGGAGGACTTCTCCAACCCGTCGGCGACCTTGCATCAAAGGAGGGCGTGAACCGCGCTGAACGACAAGGCCGTGATGAGAATGGCGGATACGTCAACAAGGATGTTCCAGGCTCTGGGGCTATGAACAGCACAGCGAATGCTGTTGTTGGCGGTGGACAGGGTGCTGCCCAAGGACTACAAGATGTCGGAAAGGGTGTTGGTAACACCGTTGGCGGCCTGTTGGGTGGCAAGAAGGAGTAAATACTGTTGGGTGATTCCTTTTGGTGTTTTGGTAATGGACTGGATAAAGGGTTGGGTATACCTTCGGCTTGGTGGTCTTGGTTAAGGAACGATACAGGATACGGACAAGCGATACTATTATGTGAATGCTTAATTATCATTGGTATATACCACGGAGCATACGCTATGCTTCAATACAGATTGATCTTCCGCGACATCTCTTCTCCAAAGTTCACCGACAAGCTGTGAATGAGCAGTGGCAAGTCACGCTAGCAAGGGAATGCTAATCCAGTAACTTGGTATATGTTTAGTGACTATTAATTTTGCTATAAACTTGTAATGTAGCTGTTGAGTTTCCAAGCATCTCAACAAATCAAGGAATGTTTCAGTAAATCAGGTTTTGTTCCATCAGCAGCAGGGTCCGTAGATCACTGCCAAGTTTAATGTGATACCAACACAACCAATCAGCAGCACCAATATAAAAGAGTGACACACTCCTAACTGCTGGTTCGCTCATCTTTACCGGCGTGAGCCTCAGTATCAATGGTAGTCTCAGGGTTGTTGGCATAGTCATCCTCACCACTGAGCTCCTCAAGAGTCTTGCGGGCAGTCTCAGGAATGAGAAGAGTGGTGAAGATACCAAGAAGCATGAAAAGAGCGTAGATCTCAAGGACGTGGTCCATCCAGGGGGCCTCGTTCGTTTCGGTGGCACCGTGGGTGCGGAGGATGGAGATGGCACCCTGGCCGATGATGGAACCGATCTTTCCTGAGGCAGCGGAGATACCGTGGGACGTTGATCGGTAGCGGGTAGGGAAGACCTCACCAGGGACGATGAAGGTGGTAGTGTTGGGGCCTGAAGCTGTTAGTTTGTATTTTTAGTAGTAGAATAAAGCCCTACCGAAGTTGAAGAAGAACTGGGCAAGGACGTAGATGGCGAGGAGACCGTTGGAGGAGATGTGGTTGTAAGCGAAACCCATGACCTGAACATGTTAGTGTCATAAACCACCGGCCAGGACAACAACTTACAATGAAGAGAATAGTCAGGATGATGAAACCACCAAGCTGAATGGTCTTTCGTCCAAGGGTATCAATAGTAGCAACCGAAACCCAGTAACCAGGGACAGCACCGGCTAAGACAATGATGATGTTACCAACAGCAGTGTTGTGCAAGTACTCGTACATGTTGTTGGCATCCTTGGTAGAGTAACCAATAACCTTGAGGATAGTACCGTTGTTCAAGCTGAGACCATAAAAGGCAACATCAAGACAGAACCATGAACCAGCGGTACCGATGAGGATGGACAGGTTCTTCCACTTGCTGTAGTGCTGGCAGAAGTCGCTCCAGCCGGCCTTGGGGACCTGGAGGTTGGATTTGGCGCTGGCGCGGACCTGAGCACGGGCGACCTCGTCGGTGTCGCCCTCACGCTTGCCATTAATGTAGGCCTTGACGTCCTCATCGGCTTGCTCAACGTCACGAGCGACGTCGAAGGTGTAACGGGGAGTCTCAGGGATGGTGAGACGATCTATACTATTGTCAGTATGTGTGGAGAAGCAGAGGTGTAAGTGACTTACAGTAGAGGGCAACGCAAGCAGGGACGGCACCGAAACCAACAAGGGTACGCCACATCTTGTCGACGGCGACTTGGCAGTCTCCACTGCAGTGCTTGGTATCAGGGGCACCCTCAAGAGAAGACTTGAAGCCGAGGGTGAGGAACATCATGACGAGAGCGGCGACGAGCTGGCCAATACCCTGCATGGCAAAGACGGCAGCCATCATGGCACCACGCCACTTGGTAGTAGCGAACCTGTGATGTTAGTTAGCCTGGACATCGTGGTTTTGAATGCGAATGGACTTACTCAGAGGTAATAATGGAAGAAAGGGGATAATCACCACCAATACCCACTCCCATAACTACACGCCAGAAGATGATAAGCCCAACAAGCGAGGTGGAAGGCGAACCAGCAGTCAGGGCCTGAGCAAGAGTCGCAAAGATGATGACAATAAGCTCCAGACCATACATCCTCTTACGACCGACAATATCAGCCAGCATACCAAATCCAAGCTGTCCAATGACAGTACCAGCAGAAGTCGAGAGCTTGATAGCGTTGTCAGAGCTGGTAGCAAGCTTTCCCTTAGCAGGGTAGTACACAATGCCCAGCATGATGGTCAACATGGACACGCAGAAGATATCGTAGGAGTCAGTGAAAAAACCAACACCAGCGACGATGCAGGCGCGGACATGGTACCATCCGAAGGGAGCCTTGTCGATCTCGGCGAGGGCAAGACGACGACGCTCATTGGGGTCGGCGATGTGAGCAAAGTCGTTGTGGAAGTTGTGGAAGGCATTGTTGCCGCCGCTTGTCTTGGCGACGGGACCAGGAGTGGCAGCCATTTTAGGAGGAATTATTTGGATAAAGAACGATATGAAGAATAGAAACTGGTCTTGATTTTCGTGTACTGTACTGTACGCACGTATACTTGGAAAGGGTACCCAGGGCACGTTCACAAGTGAAATTATCCTTGCAGCCAAGAACAAGCCAAGAGATCTAGAAAAGAACAGAACGATCTAATATATATAAACGAATCTCGATATTAATCCCCCATAGTTCTCTCTTACAAAAAGCCCATCAAGAGCCGTCCGAACCGAGACGCACCAGTCAAATTTTGTTTCTCGAGGACATGCTCTTCTAGAACTCGACATGCTATCTCCTGAGTCTCCATGCTCGGTATAGGATGAAGCACACGACAGTTATAAGTGAGGACGAATAGACGTCGAGCTCGATTCCCACGTGCATTCAAGCGTTGAGATTGCTTGGCTAACGGGGTCCCAGGGTCTCGGGACACGGCACGGAATTAGCGTGGCTCTGACCCGCCTTGGCATCAAGAGTGACAGATTGAGGTGCATCTGGATTTGAATGGAGACACCGAGAGAGTAAGCTTGTCATTAAGGACTAAGCTTGTTGGTGGTAAAGTTTTGCTGCATTGGGACACCGAAGGCGTTTGCGCTCTTCAATATTTCGGGTATCACGGCTTCAGCTCAAGAGAAGCGTCGATTGTGTTGCCGCTTTAATCCCGCGGGCCAAGACTTTTGCGACTTGGAGAGCACGTGTCTTGCAACGACTCTTCCAAGTCTAGGTCATCGAATTCTGTCTGTCTCTTTCTTTTCTCTTGTGACTTACGTATCTCTTCTTTTCGGGCCGTCGCTGTTGAGGGTGTTGTTGCATTCGCTTATACACAAGGTTGTCGCATTCTTTGCGCGCGCATCATACGTCAACTTGTCATCTCACTCTTCAAACAAACATCACCACCATGTCTGAACCAACTGAACCACCACCTCTGTCAATCGAGATCCTGACCGATCCAGGAGAAAAGAAAGATGCTCTCAAACTCATCGCCGACAGTGTCGCGCAACAGCGTCAAACAGCATCACGCGCCATGATCTTCCACCCAATTCCCCTCTCTGTCTTTATAGCCATTCTCGCAATCGCACAC